TAATGAATATAACCTCCTGCCAATTATTAATTATTTGTTCGCATCGATGATCTGGTATTCTACTGACAATATTGTTCCTCTTTTATTTAATAAATGTCTTAAATTTTAGCCAGGCTTTATTCGATTTTTGATTTTTTTCGATGTCAATATTTTATTGAAAAGTTTTAAATTTTAGCAAAGCTGGTGGATATCTTATAATTTTACTATTATTTTTTATTTTCTCCTTTACTTTTTATTTTCTTTCATTTAAATTTACCACCCCGCGTAAACAGCCATTTTTCCCCTTCATTTCATTCGGAAGTAAAAAATTTTTTATTAAAATTTTTTTTGCTTTTTTGCACTAAAATACGTCATTTTCTTAGACTTTTTTAAAAATATTTTCTTTTTAATTATTTTACTAATACAAAAATATTTTTTTAATCAAAAATAAATTTTAATGAGAAAATAAGCTACCCTTTTCTTTAACTAAAATTTTTATTTTAAATAATAGGTAAATATATAAAATAATTTTTTGTCCGAGAGGTGCAATACAAAAAATATCCGTTTTACCTTATTCAAGTAATTATTAAAATAATTACCCTATTTTTTAAATTAATTTTAAAAAAGATTAGTAAATATCGAAGAAAACCAATTTAATTTAAAATGTCTAACAGAACTTGGCCAGAAACCCTTTAAAAAGCTGCCTACTGTATATGCTCGAATAATTACCCTCTCAAATAATTACCCTCTCAAATAATTACCCTCTCAAATAATTACCCTCTCAAATAATTACCCTCTCAAATAATTACCCTCTCAAATAATTACCCTCTCAAATAATTACCCTCTTTAATAATTATCCCCTCATTTTTCTACACAAATCTTAAATATATTGAAAAAATCGTTGTCAATTTTGATTATTGAAACAGTTTATTAATCAATATCAAAAAATAAATCGATTCCCTCCTTGATTTATTGAGATATACCCCAAATTTAGCACCTCCTTTCGAATAATTACCCCCTACAGCGAGAGTTCAAAACATTAATTATCCAAGATAATTATTCGAGCATGTACTGTTTTGTTATTTTGGAAAAATATTTTTTTATTTTTAATTAAATTAATTCTCATATTTTATTTTTTAAGTTTTTTCATTTATATTTTCAGAAAATCTTTTTAAAAAATTTTTAAAGTTTCCTCCTATAATTTTTAATATTAATTTCTCCTAAATAAATAAATATATTTATTAATACTTTTTAAAAAATAAAATAAAAAATTTAAAGTTTATATATATATTTCCATTTTAAGCATTTAGCAAGTAAAAAATCTTTCAAACAATAAACCATAAATAAAGCAAAAATTTATAGTTGAAAAAAAATTTTTAAATGTCATCATTGAAATGCTAAAAATATTTTATTTTATATTTTTTGTATTTTTTGAGAAAAATAAATATATAAATAAATCCATGGTATGGGTAAAAACTTTTTATTTTCCCTTTAATATTTTTCCTCCATACATATTTTTCTTTCTACAAAAATTTTTAATTTAAAAAATTATTTTAAAATTAATTTAATTCTCTCTATATTTTTTTAAATTAATAAACAATTTATTTTTTAACAAACCGTGCTATAACGTCACTTCTTGGGAATCTAATTGTAAGAGTAACATACAACTGGGTGCCATGCAACTATAAGTTACAGGCACTCCCTCTCCAATAACCAACCAAAGAAAAAATTTTTTACATAAATTAAATCTATGTAAAATTGTATTTTGATGCTACTTAACAAGGTGAGAAGAGTGGTACTAAAAATCATTGGGATTGGTGATTTGAACGAAGTTTATGATCAACTAAACTTTGGCATGAAAAATGTTTTAAAATTTTTCAGATGTTCGGATCCATTTTTCTTTTTAATTTATGAACCAAATGTTCTGAATTTGGTATCAACAATTTTCCTAAAGTATCAGGAATCCAGCAAAAAATTAACCGCTAATTTGCCCACTCTGTACATTAATGTGAGGGTGACTTACAACTGGGTGCCACTATATAAGTAGTGAGGGCCGACTTAAAGTAAATTTATATAAAAAACAACACAATTGACACCTTCTTTGACTCGTTTGTTTTCCTTTGGGAATTTTAAAAAGCAATCCTTCCCTCTTTAATATAAATATACTACTACTTCCTTTTTTTCCACCCACACTATATATTTGTTGACTTTTTTCAAATTTCTAGTATTTTTCTAAAATTAAATTTATATATTTCTTCCATTTTTTGTCAATTTTTTTGAAATTTTAAATATTTTTTTTTAATTTATCTTTTAACTTATAGGGAGTTTGAGTTATTTAGCAGGGGTCAGTCGGAATTCCGATTTCCGACGTTATTTAGTAACGAATATATTTTATAAAAATATAATTAATAATTCACCTCCCCCCTCTCGTCACCTCTATCCCACCGCTCCATTAATAATCCTTCCCTCCTCCTCTTCCTCCCTCTCATTTAATTTTAGTTAATTAAAATTTTAAATGCTTATTTAAAGGTTTATTTAAGAACTATTATTAAGGATAATTGGCAATTAAATCGTTTGACAATAATATTTTGCCAGAAAGGATGTTTTTCGATCCTCTAGCCAAACTTTTGTTTAAACTTTATTCAAAAATTAATTTTATTTTTTAAAATATTTTATTTAAAACCTATTTTTAGCCTTTTTCTTTTAAATAAAATCAATTCTCGACTTTTAATATTTGCAACTTTCTTCTCGGACTAAACTTGTGCCTTTTTTACTTCCTTTTTTTACCCATACTTCTATTTTTACTTTATTTATTTATCATTTCCTGTTCTTCCCAAATAAATAAAATTATTTTTTTATTTAATAAAACATTTTCTGTTGAAAAATTTGTTTCTTTTTTTTTATTAAAAATTATTTTTGACAATCTTTGAATTTTATTTAACATTTTTTAAGTCTTTGAACCTTTGATTTTACGTTAACCAAAATCCGAAAAGTTTTTTAATTAAAAAATAATAAATTTATTTTATTGTTATTTATTAGTGAATTTATTAAATTTCTAAAAATATTTTTTTAAATTTAATTTCTACTTCGGAATCTATAGCAGCTACAAGTCTTTGTACATTCTTTCTTATATTGCATTTTTAAACCCTTAAAATAATTTTACAAAACTATGCAAATAACATTTTTTAAACCACAATGACCATAGATCCCAAAATTTAAATGAACGTACAAACATATGTAAATTATCCACTCAGACCATTCTACTCCTTTTTAGGAGAAAAGAAAGTACCTATAGAGTGTACAAAACAAAAAAGTACCTAAATATACTCTTTAATCTTTTCTATCTTTTTTTCTAAATTTAATTTGCAAGTTCTTTTTACTCAAAAAAAAAGATTTTTGGTCTTTTTTCTTTTTCATGACAATTTTTAAAGTAAAAAGAATGCTTGAAGGGATATAAATAAATAAATTATTTATTAAATAAATATTTTTTTCTTTAAAAATTTTTTTTCCAAGAATAAATATTTTCTTTTTTCCTTTTTTGCATATCATCAATCAATTCTTCTTTTTTTAAATAAATCTTTTTTTTTTGTTTTTTTATTCACTCAAAATTGCATGTCAATCTTTAATTTACATAAAAGAAAAAAATTTTTGTTAAGTAAGTGTCATTTTTTGATTATTTTTTTGTTGCCCTTCCTCTTTTTATTAATAAAGTGTATGAGGGAGCGAATATTTTTTTGACTTTTTTGTGTTGATTTTCTTAAAAAGTAAAAAAATATATTTTTTATTTTTCCCTATTTTATAATATTTTTATAAAATGATCAGCTGGTTTTGTGTAGTAATTTTAAGTTTTTTTTTTGTTTTAATTTTAGTAATTATTTGTGTATATTCTAAGAATTAATAAAATTATTTAAAATAATTTCAAATTTATTTTTTAAAGAGATTTCTGATTTAAATTTTTTTTAAAAATTATTTGACGATTTTCTTAAAAAATATAAAAACAAAATTGTTAGTTATACATATACCTAAATAGGTATTTATTTAATATTTTAAAATAGTAAAAAGAGTTTATAAGAAAAGTAAAATGAAAGGAAAATAGAAAAATTTACTAACAAATTAACGAAAAAATGAGGGTGTGAAAAAATTGAAGTGAGAAGGAAAAGGAGATAAAAGGGATTGATGAAGCCTTTTTTAAGAAATAGAAAAATATATATCCTTTAAAGAAAAGTTATTATTAAATATTTGGTATTGAATACTCTAAGTACATTGTATACTTTTATTCCCTCAAACCTCAATAAACAAAATAAATTCATAAATTATTTAAATTTTCTCTTTTTTCTAGAAAATCATATAAAATATTTTTTTATTTGATTCTTTTTAATTTTTAAAATTTTGTTAATTATATATATTTAATTTTTGCATTTTTGTATTTTTAATATAAATATTTTCTATTCAAATTAAATTTTACAAAAAAAAATTCTAAAATTTTTATACAAATTACCTAACAAATTAAAAATATATCCAAACAAAATTTATTTTCTTTTTCTGTTTTTTTGGCAATTTTATTTTTCCAAAAACTTTTTATTTACTTCTTTCCTTTCTTTTTTTATCCTTCTCCAATTTCTTTAAAAAAAACAATTTTCTCATCAAAAGATTTACTAAAATTGATTAATTACTTAAATGGACAGATAAATAAATTGAAACTTTTTTTCCTCAAAAAAAAACAATTTATTTTGTCTACTTTTTCTTTTTTAGCAATACTTTGCGTCATTTTTATGTTTTTACGGACCTGTGCTTTTCTTCCTCTAAAAAGAACTTTAAAAAACAACCCAACTTTTTTTGCTTTTATTTTGATATATTTTATTTTAAATTTATTATTTAAATATTTTAAATTAAAATTCTAAGCTAATTTAATTTTAAAAATTATTAGTTTATTTTGTAAGAAAGAGAAGGATCCAACTTGCTAGCATTTAAAACGCTCACTAAGCGGGAGTAGATCTATTAAAGGAGAAGGTGAAAGCAGCGTCACGGTAGCTCAGTCGGTAGAGCTCCTGTACGTGGTGAGAAAATGCGCCTAGCAATATCTGCCAGGAGGTCGCAGGATCGAAGCCTGCCCGGGATGATTAAAACTTTTACCTAGCTCTTATTTAATTTAGTTTCTGGATATCTTAAAGAAAAAATTTTCATCATTTACCCCAAAAAATTAAAGGATTACCTAATTAATTATTTATTTTTCCCCTACAATTTCACAAATTAATTTACAATTTTAATTTGTTTTTAAAAATATTTTTGATTTTTAATTCTTTAAAAAATATTTTTTATATAAATTTTTAAGTAAAAGCTTTTGTTTTATTTTATTTTTTCCACCCACAAAAGTTTATTTAAAAAAACTTTTATTTTAATTTATTTTATTGTTTCTAGTCCATTAATTTTCCCATTTTTAGAAATTTTAAAAATTATTTTGTTTGAATAGATTAAAAGGAAAAAAATTAAAAGTATTTTAAATAAAAAAATTTTTTTAGGTAATTAATTTTTTAAAATTAAAACCGAAAATGTTTTTAAAAGAGTTAGTCGAGTACCGAGGAATTGGGAAAAAACCGAGCTCGAGTAATCCGAGTTTGAAAAACCCGAGTTCGAGCTCAAGCTCAACTTTTTAGGTCGAGTTCGAGTAGTCAAGTAATCGAGTAATTTTTATAAAACAGTATTTTAAAATACTGTTTTAAAAAAAGTTTAAATTTTGAAATAATTACTTTTTATTTTTTAAATTAAAAATACTTAAAGCCCATACACATTAAAAAAATTAACTTGTAATTTTTTACAAGAATTTTTATTATTTTTTGCCATATCGTGATTTAATTTTACTTTTCTTTTTTTACTTTAATGTTTCAATTTTTTAATTAAAAAATACTTATTATTTAAATATTTATTTATTCCCCCCCCCCCCTCAACACTTTTCCCTTCTGAATAAATAATTTCATGCCAACAAAAACGAAACTAAAAAAGAGGGGAAATGCGCAATCGTGCGAGTCTTGTTTATGATTATTTTATTTTTTAGGTAAAAATTCCATTTGTTCATTTTTTGTTATTTTAAAGGGTTTGGTGAGGGGATTTTATGGCACGGATTTAAAATATTTATTAATTAAATAAGAATTATTTTATATAATTCCCATTTAAAATTAAAAAGTAGATAATTTTATGGGTAACTTTATTAATTCTGATAATTACCTAAATTCTGATTTATAAGTTCCTTTCGATTCTGAAATATTAAACCAAAATTTTGAAAATTCATCAAGGTTAATAAAATTCCCCACGCTTAGACAACCCCCAATCCAACACAAATATTTAAGTAAATCTCTATCTACTATATAATATTAAATTATTTCCGGTAAAATCTTTTTTTTTTCTCCCAAAGGATTTTGACTAAAAACTAATTTTATTTTTATATATTCTTTTCAAATAATTTAGTTATTCCACTATTTTGTGTGTGCCCCATATGTTGACAATAATGAGAGAAGAAAAAGAAAATTTTATATTTTATTTTATTTTCAATTTGTATATTTTGTTAACAATAAATATATTTGAATGAAAATTTTTATTTTTCTATTGGATTAGAAAATTAAATCATAGAAAATTTTGGGATTTTATTTTAACTATTCTGTTAGGTTAAAAACAGAAACAGATTGCTTTCTTTATTTTCAGAATTAATTTAAAATTCTGATATATTTTTATTCTGATAATTTAAATTCTGGAAATTCTGATTTATTTTTATTTCAAGTTTATTTAAATTTAAATTCTGATTTTTAAAGTTTATTCAGTAAAATTCTGATTTCAAGTTTATTTAATATTAATTCTGGTTTCTTAACTCTTCATTTAATTATTATTTTATATTTACCAGAATTCTGATTTTAAAATTATTTGTTTTAAAGTTTATTTTTTTCAGATTTTTCTTTAATTCTGATTTTCCGTCCATTCCCTATTAAATTCTGTTTTTCTATTTATTTTTTCTTTTTAATTGCTATGAAAACCCACTACGTTGTAATAAGTGACGAACATTCTAAATTATTTGGCCATCGAATATTAAATTCTCAACTTTCTCTTTATCTTGGATTGGTTAATTAATTAATTTTTGAAAAAATATTTTTAAATTAATTAATTTTTAGGTCCAATTACTTGTTTGTATTTGGGCACTTTCCCAACATATTTGGGCTATGTTTACTTTAAAAGAAGTAAAAAAATAATTTAAATTTTTTTAATATTTATTTTATTTAAAGATTTTACATTGTGATTTTTCTGATAATTCAACACTCCCTCCAATGTTTACAAGAGTTGATGCGGTTACTCTTTTGAAAAATATAGAAATAAAAATATAACTATTTTTCCAACAGATTATTTATGATATTGGCCTTTTTCATCACCTTTGGGGTATTACTGGTTGTGTAGCTCAACATTTGGATGGGGGATATGGTAATTTAATTAATTTTGAAAATTAATTCTGATTTATTTATCATATAAAAATTCTGATTTTGTTGCGATTTAAATATTCTGATTATTCTAAATTTATCTATCAGTTGAATATATTCACTAATTATTCAAAAATTCAATTTTATTCTAAAAATTTATTTTTTTTAAAAAGGTCGTTTTTGTTGGTGTATAGCCCATATATTAGCTTTACTTGTTTGTTTACCTTTTGCTTTTTCATCACGTCCCCGTCCGTATTTCTTATGGCCTTTATTAATACAACAAAGTGCTTACGGGGTTGGGATGCTTATTTTAAGGTAATTGGAAATTAAATTAATTAATTTATTTTTCTAAAAGTTTGGCTGCATTTCCCAAAGCTGCTCAATTAATTGGGGATTTACAAAATGCTCCAATACGCCCTTTAATTTTTTATACTTTTGGAACTTTAATGAATTTCTTTTTGGTAAAAATAATTCTTTTCTAAAAATTATTTCAAAAAAAATTATTTAGCTTTATGTTTACTGGCATTGGTATTGGTAAGTTTATTTAATTAAAATTCTGATTTTTAATTCCTTTAAAATTCTGTTTTTTTAAAGGCATGTAGAAACCCTTTGGAACTCTGCCCGTAAATTAAAAAGAGGAGAAACTTTAAATAAAAATAACAATCGAAGACCTTTTCGACGTGCCTCCCCTGTTGGAGAAAATATATTAGGAAATAATGGAAATTTATATTCTAATAGTATTTCAACACAACAAGGAATGCCTCAAATATTAAATGGAAATTTAAATAATGGAGGTAAAAAGATATTAAAATTTTGAAAAACAGGGGTAGAGAGTACCTTTAAGTAATCATAAATTAGCTAAATTAAGACCTAGAAGCTTGAATTTTTACTCAATATAATTAATATTGGTATCTAATAATCCTCAAAATTTGAGAATTTTTGGTTTATTATTCCACAAGTTATGGACAAAAGAATTTTAATTATCGCCATTATGTGTCTTCATACTTGTCTATTTTTCAGTCATAGTTTGAGAAATATTAAACTGAAAATCATAAATTTTATTTTAGAAGTAGTATTTGTGTAGAATTTCCTAATTATTAACTTGCTCTTTATTTTTAAATTTTTTATTTAAATTAAATTAAATTACCTCCTCTGCTGGAGAAAATATACTATTAAATACATAATGGAAATTAAAAGAAAAATAAAAATATTTTTTAATTTTTATAATATCCAAAAAATATTTATTTAGTGGAAGAAAACAAAAAGCAGGCAAGCGTTTCTATATTAAATGGAAATCACACAATAACTTTACCTATTACAAAAATTCAACAACAAAAACCGTCCAAAATTTCACAAAATAATCATCAGAATTATTCAATGAAAAATCAGAATAATTTGTCCTTTGATTCGGACATTTCTTTGCCCAGTACTGTTAGGTAGGTAATTAATTTAATTGATAATTAATTTTTAAATTTTAATTTTAAGTACAACATCAACAATAGCACAACAACAACAATTACCTTTTTCTGAATTATTTTCCAATCAACAACCTTATTCAAAGGTTTTAAAAAATTATATAAAATATAAAAAAATTCGGATTTAAATTAAATATCGACTTGATTGAATTTCAAATTCTATAGCCGGCTAAGTTCCTTCTCAGCCTAGCAAATAAAAAAAATTAAAACGATTAGTCGTTGTGGGATGGTTAAGCACCTTCCATCGCAGAGCTCTCAGCTCTCACCTTCTCTCAGCTCTCTCAAAACTCTCATTAGTCCCCTTCTATTTTTTGCTATTTTCACGCTAATAACGATATATGTATCCTTTCCCCCTTCTTTTGGGACTTTTGGACACCTTTCCTCCCCCTCTCCTTCTCCTTTTAATTTAAAAAAATTTTTAATAAAAATTTTTTTTAATTTTTAAAGAAATATTATTCATTATCATCTTCCTCATTACCTCCATTAATATCTTCTTCTTCCCCTTCAAATAAAAATCAACAACAACAACAAAATCGTCGCTTAACAGCAACAGAAAACCAATTTTATTTAAATAAACAAAATATCCAATTACCTCCAAGAGTTTTACATTTACGTAAACAAGAACGTTTTGGACTTCCAAAAGCTAAAAATTCTTTAGAAGAAAATTCTTGTAATAATAAATTTCGAGAAAAAAGTATTAGAAGAGCAAGTAGTGGAAATTATAATAATAATATATTACAGAGACAATATGGGGTAGATAATGAAGTAAATAATGAAAAAAATGTAAAAAATTATTTTTTGAGTTTTAAAATTATTAAAAAATAATTCGAAAATTTTTAGAAAATTAAAAAAATTTTTTTTAATTTATAAAAAAATATTTTTATTTTTTAAACATTCCAGTGAGGCATTTAAGAGCCAACGCTTACTTGAAGGCTTATAAGATTCCCAAATAAAATTCTCAATTGGCCTTCCAATTTCTATATTAAATACTCCATTGTGTTAGCTACCTTGCTTAAAAATTTCAAAAATTTTGGTTTTGTATTTGAAAAATTTTAGTTAAAAAATTATATGATTGACAAACAAATGATTATGAAAATTTTCCCTTTTCTATATTTTCTCTAATATATTATTAAAAATTTGAATTTTTTAGCAATGTTAGCTAACATTATCTAGAATATTTTTACAAAATTTTATGGCTATAGATTATCTCTTTTTAACTTTTTATAGTTAACTCCAGTAACAATATTGTTATAACTCTCGAAATAAATTTTAATTTTCAGAATTTATTTTAATTTAAAAAAATATTTTTTAAAAAATTCAAACAATTTTAAAGTTAATTCCTTTTCAAACAAGAACTTCTCTTCCCAATGGGGATTTATCAATCGAAAATATTAATAAAAATTCAAAAAATTCTTCAAATTTAATTCAAAATGGACAAAAACAATTTAACAAAATTAAACTTCCAACACAGAAAATTTATGAAATAAATTATGGACAAAAAAGAAGAAAAGATTTTGAAATTAATGGAAGAAGAATATCCTCACAATTACCTTTAAATGGTTAATTTTAAAAAATCTTCTTTATTTAAATTTTACTTTCCAAATAAAAAATTTTTACAAAAAAAAATATTCTCCTCACAGTGAAACTCTTAAATCCTTATATTAATTTAGAAAATAATAAAGTCACTCCATTAGCAACAACCTTTTTCATATAATAGATGAGATCATAAATTTCTTAAGTCCATTCTACACTCTTAAGACTTAATTAAAAAATTCTTGTTGTGACCAGGTTATAGCAGGGATGGATAATTTTGAATTTTAAAAAGCGGAAGGGCCAGAAAACGAAATTCGGCGGAAGGCGGAATCGGAAGAAAATCTAATATTGTTATATAGCTTATTGCAAGGATTAGTCCAGACAGTTAATCAAAACCAATTCTTGGAATCTTTCCGGCAACAATTCCTCAAAATCCTCCGTCACTATTGACTATAACTAATTATTTTAAACTTATATAAAATGCAATCTCTCTTTTTATTTTTCTAGATAATCCAATTAATCGTTATAATAACAACATAACTCCATTACTTACAACTCGTTGTTCGCTTCCAATAATTGAACCAAAAATACAAAATCATCAACAAAATCCAATTTTACAAAATCAAAAAACATTAATTAATGTTAGTTAATAATTTAATTTCCAAACAAAAAAATTATTTTTTTCTTCCAATTTAGCCTTCATTAAATACCCAAAATAATTCTCAAATATTCCCAACTTATTTAAATAATTCTTCAATGTTTAACTCTTACAATGAAAATTTAATAGAAAATTCTGTTTGGAATTTTCGACAAAAGGAAAATTTGAATTTTTATCAAAATAATGATGGGGAAGAGGAAGAAGAAGAGGTTTTTCATTTAATTTCTTTGAATTAAAATATTTTTTTATTAAATTTTAGACGTGGCGTCGTTTACCAATTAATTAGTTGGATTTACAGAAATGAAATAATGAGAAAAATAAAATCCCATTATTTTTTTGTTTATTTAAATTACGATCTCAAATTTTAAATTTTTAAATATTAAATAATTTTAATTTTTAAATATTAAAAGTATTTAATTTTTTGTTTGATTCCTATTTTATAACTTTAGTAGTCAAATACATACAGTGGTGGTCATATGTTTATGGACAACACCGATTTATCAATAAAATCCCTCATAACAAAACTAAATAAGAATCAACCGAAAATAAAAAACGACAGTTCAAATACTCAGTTCATTTGCTATAAAATAGCCTAGTTTTATTAAAATCCACCATTTTTGAGATTCTAGATCTCGATGAAGAAAGTAGGTACAGACTTCATTCTTTTTACTTTTCTATTCAGTAACGTTGGAAATGTTCACAGAAATTTTTGTAGAATTTTTGCACCAACTAAAGTAGGGAAATCCAAGGTTATTTAATTTGTCCATAAACATATGACGCGTTAAAAATAGGGGTGGAGAGATTTAGATCGGGTTTTAATTATGCTAATGAAGGTGGATTTAAATGAAACTAAGGTATTATATAGCAAATGAACTGGGCATTTGTTTCATTGAATTACATATATTTTTGATTTATTCTTATTAAGTTTTGTTATAAGGGATTTTATTGATAAATCGTTGTTGTCCATAAACATATGACCACCACTGTATGTATATCTCAAGAATTTTACTTTTTTTAAAAAAACAAAATAAAGAGCAAAAATGTTAAAGGCTTTTGGAAGATATAGGTATACTGAATCGTCCCCCAGCCCATCTTAAACGGTAAAGGACGTTTTAAAGTCGCCGATTCAGAGCATCGATTTTCCAGCCATAATTTTTTTTATCGTGGTCGCATCTCGAGACCTTTAGAGGACATAAAAATTGTTGTATTGGTCAAAATTTCTGAAACAGTAATTCAGTAAAGTCTCCCACTCCTCTACCTCTTTTTATCTTATCTCGATAATCTCATTATTTTCAAGATTACATTTAAATTTGAATAATCATTTTAAAAATAAAAAAATGGATGGACCAGCAACTCCAGCAACAACTGTTGGCGGTACACAAGCCAAAATTGGTGGAAATCCTGGCACAATTTCAGCTGTTATTTACATTTGTGGAGGTTTAAATTTAATTTTTAAATATAAATTTTAATTTAAATTTAAAAATAGATTGTCACAAGGAGAATGAAATACGTCCAAAAGATCCAATTAGATGTCGAGAATGTGGCTATAGAATTCTTTACAAGAAAAGGACTCGAAAAAGTTTGTTTAAATTTTTAAGAATTTTTAATTTAAATTTTTAGTGATGGTTTACGATGCTCGATAAATGTTCAATAATGATATTTTTGTGGTTTTTTTTAATTTTTTGTTTTAAATTATTTTAAATTGTTGAAAATGAAAATATGGTAATAGTGTCGTTTCCCGGCCCCATTTTTTCTCCCCTTTTTTTTACCCTATGTTTGTACGGAATGGTCAAATTTTCCCCTTTCTTTCATCAAATTTGCCTTTCCATATTTTGCCTAAAAACAATCAAAAAGATTAATTTTTTATTCATTTCTTTTTTTTCGCGAAGTTTTATTAAAGTACTGTATTATTTTAAACAATTATTTAAATTGTTTAAAATTTAAATAATTGTTAACAAGGGGGGGGGGGTAAAAATTAAAAAAAAGGATAAAAAAGTGAGACATGATGACCTTTTTTGTGGTCAAACGCGTACAAATTAATCTTTTTGATTGTATTTAGGAAAATATGGAAAGGCAAATTTGATGAAAGAAAGGGGAAAATTTGACCATTCCGTACAAACATAGGGTAAAAAATTGGGGAGAAAAAATGGGGCCGGGAAACGACACTATTACCGAAAATATTTTTACTATAAATTTTGTCAAAAACAAATTTTTTATGAAAAAAATGTATGGTCAAATAGATAATTTTTAATATATTTTAAAACAAAAAGGTGTGTGAAAAAGGAAAATATTTTTTAATATAGTCGAACCTCATTTTTAGATATCCACCACAAAAATAAAATCAACACCTAGGATTTCTAAATAATATTTTTCACCCCCCAAGCAGATATTTAAAATCGAAGTTCGACTAATAGAAAATTTTATTGAACTTTTCCTAATCTCAAAAACAAGAAACTCAAAAAAGGTTTAATATTTTCGAAAAGTTCAACAATAAATAAACAATAAGGAAATAGGGCTAACGAAATATTTTTCTTTTATCTTTTTTTTAATTTTGTAGTAGTGTTTTAAAAAATCATTGTGAGAAGCATAATAAATTGGCAAAATCTCGGCTATTACCAATATACGTCCAATCGACTTTTATACGTCCAATCACACTTACGCGTCCAATCAAAAAAATTGGATTTTTCTTTACATTTTAAAGTTGGGGTTGGGTTTCAAAACTTTTCTGCATGTTTGAAACCTACATCCACTGGGTCTGTGACTGTTACCTTTATCCTTCGAAATTTCTGAAAGTTATAATCGTTTTTATGAAATTTTAAACAGTTGGCTATAAAAATAGGGTAAAGAACGGTTTCAGACCCAGTGGGGCCTGTGATATTCCCTAACACGCTCAGCTGAGCACTGTGTCCGGAGTTCCTCCAATCGGCCACCTGCCGATACAGCATAACTAGAATTAGGTGGGTAAAACAGTTGCTTTCTTTTTCTGTCGACTATAATCTCCATGTCGTTTCCTAAATCCTGTATCTCACTGTAGACGACGCCAGAGTCTGCACCATTCCCGTCAATATGGTGAACCTCCGTAAGGTATTGAGCGTCCTGAATTTTCAGAATTATTTTAAAATTAATTATTTAATAACCGTTAACAAAGGAGAGAGCAAATGATCAATGAAAATAGGCAGGGTTTTCAGAAATCCTGCATGTCCAACTGTTGTTAAACTATAGACTGTATAATCTTGACATGTTGCTGCATTTGTTCCAGAAGCCAAACCTATCATAAATGGGCATTATTTGAATGGGTAGTCTTCTTGCGAAATCTTTTATGAATTAAGTATTGCGTTTTTGACCGGAGTGAATTCTAAATTTCCGATCAGAAACCGAAAACAGTAATTTGTTCCGAAAAATACAAGATGATAGATTATGATTTTTTCGCAAGAAGACTACCCATTCAAATAATGCCCATTTATGATAGGTTTGGCTTCTGGAACAAATGCAGCAACATGTCAAGATTATACAGTCTATAGTTTAACAACAGTTGGACATGCAGGATTTCTGAAAACCCTGCCTATTTTCATTGATCATTTGCTCTCTCCTTTGTTAACGGTTATTAAATAATTAATTTTAAAATAATTCTGAAAATTCAGGACGCTCAATACCTTACGGAGGTTCACCATATTGACGGGAATGGTGCAGACTCTGGCGTCGTCTACAGTGAGATGCAGGATTTAGGAAACGACATGGAGATTATAGTCGACAGAAAAAGAAAGCAACTGTTTTACCCACCTAATTCTAGTTATGCTGTATCGGCAGGTGGCCGATTGGAGGAACTCCGGACACAGTGCTCAGCTGAGCGTGTTAGGGAATATTACAACTGTTTAAAATTTCAGAAAAACGATTATAACCTTCAGAAATTTCGAAGGATAAAGGTAACGGTCCCAGACCCAGTAGATGTAGGTTTCAAACATGCAGAAAAGTTTTGGAACCCAACCCCAACTTTAAAATGTAAAGAAAAATCCAATTTTTTGATTGGACGCGTAAAGTGTGATTGGACGTATAAGTCGATTGGACGTACATTGTGTAATAGATCCAAAATCTCATTTTAATCGTTAGAAAGGTTTTTGGAATTTCACCAAATCGAGTAAATAAATTTTTTTTGGAATTTAAAGAGATTTTGCCTGATTTTGGGGCTAAATTCTAATATTTTTTTTGAAAAATTAAATAATCCAAAATATATAAATTGATTCTGCTACTCTTTGGGATTTTTGCAGAAAATAATTAGGGCCAAACAAAGAATAAAAAAATATACTTAATATCATTCCTTTCAATTTTTAATATATTCTAATGGCCAGCATTTACTTGGAGCATGTTCGCAATTAATTGATTCAAAAGTCGAATACGTCGTTTCCATTCTCTATTTTCTTCTTTTTCTCCAAACGCTGAAATATTAAAGCTTAATAATTAAAGATCTCCCCATATTATTTTAATTATGAGGAAGAGGCTTAGATTAAATCTAAAACACATGAAAGAATCAGAAATTTTTCTAGCCTTTTTATGGAGATCGAGATTTTTCAAAATCCTTATCGGTTTACTAGCCTTGTTGGCCCATGGAGTATTTAAAATAATATTCAGAAAAAATATTCAAAAAACTTTAAAAATACCAAAAAGTGCTTGTCCCAACCGCTCCATAACTCCACGCAAGTCAGGTGTATTTTGTTTAGTTCCTCCTTTTTGTTCCTTCATTGTTGCTCTTCCCGAAGTTGAGGATGTACTACTCGTTGATTGTCGTCCAAAAAGCAAAACATTATTTAATGCAGGCAAAGCATTCTCCAAATAACGAAATTTTAAATCTGTGTCAGTTTCCAATCTAGCTGCCAATTGTAATAAAAGTTGATAAATTGCCCCAATTGGAAGTGGAGGTGGGGGTATTGAAGTTGTAGAGGATGTATTAGCTGATGATGGAGAAACTGCAGCAGCGGCACTATTCGATGAAGTAGAGAAGAAAGTATCTGGATCTACACGTTTACAAACAATCGGGAGAAGTAGATCGCCTCCAGGAAGGGCAGAATCGTCGTGGTTTAGAGCCTATAGAATAAAATAGAATCAACATAAGTCTAGCGATTAAAAAAGGATTTTTTACACCAGGAACCAAAAAAGACTGGGTAGGAAAACCAAAAGGTCAAAACAGAAATCAGGAATTATTTAATGGAATAATCCTTGGATCAACCGGCGTATTAGAGAAAGTAGAAGAACCCCAAAGAATCATAAATTTTATAAATTATAATACCAATTCAAAAGCTTCCTTCAATTTGTTAGCATTTAATAATCGATTTAATCGTTCCAAAGATGTAAGTTGTGGTTCTGATTGTTGTTGCTGCTGTTGTTGTTGATAATGCTGTTGTTGTTGTGCCGCAACTTTTATTTGTTCTAATTGTTGTTTACTTAGGGTTTTCAGTTGTTCTATAAATTCTTGAAGACCAGAACGGAAAGACTCATTTAATTGGTGAAATAGTTGGGTACAGACAGATTCGACCTAGAAATTATTTTTGAAAATTATTATTAAAATCATCGGTATAGTCAAAAAATAAACTTGGAGACTAACCTCTAGACTCCCAGAAAGAATAGAACTCTAAAAATAATGAACCGAGTGATCCAGTTAAGCGGAAGAATTCCCCCCCCCCCCCTCCTTGGTTCAGAAAAACTTAAACTTAAAAAAGTTCAGGTTTCAGACACTAATATATTTGCAAAAAAATTAAAACCTGTGGAACCAGAATTCGTTCTAGACTTAAATGAATCTGTTCAGAACCACGTCTTTGAGCATAATCCATATTTCGTTGCAAATTTTCCGAATGATTTGTCAACAATGCTTCAGTGCTTCTCACAATCTGTTCAGCTCCCTCATTGTATTGTTTAATAACTAATGACTGCATTCGATCCTCACGAGATTTTAATTCATTTGCTTTAAAAGAAAAGATTTTTCATAAGTAAATTTAAAGTAGTGGGACAATAACTGACTCTAAATTAATTATAATCTAATTAGACATTCTCCCCTAACCATTTGTAAATTTTTTTCATATAATAGAGGATTCTTATGTATATCAGACCCAATCTTTCAATATAACTAGGGCTGCCGTTTTCGAGTCGGGCTACTGGTCGAGGCATTTTTTTCGGGCCTAACTTTATCGAGTCGAGACGTACGAGTCTTTTTGGGCCAAATATCTTATGTTAGTCCCGACTCGATCTTTCGGTCCGAGTCGGGCCATTTGGCAACCCTAAATATAACCGAAAAAAATTTAAAAAATACAAATTTTCTCCAAAACATTAGACAAATTGTCTGCTTGATTTGCCCGTAACTGCTCATTTTCCACTTGTAGTTTTGTCAATTGCTGTGAAAGCTCGTCCATCTTTATTTTTAATTAATTTATTTAAAATTTATAACAAAAAAACCTTTTCTCCAAATTCACCAAAACGTCTTTCAATTGTTTCATTCATTTTTTCAAAAAATTCTTTGTTAATATTTAAAGGTGGTTGTTGCCATTCACTCCGATAGTAATTACTTCCATTAACGTCGTCAATACAACCAAAACTTTTATTATTTGAAGCAGCAATATTGTCAGCAGATGATTGTCTTGCAGAACGATTTGTGTCGTGTAAAGACAAGGATTGATTACTTAAATTATTATAAAAAAATTAATGTAATTTGGTATTTTATCTCCCCAAAATACAAAAAAAAGATGGTGGAAGTTAAGAGTTAAAAAATGAAAAGACTGTCTGCAAAAAGAGAAGACAGGCAAACATGATCAGGATTTCTGAGAAAGACATGTTGGTTCTTAATGATATAATTCCAAAAATCATAGAAATAATACGGAGAATTTAGAAGAAGTCAAATTTTTATTTATCTAAAAATTAAAAAATAATATACTTTTTAACCAAATTGTTTGGATCTATAAGTTCTTCCAATAATTGTTGTGTTTGTTGTTGTTGCAAATTTTCTGGTGCAGAATTTTCAACCGATTGAGTTGAAATAAAAGAAGGATGAATGTGATGACTTCTCGATGATTGTTGTGAAGTACTTATTGGAATTGCTGAAGCAACAGAAGGATTTACATTAAATACACGGTCCTATAGAAGAAAATTTAGAAAGAAGAAAATTCAAAATTCAAACCAATTCAACATTGATTTCTAAAAGAGAACGTTGTGTAATAGCGATTAAAGTAGCTATTGTAGAAGGAGTTGTTCCAGAATTATTATCTCCACCAAATACTAATTGATCTTCGTCTTCTAGAGATAAATCTGCAGCTAAAAAATTTAATTTTAAAAAATTTATCTATGAAAAAATATTTACAATGATCTGTCAATGAACATGGCACAATACAAATGAGCGGATTGCAAAAACTAATTTGAGTGCAGGCAGCAAAAGAAAGCGGACCAATTTTTCCAGAAGGCTGCGGCATGGGCTGGGTGAGTTCGATGCAGAAAAGATTCTAAATAATAAATTATAGAAAGGATATAAAAATAAAAAAGCTAAAAAAAATGACTGAAATATAAAATCGGAATTTTCTGAAAGTTAATCCGAAACGATCTAATTTCCAAAAAATTTCTTACAGAAAGATCATAGTCGGCAACAAAAAGAAAATGCATATTTGGTTCCGCCAAAAGTTCCATTCTCGTTACTTGATTCGGCGATTCAAATCTTAATTTAGCCATACATTGCCAATTATCACAATCAAAAATTGCTAAACGCCTCCCGTTATCAGATGAAAGAACAACAGTTTTCCATAAAGAATCCAAAAAAATTAATTCCTCGATTGGATTGTTAGCAAGTGGACGACAACTACTCGCTATTTGGATATCATCATCAAATTGTTCAATTACAAAAAATGCCAATTCTCCATCTGAACCGGTTACTACTAAAGCTGTTGCATCTGGACTGATTTTACAGGCTGTGATTTCCTTTAAAAAAATTTAATTTATATTATTTCCAAAAATTAATTAAAATCGAAGCGTAAAGTGAAAGGCACGGACTTGAGAGAAATTTACGGTTATGTTGAAATTGTGACATGTACATTTATATAAATTAAATTTCGAGTCTATGAGAACCCCCCTCACAAAAAATATTTAAAATAAAAAAACAAACTGATTCAATTTGAACACTCGTCATTACACCTTTAAGTTCTCTAATTCGTTCATAAGTAACTTCTGTACGGCCAATTTCTTCTCTAATTTTGTTTAACATAAATAAAGTTATTTGTTGACCCTTAAAAATAAACGAGATAATTTTTAAGACATAAAAGAATAATAAACCTGTACAACACCAAGTAAATGAATTTCTTCATGTTCACCATTCTCGCTTCCATCATCTGATATATAAGGACACCAAACAAGACGAGCAGGCCCTTTATTTGTGTGATCACCTTCTTTTATGATAATTAAGTATTTGCTTCTGAAAATAAGTAGAATGTGTTAAAATTTATTTTAAAATAAGACACAAAGGAAAGTTCACTCATACACATGATCCCCTCACCCATTTTCAAAATAAATATTTACAAAAAAATTACGAATTTTACGAATTCTAGACAAAAAAGGGAGAAAATGGGATCTGAAAATTAAATGCGGAATGCGAAACTTTTCGCGCTGAAAAATGCGAAACGCGAAAATGCGAAATTAGCCCAACCCTAATCTAAATCCTCAAGTGTTGTTACTCGATAGAAATAGGTGAAAAGCTAGAAAACTTTCGATAGTCTTCAAAAAAGCTGAAGGACTTGACAACTTTTCTAACAAAAATTTAAAAAAATACAATTTCTGTCCACTATTATCCACCATATAAATGTAAATATTTGTATTAGCATCCAAAACAGCCAAAAGCGGGGCATGTGTTGCCCACTGCAAATCAACCGTTGGATGTTGAAAATCTTTAATTAAATGACGAAAACGTTGATCTCTTTCAAGTACTCGAACAGCTTCCCCCGTAGTTTCATTAAAAAGGCGATAAGCAATCTTTAAATTTAATAAGATTTTTAATAAAATTCTTCCAAAAAAACAACCAATTTATCATTACAACTAAGAATTCTTCCAGCATAATTTGTTTTACTTTCCCATTTGTATTCTGTCAAAATTTGGGAAGATGCACGGACAGAGTCCCGCAAACGCAAATTATTGTCTTGTTGGGGTTGCTCTATTTGTAAAATTACGTTTGTGCCAACAGCAAATTGAAGAACATCATCAGAACCAGTTAGTTTACTTTAAAAAGAATAAAATTGGGTATTTATTTTACAAAATTTACTGTTTCTCAATATATGAGGAAGGAGAAGTAATTAAATCACTGCCACCAATCATTTTTATTGAAAATCACTTAAACATGAAAACATCAAGAATTTGAAAAAATTATCTAAAAAAATTAATTTGTTTACCAACAAAAAATATTAGACGTTTTAAACAATTAAAGTTAATCGACAATGTGAAATTAATTTTTATTCTTTTCAAATAAAAAAATTAGTGAACAGCACTGGACCGGATTATTTAATTAATTTTCAACCAAAAATCAACACTATACATATTTACAAATATCACAGATTGAAGGAAAAAATTAATTTTTAACAATTTACAAATATTCGTTTTTTACATCTATTCTCTCAACATCTTCCATTACTTCTACAAATTCTTTTATTCTTCCGAGCCTTCCTCTCCCTCGGCTGCTTCTTCCTTTCCTTCTTTCTTCTCTTCTTCATTTTCCTTCTTTTCTTCATCAGTTTTTGTCTCTCCAGTTGTATCATCACCACTAATTGCTGTCTTTGCCCCTCCTCCTCTTCCTTCCTTGTCCTCTACAGACGATTCTTTTGCATCTGGTGCTGCTGCAGTCTTTGTAGCTCCACTGAAAAATTTTTGAGAAATTTTAAAATTTTTACACAAAAATTTTTTTCCCATACCTTCCCTCTCCAGGCACAGCTGTCTTTGCATTTTCAAACCCTGCCTCATCATCTTCCGGCTCCCATACAAAATCTCTATTCCTTAAAATCGCTATTCCTTAAAATCTCTACTAGGCTAAAAATGCTTAAAATCTCTATTCCTTAAAATAACTATTCCTTAAAATCTCTACTGGGGTAAAAATAATTAAAATCTCTACACCGCGCAAATGAACGGTTGAGTCTCAACAAAAGTGTAACATCTGAATCTTTCTCTGGAAAAACCAGACTTGTTAATGGATACGGGTACAATTAGTTTAAAAATGGCTGCATATCCGCCTGTATCCGCCTTAAATATCGAAAATATAAGACACGACTGCTTCGCTGCGGTCGTGTTCATTTTCCTTGCGGTGATCGTATCGAAGCGGCTGCTGTCGTTCCGCTGGACATGCCTGGGTTCATCCGCAGCGTCAAAAACTATACAAGCAAAAGATAATCCAGAAATCAGATCAAAAGATAATCCAGAAATCAGAACAACGTTCCCGCACTTAACGTTGGCACTCAAAAGGCTTCTTAATAAAAATAGATATTTTCGTGTCCGGTTAACTCATCTACTCGTTAACTCATCTACACGGCCAAAAACGTTCAACTCATCTAAACGGCTAAAATTCCTTAACTCATCTACACGGCCAAAAAGGGGTCAACTCATCTAATCGTTAACTCATCTACTCGTTAACTCATCTACACGGCCAAAAAGGGTTAACTCATCTAATCGTTAACTCATCTAATCCTTAACTCATCTACACGGCCAAAAAGGGTCAACTCATCCAATCCTTCGGAACGAGACTATTGAGTACCGGCCGTTTGAGTCTTTGGCCGTCTGAGTCTCCGGCCGTTTGAGTCTCTGGCCGTCTGAGTCTCTGGCCGTCTGTGTCTCTGGTAAGTTGAGTCCATGACCAGTTGAGTCCATGGCCAGTTGAGTCCATGACCAGTTGAGTCCATGACCAGTTGATTCCATGACCAGTTGAGTCCATGACCAGTTGAGTCTCAACCGGCGGTACTCTACTGGCCATGGACTCAAACGGCCGGTACTCAATAGTCTCGTTCCGAAGGATTGGATGAGTTGACCCTTTTTGGCCGTGTAGATGAGTTAAGGATTAGATGAGTTAACGGTTAGATGAGTTAACCCTTTTTGGCCGTGTAGATGAGTTAAGGATTAGATGAGTTAACGATTAGATGAGTTAACCCTTTTTGGCCGTGTAGATGAGTTAACGAGTAGATGAGTTAACGATTAGATGAGTTGTATAGGAGCCGATATTTTGCCTATTTTTGAGCCTTGTAGAGATTTAAGGCATTTTACTCGTGTAGAGATTATGAGGAATAGAGATTTTAAGGAATAGTTATTTTAATCATTTTTAGCCGAGTAGAGATTTTAGTAAATTTTAGCTGTGTAGAGATTATAAGGCATTTTAGCCCAGTAGAGATTTTAAGGAATAGAGATTTTGAGGGGATACGCATCTTCCAATTCATCTCTAAGCACAGCTGTTTTCATACTACCCCTTCCACCACCAGCAGCAGACCCACTCCCCAAACGTATGCTTACTTCAACCGCTGTTTTTTCCTTTACTGAAATTGCCGTGTCCTCAGATCCAGGAGCATAAGAAAAGAGTTCGGTTCCTGTTCCACGCGCCGTTTCCATTTCATCCCTAAAAATAAGGAAAAGTTTATAAAAATAAAAACGAGATTTTCTTACTCTTCCTTCTCTTCTGTCTTCACTTCACTTGCAGCGTCTTTTAATTTCTTGCCAAGTTCAGATCCTTCAGTTTTGGACGAACCACCATCGGATGCGAGATCCTGCCTCTCCAAATCTTTATCATCTTCCGGATTCTTTTTCCTCAGCATACAGCAACAGACAAAAATGGCTACCAGCAGGAGAACCAAGAAAATGATGACCACAATTAGGAAGAGATTGCCACTACTTTCTGTACTTGCTGCAACTGTTGTTGTTGTTGTTTGTGCACTTGTTTTGGTTTCCTTGCTTGGTGGTCCGGTCTGTTGTCCTGTTGTTTCTGTTGACGGTTCAACTGGTTCTGTGGTCGTTCCAGGCGGCTCTGTTGACGTATCTGACGGTTCCGGGGGCGCATTACTTGTTGGATCCCAAGTATCATTGTTTGGAGGAAAACTGAGAAATAAAAGAAAATTAGTCATTGAAAACTTTGTTCGTTTATTTTACCTTGTTTGGTTATTGAAACTTCCATTCAAAGAAGGTTCAGTCGGTGTAGATTCAACAAACCTGAAAATGAAAAGAGAAATCAAGAAATCAAATTTATCGAGTTTCTTACGTTGTGTCTGTGCTGCTACTTTCTGGGTTTCCGGCATCCTCACCCTGAACTTCAGCTCCATCTTTTATTTGGCCCTCGTTTTCGGCACTTCCGACGTCTTCCTGTTGAACTTCTGTTCCATCCTCTTTGCTCTCGTTCTCAGGTGGTTTGACCTCTTCGCTTTGATCTTCATCTTCTTTCTCTTTGTTCTCGTTCACAGGGGTTTTGGCGTCTTCCTCATTTTCAGGGGGGTTTCCCTCATCCTTTTGTACTTCGGTTCCATCTTCCTTGGCCTGATCTTCGTTCTCGGGACTTTTGACGCCGTCGGCTCCACCTTCTTTGTTCTCGTTCTCAGTAGCGACGTCTTCCTTCTGAATTTCGGCTCCAGCTTCTTTGTCCTCGTTCTCAGGAGCGACGTCTTCCTTCTGAATTTCATCTACACCTTCCTTGTTCTGCTCTTCATTCTCGGGGCTTTTGACCTCTTCCTTTTGAACTTCAACACCCTCGTCAACTTCAACTTTCGATCCATCGTCCTTTGTCTCATCATTCTTGGTGGAATTGTCTTGCTGCACCTCTACTTTGCTGGCTTCTTCCTGTTTATGTTCATCGCTCTGAAACCCTTCTCCCGTTGTACTGCTCTGTTGACTTTGCTCTGTGTCATTGCTATAAAATACAATTTAAACTTTTATAACAAAAAATTGTTTCGAGAAACTTACTTTGCATCGCAAAACGTGGAGAGGAGTAGCAGCATACACAACAAACAGAAAGAGATTCTGCTCCTAGACATCTTTGTGGAACGCAAATGGAGAAACTGTCGTTGATGAAAGAGTGAACCGTTGTTGAAGACTTTTTGTTATGGAAACGATTGGTGGTTTTCTAATTTAAAAGATTCTTTGCTTTTATAGTAAATTCACAAAGAGATTTATCGGATTTACATAATTCGAAAACTTTTGATAAGCTTAATCCTTTACAAATACAACTAGAATCTTTTCTACTTCTTCCGATATTCACTTTCCTGAGCTCTTTCAATCAAATCAGACCTAGGTATTCTAAAACTGAATTGGGTACTGTGTGGAGTTTTCAAAGCTAGTTTTCAAGATAATATAAAGGTGAGTAGTGATGTTCGAGATTCTGGGTCTCGACTCTCGGTTTTTTAACTCTCGAACATCAATCACTACAGGAGGGTCTAATTGTACTATCATTAAATTAATTATTCATTTTTATTTTCTTCAATAATAATATTTTAACAATACTATAACATCAAAATATTTAAAATCATATCTTCTTTACGTTCGCTTCTCTAAAGCGTGCCCGCTCAACTCATCTAATCCTTAACTCATCCACACGCCCAAAAACGCTCAACTCATCTAAAGGGCTAAAATTCCTTAACTCATCCACACGGCCAAAAACGCTCAACTCATCCAATCCTCAACTCATCTAATGCTTAACTCATCCACACGCCCAAAAACGCTCAACTCATCCAATCCTCAACTCATCTAATGCTTAACTCATCCACACGCCCAAAAACGCTCAACTCATCCAATCCTCAACTCATCTAATGCTTAACTCATCTACACGGCCAAAAACGCTCAACTCATCCAATCCTTTGGAACGAGACTATTGAGTACCAGTCGTTTGAGTCCCTGGCCGTTTGAGTCTCTGGCCGTTTGAGTCCATGACCAGTTGAGTCTCTAGCCGGTAAAGTCCCTGGTCAGTTAAGTCCCGGCCGTTTGAGTCCCTGGCCGTTTGAGTTCATGACCAGTTGAGTCCCTGGCCGTTTGAGTCTCTGGCCGTCTGATTCCATGACCAGTTGAGTCTCTAGCCGGTTAAGTCCCTGGTCAGTTAAGTCCCGGCCGTTTGAGTCCATGACCAGTTGAGTCTCTAGCCGGTTAAGTCCCTGGTCAGTTAAGTCCCGGCCGTTTGAGTGGTTGATTACCGCCGGTTGAGTCTTGGGCCGGTTGAGACTCAACTGACCAGGGACTCAACTGACCAGGGACTCAACCGGCTAGGGACTCAACCGGCCGATATTTCAAGGATTGGATGAGTTGAGCGTTTTTGGCCGTGTAGATGAGTTAAGCATTAGATGAGTTGAGGATTGGATGAGTTGAGCGTTTTTGGGCGTGTGAATGAGTTAAGTGTTAGATGAGTTAAGGATTGGATGAGTTGTAGGGTAGCCCTCTAAAGACTTTTCCAATCGTTCACTCCATCCTCTGTGATGTGAAGAGGTTAATAATGAAGGCATTCTACTATTATTATCTTCATCTAAATCTTCTACAGCATTTTTCTGTTCATTTGGAGTTAAAGTTAATTCATTATTTTCCTTAACTTTTCGCCGTTTATTTTCTTCATTCCCTTCCATTTTTTCTTTCATACCAAATGGAAGAAGACTTCCTTCTTTTACTTCAACATCCTCTCTTTCATCTTCTTCATCCTCCTCTTCATGCTCAATTTCTTTATAAGTTCCTCCTATTGGTGTTGCACCATACAACATTTGTTGATTTTTAAGAGGTTCTTCGATTGTCTGAAAAAGAGTGAAAAGAATATATGCCATAAAATATCTCAAAAATATCTCTCTATAAAACCAATCATTATATAATTTTCCAGTCCCTTTCTAAACTTCCCCCACAATTCCAACATGGCTGGACGAAAGTATGGATTGCGGACTGCGTAAATTTCTTGGTTTTTTGACTTACGGACTTTCGGAAACTTTCTTTTCATTTGCATCCAGCCCTGATTCCAATTGAATTTAATTTTTAACTCAATTTTCTTACATTTTTTTCTTCCTTTATATTTGGCTTCAAAATTGTAAAAGGCGAAATTAACTGGGGAAAAATCTTTAAAAGAAAATTATTTATTTAATTTCCAATTATTTTTTAAAAAATTCCAAACATTTTTTGGTTTTAATAAATGATTATTTGTTTTTGTTACATAAATATTTTGTTTATCCATTAATGCTGTTAACCGTTGTGGATTGCCTTGTAGAGGAATTATTGGGGCAATCCCTTCAAACAGTGGCTGTAAATTTAAAGAAAATAAATTATGGACCAACATATGTTTTTAGTTGAATGTTTATCCCCCATTAGAGATGAGAATTTTTGAAAAGCCTTGGCCTGTTCCTGGGTTCCGGGTTTGATTTATTGTCCTGGGCCGGATCCTGGGCATGTAGTCCAGGAAAAACCCAGGAAGATCCAAAAATGCTTGGCCTAAACTCTGGGACAGGGAAAACCCCAGGACTTGGTACAGACCCAGGCTGATCTCTATCCCCTATAAAGTCTTTACAAAAACTCCTTTTACAGTTTAGTATATACAGTCATCGACATAAAGATAGGGGCAAGTGTAAATGAAATGAAAATTAACTATTTTTCATTCAAAAAATACGTTCTATATAGCAATCGAAAGCTCTATTCGTATCTCAGTTGACATGTTTCTGCATTTTTCATGAAAATGATAATTGGCCGAGATAATTCGGATCTACCGGATATCCCAAATCCTATATCCGCGGAAAAATTTTTCCGAAGAAATTTAACAAACCCATTTGATAAAGCATATTTTTGTGAGTATTTTCCACAAAACCGCTTAGAAATATCTTTTTCCGGACCAGAGATATGATTTTTTGAAAATGGCATTTTTCCCTTAAAAATTGAATTTTTTGCAAAAATAGGCGAAAAATGCCATTTTCAAAAAATCATATCTCTGGTCCGGAAAAAGATATTTCTAAGCGGTTTTGTGGAAAATACTCACAAAAATATGCTTTATCAAATGGGTTTGTTAAATTTCTTCGGAAAAATTTTTCCGCGGATATAGGATTTGGGATATCCGGTAGATCCGAATTATCTCGGCCAATTATCATTTTCATGAAAAATGCAGAAACATGTCAACTGAGATACGAATAGAGCTTTCGATTGCTATATAGAACGTATTTTTTGAATGAAAAATAATTAATTTTCATTTCATTTACACTTGCCCCTATCTTTATGTCGATGACTGTATGCTCGGAATTGGAATTTACAACGGAATTTCTGAAATTTTTCATTTAATATTTTCGCTCCCGCAGTCTTGAAAAAGGTTATTCAAAAATTTCTGACAACAATTTAAAAATTAAAATAACCTGAAAAGGATTAAATGTTTTCGTTGTTATTAAAGCTCCTTTTTGTAAAATAGAATTTTTAAAAATTGTTTGTTTAGGTGATGGAATTGGGTTAATAAATTGTGTTTGTAAAGGTGTTGGTGGTGTTGTTTGGGGATAAATGTCATTTAATGTTAATAAAGGTAATCGAAGGGGTGTTGGTTGTTTAGCTAGCCATTCTATACCGGCATCCGATAATAATTTACGTTCTTTTTTGAATAAATTAAAATTTATTTTTAATGTATTTTTTAATTGTTTTTAAAGAGTTTTGAAAATAATCTTTTAATTAATTAATCCAAAACTAGAGGTTTCCTAAATTAAAAACCTTTTTTATTTGAGTTAGGCAGTTAGGGACTTGAATTATGAAAATAAAAAATGGGACTGGGTTTAAAGATTTTTAAAAAGAAAAGAGCTGAGCTATAGCTATTTCTCTCCTTCAGCTAGAGGAAAAGGTTATTCGGCGGCTGGAAGCGAACCAGCATCTTCAGTAGACCGGACTGATGTGTTATCCATTACACCACGCCGTCTACTGCATAGCTTTAGGGAATAATTAGCTGTACGCTTTACAAAAATCTTAGTCTAGGCGATTATTAGACCTAAAGGAGAACTTTTAGATAAATCTTCTTTAATAAATTATTAATTTCCTTAATTTCCAACTTTAATTTTTAAAAATATTTATTCTTACCATACTCTTTAATATTCTCCTCTTCTCCTTCTTCCCCTTCTTTAATAAAAGAAATTGTTGTTGTTGTTTTTAAATAATTATTATCTTCCAATGTTTGACAACCAATTTCAATCCCTTCATTATTAACTAATTTAATATTTGATAAAGAAACAAATCCTTCCTCTTCCCCTTCTTTTGAAAGTAAAATTAATTCAACAATAAATAATAAACGAACAGGAAGAAATGATGGCCGTAATGGGACACGGAACTTAAAATTTTTTTTTGTTTTTAGATTAAAGGCAAGTAGCTTTTCCTCAACCCGACCCATCTCTGTTACTTTTTTTCAATAAATATTAGAGATCCGACCGAGACGAGATCTCAATCGAATTCTCATCGATTCCCGTACGACCTTCCAATCCGATCACTAATAAATATAATATGGGAAAACATTCATGGATTATTTTATTTTAATACATTTTTAAATAAAATCCAATGACCGGACTTTTTCAACCCCAAATCCGACCCGAGAGATTTTCGAATAGCTGGCCCGATTTTTCCTCTACCCCACCCATCTCTGTTACTTTATTATCTAACTTCGGTAGCCGAGAATGGTCAGAATAAAAATATACCTAATTTACTGTAAATTTTGGCTAAATAATTAAACTATAAATAATCTGCACCTATTTCCTTTTAAAATATTTTTTCAATTTATTATTAAAAAAATAAATTTAAATTAATTACTCTATGCCATCCTCCTTCTGTTGCTCCTTCCCTTTCAAATAATTTTAAAATTTCTTTTTCTTCTCCCAAATCTTCATTTAAATAACTAGAAGAATGTGTAGAAGGATTTATTCGTTCAACAACAGCAAATTTAACATTATTACTTTTAAAAATTTTAAAATTTTCTTCTTATCCAAGTTACCTCAGCCAAAGGTCAAAATCAACATAAGAAGCAACTGGAGGTCTAAACAAAGCACTAACCATTTGAGAATGGTCTATAGCAGATAAGGGCAAAGGGGAAGAAACTGATAAAGTCGAAAATGATTTTAATTCGATCGAAACACTTCCATGGGAATCACTTTTCCATCCAGGGCCCAAATCCCTTTTAAAAAATTTTTTTTCAAATATTTCAGAATAATTTCAAAACCAAAGACATATTCCATCCATAAAAGAACAACTAACTGCAGTACATTGTTCATTCTTTGCAATTCTTTCTGGAATATTTAAAATAAATGTTTAAATAAATTGTTCCTTTTGCCCTATAAAGTAGGCTGTAGGGAACATTTCTAGCTCGTTTTGATTAAAATGGATTTACGGGACTCGTGGAATTTATATAAACAGAGGCAACAAATAAACCCCTTCATGGATGTTTATACAACTTTGTCTATTGACATTCTAATTTTTCTAACAAAAATTTAATAATTCGAATAATTATTTACCCATTGTAGTTGTTGTTGCTGAAGGTCTTTCAATAAATAAGGGTGCTTTGGGTCTAAAAAAATTAAAAATTAATTTTTAATTTTTCCAAAAAAATATTTAACCTATCAATATTTTTATTTTCTTCTCTAAAAAATATTTTATTATTTCTTCCAGTTAATGGTGATAATCGTACGTGTTTTAAAATTGTAGTATTATTTTTATTTAATTTCTCTTCTTTTTTATTTTTAATTATTTCAGAATATGGAATTATTCTAGTTATATTATTATTCTGATTTGTATTTTCTTCTTCAGAATTTTTAATATTTGACGATTTTCTTTGTTTGTGTTTTATTTTAATATTCTGATTTTTATTTGTGTTTTTATTTGTGTTTTCTTTTTTTATATTCTGATTTAAATAATTCTGATTTTTATTTATTTCCGTGTTTTCTTCTTCTGATTTTCTTTGCTTTTTTATTTTATTTTTATTCTGATTTTTATTATTTGTTTCTTCTGTTTCTGAGGGTAATATTTGAATATCATCTATTCCAATAATATCTTCTGCTAAAAAATCAGAATTTTAATTTAATTCTTGTATTTACCAGAAAGTAAATTCCTTGCTTTAAAAATAATTTTAAAATTTTTTTCTTCTTTAGGTAATTCAATCATTCTCAAAATCCAATGATTTTCTCCCAATCCTTGTATTGAATCTATACATTTTTCTATTTTATTTTTATTTTCTTCTTTTTCAATACAAATATCCATTGAAGGGGTATTTGATAATTTCCAATAATTAAAACGTAAAAGTTTTTTGTCTGATGAAATTAAGGGACTTGAAAGTTTTCCTTCTAAAGGTGATCCATAATGGCCTTGAACATAGGCAAAACGATCTCCTAGAAAAAATTTTTTTTATTTAATTCTGAAATTGAATATTTTTAAAACACAAAATTCTGATTTGTGTTTTATTTGTGTTTTCTTTAATTTATTTAATTGTTCTGATTTTTTTTATTTTTGCATTTTCTTTCTTTATTTACCTCCACTAGAAGAATGAATAACATAATTAACAGAATCTACTAATACTTCATTTCCAGTTTTCCAAATATTATTTTCTGGTTTCCAACCACAAAAATCCTCTTCTTCTTCTTTAATCTTTTCAAATGTACAATTTATTGAAGAAGTTGAAATAAAATTAATTTGAAAACAAAAAATTAAATAAAAAATTATTAAATTATTGAACATTTTCTACAATGAAATCTTTTTTATTTTAATCTAATTTACCGTAAAACATGTATTAATTGCCCTCCCTCAAATAATTACCACACTTCTATTAATTACCCCATCAGCGATAAATTGAAACAACAATTACCTCCCCCCCCCATCAGGGCCCGTAGAATAAGAACTCGGTTGCTGGTTAGGTAACCGCCAACCGGCGGTTTTAACCGGTAGAATAAGACGGTCGTAAGGTTAACCATGACCTTGTGGTTAGGTGACCTGGTTACCTAACCAGCAACCGGCGGTTAAAATCAACCGGTAGCATAAGACACGTTAAATTCCTAAAACACGTTAAAATTTCAAACCTAATATAATTACCCTCCCTCGATTAATTACTCCCCCCAGCGGGAGGTCGAAACAATAATTACCCAGGGTATTTAATAAAGGTTTTACGGTAATCAGAATTTTAAATAAACACAAAGCTATTGGACATTTCTGATAGTAGTTAAAAACAACATCAAACCGTTAAACAGATTTTAATTAATTAAAAAACATTTAGGACAAATTTAAAATAAATTAATAATTATTAGGTATGTATATTTTCAAAAATCATTATTCAAAAAAATCTCAAAAAAAAATACTTTTAAAATATAAAAGTGAATTACTGAATGCGCATCAGACGTGGGCGAAACGTTTCGTTTCGTTTCGTTGTTTCGTATGTTTCGTATGATTTTTACTGTTTCGTCTCGTTTCGTTACGAAACACTTTTAAATTTGTTTCGTTTCGTTTCGTTACGAAACACCTGTGATTTTTCAACGAAACGAAACAATTTTTTAAGCCTAAACTAAGGCCAAAATCTATAAAATTAACCATCTTTTATTGAAAATTAAAAAAATTTTCGCCTGCGGCGCTGAAAAAGGAAGATATCAATTACTTATATACTACAAATCCGTTTATACTCCACTCCCTAATCCGCATATACATATTACTTAATCGACGACAAATTCTATTACCGGACTCGCATCATAATTTAAAAATTGCGGATTGCGAGTTGCGGAAATACTGGAACCGGAACTTCCGGCGAAGCATTAGCTTATATCGCTCTCCTCTCGAAATGGAGATATGGAGACAATTTGGGTAGGCAATGGAGCAAGATAGTGAATTTTTTGGCCTACGGCCTTTCAAAATTTTAAAATTTTTCGTCTGCGGCGCTTAAAATAAAATTTTACTTGAAAAATATTAAATTTTATTTGAAAAAAAGCGTCGCCAAAAATTCGGCTTCGAAAATGATTGACCCCCCCCCCCCCCCTTCCCCGAAAATTTTCCTTGCTACGGGCCTGGCTTATGGGACAAATTGTTGTAAATAAACCAAAAACTAAATCATTTATAAATCGTAGGCGACTAATAAAGTATTTGAGGTCGAATAATTGCGAAATAAATGAAGTTTTGAAAATTTTTTGAATATTAAAATGTTTCGTTTTGTTTCGTTTCGTTTCGTAAGATTTAGGTTGTTTCGTTTCGTTTCGTTAACGAAACGATTTTAAAAAAATTTTGTTTCGTTTCGTTTCGTCAGAAAAAAATTTTGAGTTTCGCCCAGGTCTGATGCGCATCAACAATTAACATATGAAATGGACCGATTCAAAAAATACTCTACTAAATAAAAAGCAAAAGTACACATTCCTTTCCAATAAAAATAAAATAATTTTAGCTTTATTTTAATCCATATCAACTGGAAAAAGCGAACTAGTAAATCTATGCCATCCTATAACAATTAAATTTTTAATTTTAAAAGTTAATATGTATAATCCACAATTATTAAATCATCAATTAAAAACTGATATTCGAGTATTTTTAAATAATTTCCTAAACCTTCTCCCTCCCTTCAATAATTAAAACAGATACTAATTAAGGTTTATTTTGCGTTTTTACCTTTTAAAGGTTTTTTCCTTCTAAAAGTCTTTTCCTTTTCATAATGCCTCACCATAAGACACACTCTTGGAGCTAGTTGGATCTTTCTCTTCCTTGCAGTATCGTATAATGAATGTCTTGAATTGGGATATCTCTTTGGCAGTCCTTTTCTCATCAAGTAGTTAACAAAATTTTTAAAAATTGCAATTAAATATATTTTAAAATCAAGATCTGAGTTGGGCATTTGTTTCACTATAAAAGTCATTTGCTCCTTTAATCTAAGCCTCAGTGTTAGTGCACCGTTATTCATTTTATTTTATTTTCAACATTTTCATTGTTTATTGTTTCTTGTATTAAAATCGTGATTAAGCACATTTTGTTAGTTGCTATTTTATCTAGTTTTCTTTTTTTTTATCAATTACTAAGACAATAAGGATTTTAGTGCTTAACAAAATGCATAATTTTTAAATAATTTTTTATCCAAATTTTAGTGCTTTATTTAATTTCTTCAAAAAAATGTTTTATTCTTTACCAACGGAAACAAAACTTGATATTTTTAAATGTCTCAACTACAACCAATTATGTTCAGTTAAACAAACAAATTTATATTTTCGTGATTTTATTAATAATTTTGAAGGAGAACTTGCTCGGGAGAAAATATTAATCTTTGCCTTTGTAATATTCTTAATTTGTTTAAACTTTTAATCTTTTTAAGGAACATATCGATAAATATAAAGGATATCCTCAAACATTAATTAAACCCAAAGGTGAAAATTTTAACTTTATTTTGAATGAAGAGCTGGAAAAGAAGGTATAATTAAAATTTTAAAGTCAAAATTTCCTTTCTTTTTAGTTCAAAAATGGACTAGAAAAACCAATTCCTTTGTATTTACCTGATCAAGATTCAAACAAAAATCGTGTTATCAGCTTATATACAGGTTAAATTTTGTTTAATAAAATTTCCGGATATAGTTTAGTATACCGGAGTCTTAGTACAATTCGTCTCGGCGAGCTGACCACTCTTTTTTTCGGAGATGCCTGTAGACCGAGATATAGGTCCACGAAAATCGAAAAACCATGGGGAAAGTAAGCACAATTTTGGGGTGAAAAATTCGATTTTTTGAATGATAGCTCATGCGAAAGAGCTCCTCGAGCTGAGCACCAAAATCAGCTTGATTGAATGATTCTGAACTAGTTATGCCCAACTGAATCTTGTCTGGAAAAACTGTTTTTGTGCTGCTACGGAGAGTAGGCCGGGCATGGTCTTCGCTACACGATGGCCGTGCTCGCTTCGCTCGCGGCGACCGTAGCGAAGCGGCGGTCGTCGTTCCGCTCGGCATGTCCGGTTTCCTCCGCAGCGGCAAAAACTTTCTTCCGCGAAGGCCTTTTGGGAGGGGTCAAAACAAACGGTCCTAACATTGTCAAATCAACTCAAATTTTCTTTTAACTTGAAAAAATTTTCAGTTCACGGGATTGGCTGCCTTTTTCTACAATTGCCAACCATTATTACAAGCAAAAATGAAGTCAAAATTGTTTATTATTATTTAAATAAATTATTTAATTGTTCTTTTGGAGTCTGCAGAATTTGTGAATTTAACTTCAATCCAGAATTGATCGAATTATTATTTGGAAATGCTAAACGAGTTTACATTAAAAGTTGTTGGTTGACCATTACTGAATGCAATATTGAAAATATACTTCAATTTACTTTAAATAATTTAGCTTGTGAAGATCTTCGAAATTGTTTTTATCTAGACAAAGACATTATGGAAAAATATACAGAAATTTTATTTAAAATTTTAATAAATGGACGAGGCAATTTTGAAACAATTTATTTGACCTTTGAAAATACTACAGGAATGTTGAAATATTTCAAAAATGTAACAATGTTTTATGAACATATTGTTGAAGTAAGTTATTTATGGAAAATTTTAAAAATAGTATAAAAATTCAAAATTTTAGTATATAGCAACATCTAGAGACTGTTCAAAAATGGTTCCTGTTATTATTTTACGTTATTATAGACCAACAAATCTCAAATTAAATGAAAGGGCAGAAAAAGTTGAAATTGAACAAGGAACTGATGAAAAATATACAAAATACCAAATTGCCAATATTTACAATCCAAAAGTAAAATTCTCATTTATCGTTAGAGAGGATGAAGACCTTTTTACTTCAATTAATATCAACAAAGTATGAAGAAGAAATTTATTTATTTTTTATCTATAAAAATATTTTTTTCTCCATTATTTTATATTGAGTTCACCTTAAGTTATATTTTTTATTCGCTCTTTAAATAAACACACTTAATCAATTTGTTAATAATTTACATTATTATCAGTCAGATGAGAGAGTTCTCCCACCCCCCCCCTCCTTCCCCTCAATCTAAAAAATCACAAAATTTATTTTGCGTTTGAAAATATTGTATACTAATTAAAATTAACAAATATATAAAACGCAAAAATGGAAAAATATGTTTAAAGAAAATATTTTTTCAGTTTTCCTTTTAATTCTCCACAAAATAAGTTCTCTCAATATTCGTCTAATCAAATTCCTCATTTTGAATAAAAACATTTCAATTCTTTTGTCAGTCCCATCTATTTTTGTTTCAATTGGCCATTTAAATCAGTTGAAATAGAAGCATAAATGTTGAATAGAAAAATTAATTTTGTTGTGGAAAAGATCTAAAACAATGGATGGAAAAGAAAATATAAATATAATAAAGTCGGGCCTCACCATAGGATAGACCCTTGGAATTGGTATTTTATAACGGTTAGTTTGGAAAAAATTTGCAAAAAAAATAGTTTAAAATCTCATCACCTTGTGACCAACCAAATTTTAATTAAATATCTTAAATCGAGATGTATCAAGTATTGTGTATCCTATGGTGAGGTCTGCCAACTAATTAAAATAATAAAAACAATGATTGTAAATAATCGAAACATTTTTAGACGAAATTTCACAAAAAAATGTAGAACCATTGCTTTTACTATAAAACATAATTTTGATTTTTAAACAAAAGAATTTTTATGTGTCAAATAATAAAAGCAAAAAAGCATTCTTACGTATACTTACATTAGCCTATAAAATAAATAAATAAAACCCCAAAGATCGCTTAAAATTAAAATTAAATTTTTAGAAGTTTTACTAAAAAAAGCTTAAACTCCCTTAAAAATTCTCAATAAGAATTTTAAAAATTTAAAAACAAAATTTGTATTATTCCAAAATTATTTCATCTACTATTGAAAATGCAAAAAGATAAATTTGGAAAAAAGGGGCGAATCATGAAAAATATTTAAATAAAATTATTTGGATGAAAGGGGAGATTTAAAATATAAAACGAGAAAAATAAAAGATGAAATTACTTAAAAATGGTAAAGGAAATTTTCTAAAATTAGAAAAATAACCATTTTTTGTTCATAAATTGGGAGGAAATATTTTTTAATTATTTTAACAAGGTTTTTGATTTTTTTGAGAATTCTAGGAATTCCCGTGGACTTGTAAAAAATAAATTTTTTCAATCAAAACCTGAGAGAAGGGATATAAAATGGGCGAGAACGAGAGAGAAATGAAAAATAAAATAATAATTTTTACTTTTCCCTTTTAAATTTTTAAACAAAAAAAATATTTTTAGCGCCTATTGCCAGAAGTTGCCATCCTTCGCCGATCATTTTCATTTTTTTGATGAGATGAATGATGTGAAGAACGTTGATGATGATTGTCGTTGTCTCTGCGATGTTCTCGCGGTCGATCACGAGTTGAAGAATTGTTTTTGTTTGTTGATGAAGATTGTTTTTTAATTTTATTTGCTTGATGTTGAGCAGCCTGAAAGGATAATTAATTAAATTTAAAAATAAAAATTTAGGGAATATTAGTAAGGATATCCAAAAAAATTATTGGAAAAGGTCAAATACTTAAAAAAATAACCAAAAATACTTATTTTGACCCTCAAAAATAAATACAAATAAGTATCAAAAAATTAATAATAAACAAACCTCAGCATCAGATAATGGCAAAAAATAAAGTGAAGGTTGAACTTTTGTCTTCTTAAAAAGTTGATTAAGCTTGTCCTGTGATTTTTCCAGTTCCTCTGCTGAAATGGAAAATACTATAAATTAAATAAAATCGTCTAAAGAACCTTTCCGCTTTCTAATTTCTGCTTCTCGTTGTTGTTCTTTCTCATGTTGAATATGCACTTGAGCTCCCGAAGATGAAATTGGATGCTTAAAACAAATTTTCAGAAAAAGTTACCCCAAACTAACAATAGCTTATCAATATTATCAAGTTTGAAAGCCCAAAAAGGGTAAATGGATTCCTAGCTGAAGCCAAGTTAATTTGCTATTAAAAAATTTAAATACCCGGTTGTCAACAACAATAGTAAGGCCACCAAGTCCTCCACCACTTCTTCCTCCATTCTCTGGTAATGAACCGAGCATATCATTTCTACGCAATTTTGAATTCGATTCGCTTTGTTCCTCCGCCTGTCGCCGTCTCAGCTAAATAATTAAAACATTCCTAGATAAAAAAGGAAAACAAACTTTATCGTCGGTAGAAAATTCAACACAAAGAGAATCTGTACTAGCAGTTGGCCAAATGACATTGTGAAGGCGTTCCCGGGCAAGTTCTGCTTGCTCGATTGTTTCATACTTAAGTTAGAGAATTATAAAAAAAATTCAAAGAAAAAATTAACCGTCACAATGCAGTTGCTCTTAATAGAATCAATCCAAAATGCACCTTCATCAACTATACCAAACTTACCAAGCAGTTCCAACAATGCTCGTTGAGTGTATGGACGTTTAAGACCCCGGATGTGCACCCAACGAGAGGGCGGGTTTCTGAAGGTTTTTTGTTATCCACTATAATAAATAAATTGAAAACCTCGCAGGAGAAGCCGCTCTTTTCCTAATAAATCCATCCGGAGTAATTTCTTCCTTCTGTTGTTCAATAGGTGGTTTGCTGGATTCTAACATTTCAACACCTGTTAATGTAGACGAGCGTCGACGTTCAGTTCTGTTTGATTCAGCAGTAGAAGAGATTTGCTGAGCAACAGCCATGGGGACAGTTTGAGACGAAAATTCACCTTCATTTAATTTATCTTCAGCACCTTCCTCTTCATTTTCTCCAATTCTTCTAGTTTCATCCAGACCTCCTTTATCCATTTTCTTTTTCCCAAAAGGAGATGTCTGTCGTCTACGCTTTCCAGCATCATCAACAATATCATCACGTTCATATTCATCATCGCTATTTTCTTTCTGACTTCCAACCTAAATAAAAACAACTAAATTTTAATAAAATATATTTAAAACCTCAATATCAGATTCCTCATCTTTAGCAGTAGATTCTTCTGCAGATTTTGTGGAGCCATTATTTGGTTCCTCATAATCAGTCTCCGACCTTCTCTGAAAATGTTTAAAATTTTTCTAGTTTCGAAATCCTTTGTCGGAATAATAACAAGTAATGATTGAAATGGGTTCTGAAACTACATAAAAATCATTATAAAAATCTACCTTTTTATGTTCCGGTTCATCAGGCACAAACTCTGTACTTCCTTCAACTTCAGCATTTTCCTCGGTAAAAGACTGACTCTGTTCTTCATCTCCTTGTTGTTCAACATGTCCATCTTTTGCATTTGGCTCAATAATTCTTTCTTGATGTGCAATTTGAATTTCCTCGGCCGCTGGCGTTGTGTCCTCATCACCTCCAATATCAGCATAACCTTCTTCAGTAACCGAAGATTCTGTAGAAGGTCGTCCCTTGCCGTCAGATTCTGACTCGTCTTCTTCAGAAGCTTCTTGCTGCGAGTCCTCTTGAAGAACCTTCAAAAAAATTCAAAAATAATTTAAAATTAAAATAAAAACCTCAACGGTCTCGGTCTGTTGTAAATGTGTTTCAGTTGGCTGCAACTGTTCTTGAGGACTGCCAGATGGCTCTTCAGGCACATATTCGTTAGTATCTTCTTCGTGGTCTTGAGGAAAATTTTCAGAAGTTTCTGGAATCTCATTACCAATTAGTTGACGTTCTGATTGTTGAACCATTTGAGTTTGAATATCAGTAGAAGTTGGATCATATGATGAAGAAGCACGAATTTTATCTAAAAGTTTAGAGTAAGATTTGTCTTATAGATAATAAAAAAGATAAAAGACGCCGACTAATCTTAAAGAGAGCTCTGACAAAACTTAAATCAATTACAAATATTTTAATTGTCTTTAGATTTCGCCACACAATTTAAAAGAGTCAAAACATAAATACATTTTGTTTTTTGGTCATTTCACAAAACAAGTCAATCGATTAAAAAAGTGTGGGAAACGTAGCATTATTTAAGCCGTGTTTGCTCCCCCTCCCCCTTCTCATTTTTGTATAAATAAACGATTATAATCTCCAATTTTTCTCATTTCTTACCGGCATCACGCCTCGCCGCTTCAAGTTGAATTTGTTGTTGAACTAAATATTGACTGACCATATCAGGTAAAGAATGAGAAGCCTGAAAACATCAAAACTTTGTCAAAAATATTTTAAATTTAACACACCGTTGGTGATTGTTTCTCTTCTTGATTACCCTCTTCCTGAGGTGTTTCTTGTTGTTTGGTTAATTCTTCTTGTTCTTCTCGCAGAAAATTAAGTAAACGATCAACCAACTCCTTTTTGTTACCAGACTTTGGCAAACTTCGAATCTCCAATTCCTTTCGCAATTCAACTACTTTAAGCTCCGGAACAGGCCGACCGTCAATCAAAAACTGATCACTTTCTGTTGTCATTTAATTTCTAAAAGATAAAATAAATTGATAGTTAAAAATCTGATAAATTTCACAGGGATCTTAAGGATTTTTAAAAGTCTCGAGACTCTCGCGTCTCAAATATCGATCCGAAGCAACTACACAAAGACTAACAATGAAATGTCCAATTTACAAATAATCCAATGTACAAAATGTCAAATATACAAAATGCCAATAAATAAAAAATGAATGCTAAAATCGCAAAATTTTAACAAAATTTTATTTTAAAGTATTTAAAGAAGAGAAAAAAATGAAGTTGAAAACAAAACATTTGAATATATTCATGAAAAAAATTATATTTCGAACTGAAAATTATTTTTTTACTATTTTAAATTGAAATAAAAAATTCAGGCGTTAATAGAAAATAAAATTAGGTAATTCAATTCCAAAATAAAAAAATATTTGACCTCGGCCAGACTCGAACTGGCGACCTTCAGTGTGTTAGACTGACGTGATAACCAACTACACCACGAGGCCACTTGTTTGTTTTCTTATACCTCTTTGAATGAATAAGTTTTAGAGGTGAAAGTTAATATTTAATCTCATACTTCGACCGACATTTACTCACCCTCTTTGCTCTTAACTTCAGTAAATGCTTTCAAATTTTAGGATATTCAATTTTAAATTTGATTATGGTAATTCTAGATTAATTCATTTATTCTATGTGTGTAAAATAATAATTTTCAAATTTTAATCTTTCAAATTTTTAATAATTCAAATTTTTAAGATTTTTTATTTTAAATTAAAAGAAGATATGAATGTGAAGGATTCCACACTTCATTTGTTGCTCTTAACTTCCAGTGCTCTTAACTTCCTGCACTTCTTTTAGAGTGAAATTAAAAAAATAAATATTCCTCATCATATGGCCTCGTGGTGTAGTTGGTTATCACGTCAGTCTAACACACTGAAGGTCGCCAGTTCGAGTCTGGTCGAGGTCAATTATTTTTTTCCAAAATTCAAAAGATAATTTCCAACTTTTATTTTACACATTCACTCAAAACAGACAAAGAAGCTCTACATAACAAACTGAAACCCCAAATCCTACTTGATGTATGATTCGAAAAATGTTATTACGCAAAATTTAAGCCTTCATATTCTGTCGGATATTGTATTGCCTTGAGGGATTTGTCTCTGACGTTGTCTGGTCTTTTACTGAGAAAATGGAAAGGGAGCACAGACTACGATGGTCAGAGACAAAGGGAGGAGAGAGATCACAGCGTGATATCGAGCGGTATTTCTTCTTAATCCGCAAATTCACCGCAGCAGTAGACCGGCTGGTAGTGCTTTGCTTGCAAAGACTCGACTCTCTTCCAACATTTTTCCTCGCTCGGCTGGCTTTATCGATGCAATGAATGAGAGAAGGATTTGAGACAATACTCTCCATTAAAATGTGTATTATAATTTAATCTCTCTTCTTTGAATTTCTCTTCTTTCTTTTATTAATCTACATTCTTTAAGACAAATTCCGCTCTTTATTTGTCTCTCCTAGAGAATATACACTATTTTTTGTTGTATGAAGGACAAAGAGAGTCAGACAAATAATTTTAACAAAGAATTCATCAAATGCTGCTGTTTATAGAATGACTGTTTAAGTCTAAATTAATTTAAGAAAATTTTTTGAAACTTTTCCTATCTTCCATTCATACTGAATTTTTAAATGATTTAGCAATTCTAACATTTTGACTTTCATTTTCAAACGAATCAAACTTTCGAGACTAAATTATGAAATATTAAAGTTTTATCAAATAATACTCTAATGACAAATTTAAAATTCTACTCACAATCCAATGGTGAGAAGAGAAAGAAAATTAATGAGAGATTATTTCGGTAGAGTGCGCACATGAGTCAGTGTAATTCCTTTTTTTCATTCTTATCCCATCGACGACTGCCTTTGCTAAAAATTTCTTTCTCCCTAGATGCTCACCACCAACGTACGTCCTTCCACACTCCTTTTCCTTCCCACGAATTCCTTCACATTCGACAGTCGTCCATTTTTGCCTCCACCTCCGCCTTAGTTTTGCTGGTTTGGAGTTTACAAACTATATCAACTATCTTGTTAAAGTATCGGGTGCTTTGGCATGATACATAGAATCTAAATAATTTGGATATCTCAGAAGAGAATTTCTTAAAGTTTGCCCTGACATATTGGGAAACATACCACTTATAATCCAAATTTCTGCTTTTTTTTCTTCACTTTTCACATGACTTCCTTATTTAGTATTTATCAGTTTGTGTTGAGTTTTTTGGTCTTTTTTATGTTTATCAAGTTTACTTATGATTTTATTTTCTAGCATTTTCTGTTCTGCGCTTTTTCTTACTAAATCTGTTTAGATTATTAATAAATTCTTCCTTCCTTTTCAGCCGTATCTTTAAAACTTGGTTGAGTTGCTGCTTCTTAAAAAAAACTCTCCATTTTTTTATTTTAAATATCAAAATACGGAAATACTTTTCCATTATTTAATGGAATCTTTAAATCAAAAAGAAACAAATGCCGAAAATTTCAGCAATGAAAACAACAATCAACTTCAAATTTCAGAGCAACAACAATCCAACTCCTTGACGGCATCTTCTTCCTTATTAGTTAATTTAAGAAATAACAACAGAAATCCTGCACTTCATCCAACTAGAGAGGATTCTCCCTACCCTGGACGTGAGGAACTTGCAGCGGCTTCAACATTGAATTCTTTAGCTGAATCGGCAGCAACTGCATCCCTTCGACTCCAGCACCAAATAAATTTAATGGCTCAGGTTTTCTTTTAAAATTTTTAAATTTGGGACAAAATGTCATTCAAAAATTTCTAAAAAAATTTTAAAAAACAATTTTCAGGCTATGGCCACACCTGGAGTTACAGCTGCTTCATTTCCACTTTTATCAAATACAAATTCTATATCATCTTCTCCCCAGCCATTAAGTGGACAACAACAACCATCTTTAGTTTGTGATTCAACTAATGGACTTTCTACAATGCTAGGTCATTATGTGGCTGCGGCAGCTGCTGTTTCAACTGCTGTTGCTATACACCAACAACAGGTATTTTTGTAATTAAAAACACATTAAAAACCTAATCTGATTAATTGGTTAGAATTTATTTTATAAAATTTCACGATAGTCACTTATTCTAATTGAAAATCACTTAAAACCTTGTCTTAATTTTTAAATAATTTCAGCGTCAAGATGTAGTCTCTGTATATAATACTTCCCCAAATCTGGTCACAAGTTATTCAACACCTCTATCAACTTATTTTTCTTCACAGCAACAACAATCAACAAACATAAATAGTTCAAATCAAATCTCTTCAAATTTTTCACAACAACAAAGTTTGGTTAATACACCTTCAAATGACCAGCAAAATTGTATGTAATAGTAAATTTTTAGTTTTGTGTGCGGGAGGGGATTTGGGTTCACTCAACAAGTTTTTCTCATTTTTAGATCCAATCAATATTGAAAATTATTGAAAGATAGATTTTTTGACCTTTAGATATTTCTCTTATTTTAATTTTTTAAAATTTTCTAGCCGTACCGGTATCAGCTCTTTGCTCCTGTACCTTACCTTCAATGTTTGCGGCAGCTGCAGCGACATCTATGGCCGTTGCTGCTGCGGGTGTCTGTCCTTATCATCAAACTTCAATTGTTCGACCATTAGTTAATAATGATCTACAAATTGATCTAAATAATAATGCTGAAACTGGAATACGTTCGAGGAATGAAAATAGTGGAAATAATAATTCTGGTGAAACAGCAATGTTGGCACATGGTAGACAACGTCAAGCACAAATTTTTGTAAGAAAACTTTTAATTATTTTCGATTCTTCTGTTAATTAAATATAGTAAATGTCTTGCTCGTCCCCTAAATGTCCGAAAACGACTTTCTGCAAAAATCATTTTTCGCTGCATTTTTTTCCTTTCCTCTCCCTACCAAAATTTTTCTTAGGTATTTAACTGACATGTTGGCAGCAAGTCATTTGTGGACATGTAGGGGACGAGCTGGACATTTACCGTTAAATATTTTCTAGGAATTTGGGGAAATTTTGCTTTGAGAGTTTTTTGAGAGCTATTTTTGGGGATATTAATTATTTTTTCTCCTTTAAGCAAATTCCAAATCCTGGTTTTCAACAACAACAGCAACAACAATTAATTTCTTCACTCCTTCCTTCAACAACCACAAATTCTGTTGTTCCACCTATTGGTGTTATTCAACCAATACAGCATCGTTCCCCTAACCGGATATCGCGTTCCTCTGCTGGAAGTTCTTCCTCACTAAAACGTTCAAATACAACTGCATTTCCCCCAAATTTGGACGCTGTTTCTTCTGCAATGTTGACAGCTATAAATAATTCAAATACAATAAATGTTTCCTCTTCATCTCCGCCTTTGCTTTTTGCGAATCCTACACAAATTCGGTTGGCTACAGGTGAAGCATTAAATGTTGCTTTAGCAGCAGGAGGAGGAAATCAAGGAAGCGATGAATTTAATGAAGGTAGATTTTTGGGTTTTGTTGACTTTCTTTTAACTCTTTCTATTTTTAAGGCCCAAGTCGTGCTCCAAAATTACGTCGTATTTTGTCTTTTGATGAGGATGTATCTGAAATAAATGAATCTGTCAGCCCAACAACTGTTCCTTCAATTACTACCATTTCAGAAGCTGATATTGAAGCTACGAGTAATGCTACGGCTGCCGCTCTTGTTCAAATTAGACAACGAGCACAAACATTGGTGAGTATTGAATCAATATGTTCAGGGTTTTCGATGATTGTTTTGGACATGCGTCACGAGCGAAACTTTGCTTTCTATTTTCTCTTTATCTTTAACCTCCACAAAGTGTTGTAAAATAGTCGGATGAATCATTTATACAAAATGTAAAAATAATTTTAAGGCCGCCATTTCAACACCTCTCAATGAAGTTTTATCAATTGCAAACTCAATAACACCTAATGCGATCCAATCATCAGCATTAACTTCATTACAACAAAATCCAACTGCTCTTCCTTTACAAAACCAACAGGCGGCCGCCGTGGCTGTGGCAGCTGCTTCTACTGTTGCCGCAGGGATGGAACATATTGTAGCGGCTGCATTGAGTGCTGCTAATGCAGCATCTGCCCTTTCTCCACAAGCATTGGCTGCAATTACGGGTGCAACAGCAGCCGTGCAATGTGCTGTTTGTGCTGCAGCGGCGTGCCAATCACGATTGGTTTTTTGTTTATTTTTCTTTTTATCCTAAACATTTTCTTTCAGTCAAATCCTGGTACGACCCCAACAGCTGTAACTGCTTGTAGTTGTCTTCATCATCATCATCACCATTTACATTGTCACAACCACCAAACACTTCTACCACATCAACCACCTCCTATCTGTACTCTTTGCAACTCTAATGTGACAAATGGTCCACCAACCCCATCTGTTATTAATAATCAGAACAACAACAATAGTACAACAGTAGGAATTCAAGTTGATAATCCAAATGTCGGTGTGGTTCGACCTCAACAGGGATATTTGGTTTTTAAATTTTTCAGCTTTTATTTTGTTTTTAGACTCCCGAGAACCAAAATTTATTAATAATTCCTTTATTGAATACATTTTACTAGTATTTACCTTCCAAATTTTTTTAATTTTTAGCATCAATCTCGTCCGTCTGCTCTCAGCCTCTGCCCATCTTCAAGTTCAAATCTAAATAGTTTGCTCAGTTCTGTTCCTTCATTTGAACTACTAAACAGTGTAAATACAGATGAGTCTAATCAACAGTCACAAAGATTCTTACTAAATGCAAACAATATTACCCAATCATTTGGTCAATCAAACGGTGCATATCAACTCCTTTTGGATGCTTACAACACCAATAATATGCAAAGACAACAACAGTCAACTTCTGTAAGTATCGGAATCAATATTGGCTCCTCAAGTTTATCGACTTCAAATTCTTCTCATCAACGTGATCTTGCATCGTCTACAGATTCACAAGGACAGGCAATGATAAACTTACAACAACAAGTTAATGCACAGCAACAAGCTATGAATTTACAACAGCAAGTAATGAATAGACAAGCTGCATCTCTTTCACCTTCTGCTGTTACAGCAATGTTGTTAAACAGTGCTGCAGCTATGGGACAACAACAAACAATGCAAGCAGTTCCTGCCCAACAACAGCAGCAAATGCCGTCTTTGTATAGGTTGAATATTAAATTTTGTTTTTATAAATTTTTATTTTTTTTCTAGTCTGCAACGTGGTGCGACTCTTAACGAAACCAATTTGCTAGCACAAGTCCAAGCTCAACAAAACATGAACACTGTTCATCAAAGTATTTTGGCTATTCGCTTGGCACAACAGGAGCGTGAGAGAGAAACAGCTAACCACTTTTACCAGCAACAACAACAAATCCAACAAAGAACGGCTCAAGCAGCGGCACAACATCGTCATTTGATGCGGCCTCTTTTTTCGATGCCACAAGCCTTGCCTGTTCCGATGACACAAATGGATTTGGTGGGAAAACTGGGACTTGATTTAAACTTCAAAATTTCTTTTTTTATTTTCAGTCAAGTCTCGTACTTTTACACAATCATCCTGGCGCCGAAACTTCATTAGTTCTTAATGGTGGTGGTTCTGCTTTATCTACTGCCACTAACCCTCACCATATTGTTGCAAATGCAATGGCTGCAGCTACAGCAGCTGAGCCTCAGCCAGGTTTTTTTTTAATTTTCATAAATTTTATCTTATTTTTAAAAACATTTGAAGTTGGTGCAACATTAGAACAGATCAAGAGGCATTCACAAAAGCTATCCTATGTTGAAGATCCAAATACTCCGTAAGTTTTTAAATTTTATAACTTTCATGTAGTTCTCTGTTACTTTTCTAGGCAATATATCCTGTGATTTTGTAATGGGTAGATCCTATTCACAACCTCACGAATTTATCTTTTATCTGTTAATTTTCTAATCCTTTTACCTTAACCTTCATTCTTTTATCTAAATAAAAACTTTTTAGTGAGCAAGAGCGTGAACGTTGCACAATCTGCCTTTGCGAATTCGAAACTGGGGATGAATTGCGTGGTCTAAATTGTGGGCATCTCTTCCACATGGAATGTATTGATCCTTGGTTACAACAAAACAAAAAGTGTCCACTCTGTCGTGTTGATATGGACAAAGGGATTAGTGTGCCAGGAAGTAGTAATGCTTTGGTAGGTGTTGGTTCTGCTGCTGAAGCTGCAGTTATTTTAAATGCTGCTGCTTATGCTCAAGCTTCTGCTACTTCTAGTACAGCGTGTTAAATTTTTGAAAGAAATTAATTAATTTAAAGGAGTTGAAGAGAAGTTTTTTGGGATTTTTTTATGTTTTTAAAGGATATTTTTTTGAAAATACGGGGCTTACAAATGACCTGTAAATATAAATGTTTTTTAAATATTTAAGATTTTTGATTTACTTAAATTTTGAAGCCTCAAAAATTGTTGTATTTTTATGAAAATGATTTTTTTCTATTTATAAAATCTCGGCTTAATGATTCTGAAAATTATATATTAAGTAAATTTTTTAAAGTTCTATTTTCTTTGTTTTCTATTATAAAAATTAAAGGATAGTTTCTCCCTTTTTATTATTTTATTTTCATCCCGGCGATAATGTTTTTATAGCCAAGAATATTTTTATCTTAAAGAGTGGTTCCTTAAAAAGTTTATTTTTTGGTATTAATTACTTAAATTGTTTCTGTAGAGATTCTTTTAAAATGATTAAGATTTCTTTGAAATTTTCTTTAGCCTGATAAAATTGGCTTTAAAGTATATCTGTAAATTTAGAGCTATGCTTTAGGCGTCCCACGAGCTTTTATGCGTCCCATGGACTGACTTTTTTTCTGATGGGTCACTTATACTTGGTGGGACGCATGTCCTAAATAGAGCCAAATTTAGTTCATTAAATTTAATTTTAAACTTGCTAAAAATTAACAGAGTCGGAAATTATTTTTGGGAACCGCTCATTAAGAATTTTTAATTATTCTAAATTACTTTTGTTTATTCAAATATAATTCTGAATATTTTTTACTAGAAAAAATTGTCTTTCTATTAAAATCTAAAATTTTTTGTAATATATTTTAAATAATATCTCTACATTTTTTGTGTAATATATTTTAATCAAAATTTCAATTTTTTAGAATTAGAATTTTTGTAAAAATATTTTTTCTAAATTCATTAAAATAATCCTCCAACACATTTACATAAATTCACATCTCTCTCATAACCTTCTCATATATTTTTTTGTATTAATTATTCCTTTGGAAGCCTTTAGGCTGTAAAATACTAAAAATAACAACAAAATTAGAAATTTTTTTTGTAATTTTGGTTATCTTTTTTTTAATTCTAAAAATCTATTTAACCACACATTGCTCTATTATTTTACAATAATCTAAAAAATCTTTTTTCTTCCATGTCATTTAAAAATAAACAAAAATTATTGCTCTATTATAGCTAAATTGTTTAATAAATAATTGCTTATTTTTAATTATTTCCCCCCAAAATTATTTATCCTTAAAGTTGCTTCTTTTTTAAATTGGGATTGTATAGCTGTGATTTGTGAAATAAAAATTTAAAAAAAATTTTTATTTTTTAAAGATTTGTTACTTCAAAAAAATTATTTTGTGGGTGGAGAAGAATGGTTTAAAATTTTTTAGACTATTTATTAGAAGGATTCCCGTTGTTTTAGTTGGGGAGGGTTGTGATATTTTTCTTTTTCTTTGCCGCTTTTAATCATAAAATAAATTAATTTTTAGTTTTTTAATTTAAAAAAATGAGTTTGGAAAATAAAATAATTAATGCTAGTACATCAACAACTACAGAAACAATAGAATCTCTGTCTGTAGAGGAAAGAATGAAAAGAAGAAATATTTTGAAGGCTTTAGTTTTGGTTAGTTTTTTTTTAAAGAATATTTAGTTGGTAATAGAGTGCCGCTTCTGTGCCCTTTTGCCCCACATTTCTGTATTTGTACAGAATGGTCAGCCTTTTCATTTCCTTTCAATTCAAATTGCCTTTCTACAAACAGCCAAACTGGATTAATTTTTTATTCAGTTATTTTGAAAATAAGAAAGGCAATTGGGATGGACGGGAGGAAAAAGTTTTGTTCATTCTGCACATATTGAGGAGAACACTAGGAAAAGGAAAAAAGGGGCCCTTAAACGAAACAATTTTACCTGTAAATTTGTCTAGTTTAATAGGAGTTTCTTAGGTTTAATTTTTGGGAATTCTAAAACTTAATTTTTTGCCTGTTTTTAATGGGTGGATGAAAAATTAAAAAAATATTTTTTTGCTCTTTTTTTAAGAATTTTTATTTAAATTTCAAAAAATTTTTCTCTTCAAAGGAGAATGTAGAGAATTATTTGACAGAAAAGAAGAAAACTTTGGATGACGTTCAAGAAGATGAACGAGATAATTTTCGTCGTTATAAATTATTAGAGACTTCTGCTCTACAGCAAAAAACAAAGTTTTTTTAAATTTTTTTTAAATAATTTTTTTAAAAAAGAATTGATGAGAGCATTCTTGATTACCAAAAAAGTATTGACTCGTTGAAAATGTTGGTTGAACAAAAGGTTTTTTTGAAGGAATTTTAGAAATTTTATTTTTTAATTTAAAGACAAAAAAGGCCAATTCTGTTCTAGTAACTTACAAATTGGATGAAAATCTTTTTTCAGATGCTGTTATTGAGGAAATGGATAGGTTGAATTTAATTTTTTTTGAAAATTGTTTAAATATACTCTAGTTTATGAGAATTATTTGTGAGGGATGAAGAGGGGGAGGGTGGAGGAATCATTATAATTTTTTATTGAACTTCTCTGAAATCTTTAAAAATATTGTTCGGTACTTTTTAAAACCTTTAGCTTTCACTTTGGGTAATCACCAATTTCTAGCAAAAAATTAGTAAAATTAATATACAAAAATTAGTTTAGAAATTTTTATTTGATTTTTTGTAAGATTTTAAAATGTTTTTTTTTATTTTCTTTAAATTATTTTTTGTTCAATTCTTAAGAAAATTTAATTTTTTAGAGTTTGTATTTGGTTGGGAGCAAATGTCATGGTTGAATATAAATTGGAAGAAGCTCAAGAATTATTAACGAAACATTTGGCAAATATTGAACAAACGTTTTTTCTTTTATTTTTTAAATTAAAACGAAATAAAATTTTTAGTAATGGAGAAACAGAAGAGGAATTGGACTTTTTACGCGATCAGATTACAACAACAGGTATTTTAATTAGAAAAATTTTTTTTTGTAAAAATGACTTTTTCGCTCCTCAGACACTTCAAAATTAGAAATCATTTTGCCATTAAAAAAATAAAATTTAATTTTATAATTTTAACCCAAAATGACAATTTAGTAGAGTATTTTAGTAAAGTCCATTTTACCTAGGTAATCTAAAAAATTTTTTTTTGAAAATACCCCATAAAATTATTATAATAAAATAACCGAAAGACTTACTTTTTCTGTTATCTCCCCCTTATTACCTTTTTTTATTTTATTTCCTGTTCTTCCACAAAAATTGGGGTAGCGAGATAACCTAAAAGTAACAAAAAAATTCTCTTTTTAATTAAAAATAAAAAAATTTTTTTAAGAAGTAAATCTAGCCAATTTATATAATTATGGTGTTCTTTTACGTAAAAAATCTGATGGAAAATATTTGACACAACAAAATTCAACACATTAATTAACATTAAAGTTAATATTTTGTGCCTAAAAATATTTTGTTGTTGAAAATTTAAAAGTAAAAATTAAATTTATTTTTTTGTTAAATTTAAAAATTTGAATATAAGGGTGCAATCATTTTTTCATTCCTTTGGCACATTCCCAAAAAAATTTTCTGTTATTAACCTACTTATTTCCCAGAATTTTTTTGATTGTTTTAAAGAACAATGGGTGGCGAGATTATTAAAAAAACTTTTCTTTTGTGGATGAATTCCCATTGTCTGTGTTGTGGGGGGGGGGGGGGGGGGGTATTCTTTAATTTTATCAAAATAGAATGCAATTAATTCCTCTGACGAATCTAAATTAATTTGCTTTTGAATTTTTTTTGAGAAAAATTCCTTTAACTATATTTTTATTTTTAATATTATTCTACTTTTGTAGTTAGTTTAAGGTATTTGTCTATTTACATTTAATCTTATCAGTAAGAAAAAAACTAGGACATAAATATGTTGTAGTTAATAAACAAATATATAATTTTCTAATAAATATTTTCTTCTTTGTCAGAAGAAAAAAATTTTTTAATCAGTAAAAATATACAAAAATTTATTTTATTAGATCATTTTTAAATATACTTAAATTGATTTGTTTTTAAATTTGTTAAAGAAAAATTAAAATTATTTGTTAGGTCGGAAAATTTGGAATAAACTTTTTTTGGGGTATTTTCTAAAAAATAAAGAATTACCGTAAATCTTCTAATAAAAGCATGTGCTTTTATTTTTCAATCCTCTCGTAGGGTGTGCTTCTATTAGATTTTTTTGGATTTTTTTTGAAAAAATTTCTGTTACGAATCTCACATTAAATTATTGAAAATTTTTTTCAATATTTTTAAATCATTTAAATTCAATTTGTTTCTCTCTTTGAATTTTTTATCTGTTTGTAGTCAATTTGTTTCATTATCAGGAAGTACTTACTACTTTTTATTTTCTTTAATATCTTAAAAAGATATTTCTTTAAAGACAAATTTTTATTTTTTTTTTGTATTAGAAAAAACTACTAATTCATAAAATTATAAAAATGTTAAAATCCCCAAATTTGGAAACTGCCGAAGAGCATCCAAAACACTCAGCTGTATTAATAGGAGGGTCGTCAATGTTTAACAGTGATAGACAAGCACTTTTGGGGGATACAACAGAAAAGTTGACGATAAGTTATGGAACTTTGACAACAAATTCAAGTAATAGGTAAGAAAATTTGAAAATAATTTTCTTTAAGCAGGGATGAGAAATGGGAGGCGGGGGGAGGTTCCTAGGTTTATATTTTTGATATACAAATCCTAACTTTAAATCTTATCTTTAAAAGTGTTTAAAATTAAGTTCTACTGATCCTTTAACAAATGGAAGAAAGAAAAAAGCAAAGGAAAAACCTCGCAAACTTGGACTTGTAAGTTAAAAATGTTTTGTTTTACAAACTCCTATTTTAAAACCCCTTCGGAGTTAAAAGAATTGTATGTAAATCCTGACTAAATCCTCCATTACTGATTGTGAGAAAAAAACGTTGAATGTAATTGGGGCCTGACCGTATTCTAGAAATAATTGAGGGAGTCTCACACCGGAATGTCCCTTACACTAAAAATTTCTGCACTCAAACGTCCGAATTATTAATTTTCTGTCAATCGACAATTCGTCACGAAGAAGAGAATAACTCATTTTGTCACTGTTAAAAAATTTTCGTATTAGCTTTCTTTCTTCTCTCTGACAAACTTAAAAGTAATTGAAGCTTTTTAATTTTTGATTCTAGCTGACTATTTCCAATGTAGTTTATAGTCAGAGTTTTTGATTAAAAAAATGTTTTTATTTAAATAAATTCCCCGTGAAAATTTTTTAAAAAATGCCCAAAACCCCCAAAAATTTAAATAGTAATTTGCCTTTATTGGAAACAACAGAAAATAAATGTGATGAAATTAAAGAAAATTTAATTAAAAATAAAAAGGCTTTTAATTTGGTTTGAAAAAAAGTTCTTCCTTAATTTTTAAAAATTTTTTTCAGTTCTCTTCCTCAACAGCTTTAGATTATTTTCTCATTATTGTTGGTACTTTTGCATCTGTAGTTCATGGAGCTGGATTTCCTTTACTTTCTATTGTGTTGGGTGGAATGACTTCAGGTTTAGAAATTTTCTGAGAATTTTTTTGAATTTTTTAAAATTTTTGAAAAAATGGACATTTCATCCAAATTCTTTTTCGAAATTAAACAAAAAAAAATTTTTTAAAAGAAATTTTTTCTTATTTTTTTTTATTTTTCAGTTTTTCTTCGTGCTGAAAATTCTGATTTTGTGCATGGAAATGAACCTTCAACTTTTAAAAATACAAGCTCAACTGAAAATTCAACGATCCCACCTCTTTCTAGTGAAGAATTTAAACATCAAATATTTATTTATTCAATGTATTATTTATTTCTGGGTTTTGTTATGTTTATTACTTCTTATATTCAGGTAATCTTTTTAGAGAATTAGGGGATATATCTTATTAAATATTTATGGAAATGGACATTTCATCCCAATTTAATTTTTTGAAGTTAGGGATGAGATCCTATACGGCACAGCAGATCAGCCTGTTACTTTAAGCCGTTTCAGTGGCACTGAAATAAATAAATCCCTCCTCTAATCCCGATTTTTTCAATTTTTTTGACAGACGAAATCCTCTGAGAGAATTTAAATAATTAAATATTTTTTAATGTGGTTGACCACTGGTGGGGAAGCGATACCTCTTTTTAAAGATATATTTTAAGGTAACGATTTTTCAGCCCCAAGGGAGTATCCAAAAACGGGGTTATATAAAATATTTTCTCCTAATTTTTCTAGTCTTTAATTAATTAAAGATAGCTTGTTGGGAAGCAGTAGCAGAAAGATTAGCACATCGTTTGCGTCAAAATTATCTACGTGCAATTTTGCGGCAAGATATTGCTTGGTTTGATACTGTTCAAACTGGGAATTTAACTGCTCGTTTATCTGATGATTTGGAAAGGGTTAGAGAAGGATTGGGTGATAAAGCATCTCTTTTTATTCAAATGTATTTTTTTTAATTTTTAAAAAATATTTCTTTAATTGTGTTTAACAATTTTTTAATATTTGAGACATTTCATCCCATTATCTAATATTTTTTTTAAATTTTTTAAGGTTTGCAGCATTTATTTCTAGTTTTGTTGTTGGATTCTTTTATAGTTGGCAAATGACTGTTGTAATGGCTTTATTTACCCCGGCAATAGCTTTAACTTCTGCCTGGATGGGGAGAATGACAGCTTCTAGAACACAAGTAGAACAAGATAAATATGCAATTGCTGGAGCTATTGCTGAAGAAACTTTAAGTTCTATGAGGACAATACATTCTTTGAATGCTGAACAACAAGAATTGGAAAGGTTTGGAAAATCTTTTGGGGAAAAATTGTAAAAAAAGAATCTAAATATTTCCATTTTCTCAAAAATTCAATCAAAACCTAATTTCTTTTTATTTCTAAAAAATTATTCTTAAATTTTATTGTTAGATATGAGAAAGCATTGGAAGAAGGTCGAAAGACTGGTTTACTCAAATATCTTTATATGGCACTTGGAGGTATTTTTAATAAAAATTTGTCACACTTTATGCTTTTTTCCCATGGTTAAATTGCGTGTGTTAATGATGTCATTCGAAAGAACTTGCAATTAGTAGGTTGACTTTCAATAAGCTCGATTGTCAGCTCGATAAATGCTTTCGAATGCCACCATTAATGTTTTGTTTAGTAGCATTGGGGGCTCGGTTCGGCTTGAAAGTTAGAACCGGGCCTCGAATTTTGGCCCGAAAACGATTCGAATGACCCGGTTTGATAAAAATGAGGCCCGAAAAAATGACTCGAACGTCGGCCCGGTCCGAAAAATTCAATCCTATTGTTTAACCATGGAAGGAATTTTTTGTAAATTGAAAGAATAATTTTTAGTTGGTATAAGCAATATAATTATGTATGTATCTTATGCTGTTGCTTTTTGGTATGCGTCTAGACTTGTATTATGGGATCCAGATTTTGATAGGGGTGCTGTTTTTACTGTTTTTGTTAGTTTTATTTTTTTAATAAAATTTTATAAATTAATTTTTGACTGTCATTAGGGTCTAATTTAAAATGCAAAAATAATTAGAAATCTTGTAAATCCGTGACATTCTCCTAACGACCAACTGAGTGTTTAAATAAATATTAAATTCAATTTTTTTAGTTTGCTGTAATGAGCGGTTCAACGGCTCTAGGTGGTGCTCTTCCCCATTTGGCAAGCATAACAACTGCAAAAGGAGCTGCAAGACATGTCCTTAGAGTTATTAATAGAGTTGAGTGTTTTTTAAATTTAATTTAAATAAATTCATTTTTAAAGAAACCACATATAGATCCATACAGTGATGATGGGCATATTCTTTGGGAAGTGAAAGGAGCCATTCGTCTTCAAGATGTGCATTTTACTTATCCGTCAAGAAAGGATGTTAAGGTTTTTAATTTTATTCAAATAAAAATTTTTATTTTGCGAATTGTTTTATGTTTTCGGCCTGAAATCAAAGGCTTACTAAAATGTGGAGTTTGGGAGAGTCTTGTAATTCTTATTTCTAGGCCGTTCTCCTTTTATCAGTTTTTTTCGTCTTTCTTATTTCGGAATGAGTTCAACACCCTCTTTAGCACCTCCTTTATGTACTTTCTATGGAAAAGTCCAAAAATATTTAATATTTCTAAAAATTGAAAACCAATTAATTTTAATTTTTAGGTTTTAAAAGGCGTCTCATTTTCATTAGAACCTGGAAAGAAATTGGCTTTAGTAGGTGCTAGTGGATGTGGAAAATCAACAATAGTTAATTTATTACTTCGTTTTTATGACCCAACTAAAGGCACAGTTCTTTTGGATGATCACGATTTGAAGAGATTAAATGTTAGATGGTTAAGGGATCAGATTGGCGTTGTTAGTCAAGAACCAATTCTTTTTGATGGAACTTTGGAGGTTCCTTTTTGTTTTTTAGATCCGTTCTTGTGGGCAAAGTGGATTAAAAAAATCAGGCTATTTTTCGGATTTTTCTTTATTGTTATTTTAGAATATTTGTACTTTTTCGAAACTTGTTTTGGGAATACCTTTTGTAGGTCGGGGGTAGGGTTGTCAGACAACTCCTTCCAAAGATTTTTTAAAATTCTTATGAAAGGGTTTTTATTAAACTAGGTTTACAATTAGCTTTAAAAATTCATTTAAAGGACAATATAATGCTGGGGAATGAAAATGCAAGTAAAGAACAATTTTTGGAATCCTGTCGATTAGCCAATGCCTTAGAATTTATTCAAAAATTGTCTGATGGTTTACAAACTAGAGTTGGTGAAAGAGGTGCACAATTGAGTGGTGGCCAAAGGCAGGTTTTTATTAAAATGTTTTGAAAAATTTTGTAAATAAATTTTTAATTTTAGAGAATTGCAATAGCTCGTGCATTAATTAAAAATCCAAAAGTTTTGCTTTTGGATGAGGCCACATCTGCTTTAGATACGGAATCAGAGGCACTTGTTCAAAAGGCTTTAAATAAGGTAAAGTTTCTTCATTTTTTATAAAAAATTTGTTTATTTCATTTTTAACTTTTTAGGCTCAAGAAGGGCGTACAACAATTATTGTTGCTCATCGATTATCAACAATTCGAGATGTTGATCAAATTTTGGTTTTTAAAGAAGGACGTATTGTTGAAATTGGAACTCACACAGAACTTTACAATCAACATGGAATTTTTTATGAAATGGTCAATCAGCAACAAATTCACAAAAGGGAAGCTGAGAGAGCTCTAGGAATTTTAGGTATTAATTCTGATTAATACCATCAATACCGAAAAGGTTAAAGAAACTTGATTCTATACCGTCTTTGTTTTATGTTGTTCTAATTTTCTATAATTCTAGAAGAGGATGGATTAACTACAAATGAAGACGAACAAACTGACGATACAGACCCTTCTCCACAAACTGGTGGCGATGCACAACCATTATTATCTTCATCTATAGGCTCACTTCGTTCATTAAAAGGTGCTGCTTCTTCTGCTTCCCCTCGAAAATCATCACAACATATTGCTTCTAAATCGGCTTCGTCTCCTGGCCCATTGAAAGGATTAAGGAGGAGGCGGACATCAGAGACTTCAGATGTTGTCCAAATCAGTCAAATGCAATTAGAAGTGGAAGAGGTTTATGAGATTCTTTTTTAGTTATTTTAGGTCAATTTTTAGAGTGAAATAAAACCTTCATCTATCGCCAAGGTTTTTCAATTTAACAAAGGAAATTGGTCCTTTGCATTTCTCGGTCTTTTTGGTTGTACTATATCTGGTTTAGTCGTTCCATTTTTTGCTCTCGTCTATGCACAAATTTTTGCTGTGTTTAGTGAACCACCAGAAGAACTTGAAAGAGATTCTTTATTTTGGTCTGCAATGTTTATTGTTTTGGGATTTTTTTCTGCTCTAGGATTTTTTATTTCGGTTAATTTTTATTTAAAAATTAATCTAACGAATCTTTTTAAAGGCAAATATGCTTGGAAGAAGTGGAGAGGCTTTAACTAAAAAACTTCGATTAGAATCTTTTAGAAATCTTCTTCGCCAAGATATTGGATTCTATGATGATGAGAGGCATAATACAGGGAAATTATGTACTCGTTTTGCGACTGATGCACCAAACGTTCGATATGTTAGTTTGGTTTTTATATTCTTATTGTTAGATATTTTAATGTTTCTTTTGGTCTCAATCAAGGGTGTAGCCAAGGGGGTCTGGTGGGGGACACTCAATCTTACCCTCTCTCCCCAAAAACAAAATCGTCCCCCTGGTTACGCCCTTGGTCTCGATTCTTTTGTTTAAGTTGTGTTACTAACTTGTTCCTGTATTTTTCTAAGGAAACTCTTCCTCCTCTTGTTTTATAGTTAGTTTTTTGAACTGTTTCAGAATTTTCTCACAAACTCAAAAGTTAATTTTATATTTTTAGGTATTTACTCGTTTAATGGTTGTTATTTCATCAATCGTTACTCTAATTGGTGCTATTGCTATTGGATTCTTAAATGGATGGAAATTGGCAATAATTTTACTTATAATTATTCGTTAGTGATTTTTTAATATTTAACAAATTTTTTTTTAATTTAGCTCTCATAATTGCTAGCGGTTATTTTGAAATGCAACAACAGGTTTTTCTTTTATTAATTTTACTAAAAAATTTTTTTCAAGTTTGGAAAGAAAATGAGAGATACAAAATTGTTAGAAGATGCTGGCAAAGTAGCTTCCGAAGCTGTAGAAAATATTCGGACTGTTCAAGGATTAAATAAACAATTGGTTTTTCATCAAAAATATTGTGAACAATTGGTTAATCCTTACCTGTAAGTTTTTTTTAAATTTATTTTTGTCCTTTTATTTTGTAAAGGACAGGAAGCGCCCTTTGAATTTTAATATTTTTTTCGATTTTAGTTCAAATATTAAACAAGTCCACGTTTATGGGGCAGTTTTTGCATTCTCTCAATCTTTAATTTTCTTTATGTATGCATTAGCATTTTGGATCGGTTCGATATTTGTGTTAGATGGAAGTATGACTCCAACGGCTGTTTTTCGGTATTTTTTCTAAATTTCAATATTTTCTAAAAACTTTTTAGTGTTTTCTTTGCCATTGCTTTTTGTGGACAATCGGTTGGACAAATAAGGTTTTTTTTAATTTATTTTTAATTTATAAACTTTCTTCAGTTCATTTATACCTGATGTAGTAAAGGCACGTTTGGCTGCTTCTTTACTTTTTCACTTAATTGAATATCCTCCACAAATTGATTCTTTATCTGAATTTGGAGTAAGACAGGTTTGTTAATTTTTTAAATATTCTTTATATTCTTTAATTTTAAAGAGTGTAAAAGGCCATATTCAACTTCGAAATGTTTATTTTTCTTACCCTTCTCGCCCTGGCGTTCCAGTGCTTCGTGGTCTTTCATTGGATGTTCAAAGTGGGCAAACTGTTGCTTTAGTTGGATTTTCTGGATGTGGAAAGAGTACAATAATGGCTTTACTTGAACGTTATTATTCGCCTATACGTGGTTCTATTGTTAGTTTTTTTCTTTTTGATGACCGATTGGGTATGTAGAAAACAAGTCGAAAGAGTTAGAGGAATTTCGATTTATTTAAAGGCAATAAGAGATATGGGAGGATGAACAAAAAATAATCCGTTCCGAAATAAATTTATTTTACAAAATATTTTTGAAAAGTTTTCAGCTTTTGGATGGCATCCCAATAGAAGATATGAATATCCACAAACTTCGTTCTCAAGTTTGTATAGTCTCGCAGGAACCAATACTTTTTGATTGTTCAATACGTGACAATATTTTATATGGATTACCTGACCAAAAGAAAATTTCTCATGAAAAAATTGTAAATGCTTGTACTTCTGCAAATGCTCATAATTTTATTATTGGATTGCCTGATGGTTTGTTTAATTTTTAAATTTTTAAAAAGTTTTTTAAAAAAGGTTATGATACTCGTGTAGGAGAAAAAGGAATACAATTAAGTGGAGGACAAAAACAAAGAATAGCTATTGCTAGAGCTTTAATACGTGATCCTGCTGTGTTGTTGTTAGATGAGGCAACTTCTGCATTGGATACAGAGAATGAAAAGGTTATTATTTTAGGGAATTTTTGTTAGGGCAATGCTTCAGAACTTTTTAGTTTTTTTTTTAAAAATTGATTAAAGTTAGAGCATTACAAGAATGAGTAAAAATAAAGTAATTCGAGTAGAAGGTGTTAAAAGAGCAAAAATTACGTTGAAAAATGTTCTATTAGAAACAGTCAATTTTTTGATTTATAAATATGTAAGTAGGGTTGGAGGCCGGTCCGAAATTTCGAGTCGTGCACGAATTCTGGCCAGGAAAACTCGGTAGGGTCGGTCCGACAAAGACTCGAAAACCCCAACCCTATAAATAAGCGAAATTGGATTTTAGATTAAATTTCCAAGACTTTTAAAGGGTTTGAATTCCTTCCAAGATTTTTTTATAATTTTACAGGTTGTACAAAAAGCACTAGAAACAGCACGTGAAGGTCGTACTTGCCTTATAATTGCTCATCGATTGTCAACAGTTCAAAATTCTGATGTTATTGCTGTTATTGATGAAGGAAAAGTTGTAGAATTGGGTAAAAATATTAATTTTTAATTTACAATAAATATTTAATTTTTAAAGGAACCCACAACGAATTGTTAAGTCGTGATGGAATTTACAAGACGCTATGTGAAACACAAATTTTAAAAGACAATAATGAATAAATAGATAATTTTATTTGTTATTTAAAAAATATTTTTTCTCGTTATAAATTAAATTTTTTGGTTTAAATTTTGAGTATGCTTCTGTTTTAAATATGTACAATTTTTAACTCTCATTCAACTCCATCGCCTAGTTTTGTTGTCCTCATAGCGTTCGATATCATCGACCTGAACTCGTTCAACTTCAAAACTGATAGCTATTTCGAAAGAATTAACTCAACCGTATCGAGTGACACCAAAATCAACTTCATTCAATGATTCTAGACAAAGTTATGGAAATTAGAATTCTCAACCTTAGACACATCTAACTTTGGCACTGAAATGGCTCTTCATTGTTACCGTTTTCGATTACTATAAAAACCTTTTGAATTCCAGATTTTTTTACTATAAAAGACACTTGTCCCAAACCTCAAAATTTTACCTCATAAATTTTTGTGTTATCGTCCTTTTCTTTTAGTTCTATATTTTATTTTGGGTGGTTCACGTGTCAAAAAGAATGATGAGATTGTTCAACAGGATTGCAAAAATCAATGTACATGGAGATGTTGATGTGTCGGTCTACAGATCAGTACGATCAAAGCTGAGAGTGGCAGTTGCCTCCGTGCCAGGGCCGATGGTGAAAGGGAAGATTAGCTTTGGTAAGTGCCTTTATACTTTTTCACAAATTAATAATGAGACTTGTATTTCAGAGTTCTTATTTTATTCATTAACTTTCAGTTACCGAAACGACTACGAATGATGGATTACCGCACACTTTGGAGCACTTGGTTTTTATGGGCAGCAGAAATTACCCCTATAAAGGGTTTCTTGACGTCATCGCGAATCGTTGTAAGTTTTATGAATTATTATATTGCGTTTTTGCTTGGGTTGAACTTCCTAATTTTCGATCGGAAGCTAAAGACATTAATTTGTTCGGAAATGTACAAAATGATATAGTAAAATTTTTTCGCAAAAGACTGCCTATTCTCAAATAATGTCCACTTATTGTAGGTTTGGCTTCTGGAACAAATGCCACGACCGATCAGGATAATACTTGCTACACATTGACGACTGCTGGGTCTGCTGGATTTCTGAAAACGCTTCCAATATTTCTGGATCATTTGCTCTCTCCATTGTTAACGGTTATTGAATAATTAATTTTAAAATAATTCTGAAAATTTAGGACGCTCAATACCTTACAGAGGTGCACCATATTGACGGGAATGGTGCAAACTCTGGCGTCGTCTACAGTGAGATGCAGGATTTAGAAAACGACATGGAAATTATTGTCGACAGAAAAAGGAAACAACTATTTTACCCACTTAATTCCAGCTATGCAGTATCGGCAGGTGGCCGATTGGAGGAACTTCGGACACAGTGCTCAGCTGAGCGTGTTAGGGAATTTCACAAGCGCTTTTACAATCTCAATAATATGGTTTATCTTTCTGATTTTTAATCGTCTCAAATTTTTATTTTTAGTTCATTACTGTTAGTGGCTTCATTGACCATGATGATTTGCTTCAAGCTGTGGCAAAAGTAGAAGGACCAAACATCACATCGATTCCGGAAAACTTCAATCGTCCTTTCTCTTTACGGATACCGCCAATCAAAAAAGAAAAGTGCGTCGTTATTTGCCCAGCCGACGATGATACAATTGGTATTAAATTTTTGGGTTCGAAAATTATTTTCAAATATATTTAGGGGTGGTGGAGATCTCATGGTTAGGGCCTAAAGGATCTGAAGTATACAGAAATCGTGCGCTTCTTCTTCTCTTTGATTATCTCGTTGATACTTCTGGGGCACCTTTGAAAAAGGATTTCGTTCAAATTGAAGAACCATTTTGTTCATCAGTTTCTATTTCCTTGATTGAACAGACTGATTGTGAAATTGTTATGACATTTGAAGATGTTCCTGTTACAAAGAGTGATCATATTCGAGATAGGTCTGTTTATCTTCTTTTTATTTAAAAAAACGATTTTTAACAGATTTTTCTCAAAAACTGCAGCTGAGCATTCAAATATTGATGTTTTTGACATGGAACGACTACACTTTATGATTGATCAACAAACCAGAAGTTTTTTGCTTAAGATGGAAAACAGTCCCCACTCATACATAGCAGACGCAATTATTGGTCACCAATTGTACGGCCCATCTAATGAAAATGAGCAGGAAAAGGATTTGGAAGAACGGCTTCAAGAGGTTTTAAATTTTTTAACAGTATGAATTATGAAAATTTTTATTTTATAGGTACAAATTCTGAAACGGCTACGAGATGAACCTGCAAATTTTTGGCATTCATTATTCTCTGAAACTTTTACGCAAAATTGTGTTTGTGTTATTGGCAAACCAAACAAGGAAGCAGTAGACGAATTGATGGAGAAGGTATGAGTCTATTCAATTCATTTTAATTTTTTTTTAATTAGGAGAAAACGCGCCTTGATGATCAAGTGAAGTTAATTGGCAAAGATGGACTCAAAAAGAAGGCTCAAATCTTGGCTGATGCTATTGCGGAAAATAAGGTTAATTATGACTTATTGATCTTTCAATGTTAATTTTCCTGATATTTAGGCAAAACAACCTACATCAGATGTGCTTAAAGATCTCATTGTAAAGGATCTCGAAAAATTTCGTCTTATTCCCGTCAATTCTGATGTTCTTAAAGACTGGCCTATTCACACAACGTGGCATGAGATTAAAAGTGATTTCTTCGAGGTAATGTGTATTTGATTTGTGTCCTTTTATCAGTGATTAATTTTTATTTAAGGCGAATACTTTGATAGACACAAGCAAGATTCCTGCTAATCTTCGCAAATATTTGATGTTATGGGCCGAACTATTATTCCAATCTGATGCGACAATTGACGATAAAGTATGGACTTATGACGAAGTCGCAAAACTAGTCACTCGTGACTTAGTTTCAAGCTCTGTCTCATTGGGTGTCTCAGGTGTTTACTCACGCTTCATCTCTCTTCATCTTCGTGTTGACACAAACAACTATCATAAATTGGCCGATTGGACAGAAATCTTTCTCAAGAAACTCATTCTCAATCCGCAGCGTATACTTATTTGTGCAAAAAAATTAGCGAATTATGCAGCCGAGTACAAACGTGATGGAAATTCTATTGCTCATTTTTTGTCTAACTATATGGTCTATGATAAAGGTTTACTTTATTAGTCAACTGTAAAAAAGTTTCATTTTCAGATTCTAACGATTTCGTTTTTGGATATCTCAGCAATGAAAAGTTCCACCGTTCCATTGCTTCATTGGAGAATGGAAAACTTGATTCAGTAATGGATAATTTAAAAGAATTAAACGACTCGATTCTCTCTTTATTGCTGAATTTACATCTTGTTGGAAGTTTTGCGAATCTACCACAGAGTGAACAAATTGGAAAAGCTTGGACATTTTTAGAGAATCAAAGGCCTAAAGAACAATCAAAAGTAATGGTTTTCTTTTTAAAGCTCCTACTTTCTTAATTTACTCATCTAAATTTATCATTTAAGTGCGATCCAGATTATGGTCAGAGCTGGGATAAAATTGGAGAGGTCAACGCAATTTCTGTCGGTGGGTCAGAAAGCGCCTTTTTGCTACGCAAAGCCAAATTCAACGATGACTGGAGAGGCGAATCAACAATGTCTGCTCTACTTCTTGCTCAATATATCTGCCAATCTGAAGGTCCTCTTTGGAATTCTGTGCGAGGCAATGGTTTAGCCTATGATGCGTCAATCTACATTTTGCCAGACAGAAAATCGATCACTCTAAATTTATATCGTTGCTCAAAGTTGAAGCAAGCTTATGAGAAAACGCGCGAAACAGTGGTGAGTTTTTAATTGCTGTCTTGCAATAAATTTATTTTTTAATTTAAGCTTTCTGTCCTTGATGGAGAACTTAATGAAGCCGAGTTTGAAGCTGCAAAAAGAAGTCTAGTTTGTGAACTTATAAGTGGACAAAGCACCATCAAATCCACTGCGATTTCCGCAATTTTGGCAGTCTTTCGAAATGTCAATACGGAATTTACAAAGTATTAATTTTGCTTCTTTTTTTAAATAAATATTATTTTTATTTTTTAGTTATCTTTGTTCACAAATATGGAATGCAACAAAAGAGAATGTACTAAAAAATGGCTCACCTGCGATTAGAAATCTCTTTGATGACGAGAAGTCAGTCACAGCCATAGCTTCAAATTCAAGTAGAAAAGAGGAAATTAAGAAGTTATTTCCAAAAGTTAAAATCGTGAAATTAGGAGATCTACAGTTGCCAGAAAATTGATTTTTTTTGTTTTTGTTGTTGTTTATTTTGTTTGTTCTATTTTTTTATTTTGTTATATAAAGGTTTATGTTTTGATATTTTTAAATTCAATTGTCGATTTTTCATTTCGATTTCTACTTTTTTTATTTTTATTCAAAATTTTAAATTTTTTAAAGCTAATTAATGAACGATTTTGGGTCAAATTCAACGGGTCATATATTAGATCAACTTCCTTCATCTTCAAATCAACATCACATTCCTATATTCCAATTTGGGTTTAATAAACAACATCTTGTCAACGAGGATTATTACGATTTGGATAGTATTTTAGCAATGAAAGCAAATATTCATTGTGTATTTGAATCAGGAACTCCTCTTGGTTTTTTTTATTTTTTAATGAAAATTGTTTTAATTTTCAGGAATCTTCCCGTTAATTGGACAAAAGTTACCCGAAGCAATCGATGAAGGAAAAGTCCATCAAACTGTTGTTCCTGTTTGGTTACTTTCTGCAGGAATTGGAGATATTTGTCGGGTTACTTCTTTTAATTTTATAAAAGAAGGAATTTATTATTCAGTTTAACTTGCCAAATGCTTACAACAAAATTAATTCTGATGTCATTGCTGCTGCAGCTAATACTGGAAAGTTAGAAACTACTCGTATTGTGGCAAGACAACATTATTTTTATTTGTTGGGCATCTTTCTGTGCAGGTTGCTGACTTTTTACTGTTTTTTTTATTTAAGTTAGTACTCTGATACATTTTATAATTTAAATATTTTAGACATATAAACACTACAGAAGCAAAAAGGATTTCAACTACCTTATTGGATGGATTTACTTCCAGAATTGGACAAATAATTTCACTTGCTGTTGACACTAGGTTTAATTTAAATTTTTTAGCATCTCTAAATTAAACCCGAGGCTTCTTTTTTCGTCTCTAAAGATCATGTTTTGTTAGAGGCGATTCTGATGTAGATTAGGAGGGCAAAGTAAAATATTAATTTGTTTTTCATTCTTTATTACTCGCAATTAATTCGTATATTATAATGAATTGGAGGCAGAATTATACGTTCCCAAAGTTTATATTTGGAAAATTAGTCATTTAGGTCCACACATCCAATATTCTAAATCTTATTACATATTAAGATTTAATTTCAAAATTTATAGTTTAAAACCTCGTGATCTACTTGATGAAAGTGAGAAAATGCTTTTTTATGCCATTCAAAAATCTGAACGTCTTCAACTTAAGTGGGTTAGACGTGAGCTTTCTCATTCCAAACGACGATCAACAAAGCGTAAATTTAATCAAGAATGTGGTTCTTTTTTACTTTGATAATATATACTGGTTTAATTATTTTTCCCGCTGATTGTTTATTTTCCGACTTATCTTTCAAACAAAAATTAAGGTTTTGGGCTTGATTTATAATACTTTTTTCTGAAAAACGATTAAAAATCCCTTTTGGTAAAAAAATTTTTTGTCTTCCCTAATCAAAATTAAAACACTCTTTAATTTGTCAATTTACATTATAAAAAATTTAGGCATAGGGCGAGGATCCCACTGTTTATGGAACAATATATATTTTTATTTTACGCTGCTTCATTGACCATGATGAATTGCTTCAAGCTGTGGCAAAAGTGGAAGATCCAAACATATTCCTGAAAACTTCAATCGTCCCTTCTCTCTGCGGACACCACCGATTGAAGAAAGAAGAGATGCCGTTGTTATTTGCCCTGCCGATGATGATACAATTGATTTTAAATTTTTGGGTTTGTAAATTATTATAAATATGTATATTTAGGGATGGTGGAGATTTCTTGGTTAGGACCCCAAAGGTGCTCTTCTCCTTCTCTTTGATTATTTAACCGAGACCTCAGGAGCGCCTTTGCAAAAAGATTTTGTTCAAATTGCCGACCCTTTTTGTTCTTCTGTTTCTATTTCTTTGATTCAACAAAATGATTGTGAGATTGTTATGTCATTCGAGGATGTCCCTGTTACAAAAAGTAATCAAGTTCGAGAGAGGTCTGTTTAAACTTTATCTAGTTTTAGAAACGAAAATAGAACAAAGATTTTCCAATTCTTTTGTATTCAACTGTTGTGCGTAGAAACACACTGCAATATTTTTTGGGAAAAATCTGTTAAATAAACAGTCAATTATCGTTTCTAAAACTAGATAAAGTTTAAACAGACCTCTCTCGAACTTGATTACTTTTTGTAACAGGGACATCCTCGAATGACATAACAATCTCACAATCATTTTGTTGAATCAAAGAAATAGAAACAGAAGAACAAAAAGGGTCGGCAATTTGAACAAAATCTTTTTGCAAAGGCGCTCCTGAGGTCTCGGTTAAATAATCAAAGAGAAGGAGAAGAGCACCTTTGGGGTCCTAACCAAGAAATCTCCACCATCCCTAAATATACATATTTATAATAATTTACAAACCCAAAAATTTAAAATCAATTGTATCATCATCGGCAGGGCAAATAACAACGGCATCTCTTCTTTCTTCAATCGGTGGTGTCCGCAGAGAGAAGGGACGATTGAAGTTTTCAGGAATATGTTTGGATCTTCCACTTTTGCCACAGCTTGAAGCAATTCATCATGGTCAATGAAGCAGCGTAAAATAAAAATATATATTGTTCCATAAACAGTGGGATCCTCGCCCTATGCCTAAATTTTTTATAATGTAAATTGACAAATTAAAGAGTATTTTAATTTTGATTAGGGAAGACAAAAAAATTTTTTACCAAAAGGGATTTTTAATCGTTTTTTTCAGAAAAGTAGCATTAAATTTGATCTCTATTTTAATTATTTTCACTAATTATTTTAATTTTATTTTTCTTTCGATAAACTAATAAATTTCTAAAAAACTATTTTAATAAGTTTCTTAACATATTTTTATTTTTATATTTTTATCGTTAAAAAGAAACATTGGTTTTCTCTAAGTTTTATTAATGGCCACTGATGAAGATAACTTTTCAGAACAAATTAATGAGTGTAGAAAGGTTGTTCAATTTATTTAAAAAAGTAATGGCCTAAAATTAAATTTCCTTTTCACATTTTAATTGTGTGAATTGATTAAATTTAGACCTAAAATCAATTTTCGGTAATTTACACTTTCCAATCAGTTTTTTATTTTCTGATTGGTCTTATCTTTTCCAACAACTCTAAATTTGCTAAAGAAATGTAGAAATCCTTGAATTATTTTAAGATGACTGAACCAGCTATACGTCCAAAAATTGTCGAGATGAGTGCAGAAGTATTGGACACAAATCCTTATTCTCGTCTAATGGCGCTTAAACGAATGGTTTTCTATTAAATTTATTATTTTTAAAATAATTGATTTAAAAATTCATCTAACCCTTCTCGTCGATTTTTTATTTCTTAGGCTTATGAGAATATTTTGTAGTGAACCAGGATGTGCCGGGTTACCCGAAACCCACTTTTTTCAAAATCCGACCCAAAGAAAATTTTAAAACCTGAAATCCGACATTTTACTTACAATTAACGCGAAATCCGATCCGAAGGAAATTTTGAAACCTCAATCAGGCCCTTTGCTTTGTGGATGGGCCTGGCCTCAATCAGACCCATCCCCGTTTTACATTATAAAATATTTTTTTATTTGTAACAATTTAAATTTTTAAAGGGAATTGTTGACAATTATGAACGTATCCGTGAGAAAACAGTTGTAGTTGTTGGTATTGGAGGTGTTGGTTCTGTTGTTGCTGAAATGTTAACTCGTTGTGGAATTGGAAAGATTATAATGGTTTGTTAAATTTTTCTTTAAGTTTACTTTTTTTAAGTTTGATTATGATCGTGTTGAATTGGCTAATATGAATAGATTATTTTATCAGCCACATCAGAGTGGATTGAGTAAAGTGGAAGCAGCTCGTGATACTTTAATGTAATCTTTTAAATTTATTAAGAATTTATGAATATAAAATGGTTATCTATTCCGGACTTTGTCTTTCCGATTTTCTCTGCCTTAACTCATTTTGCTTTCTTTTAAATAGGAGCCTTCGGAAAATTTCTCGGAAGAAACACCAGAAAAAATATACGTGCATATTTTTTCTGTTTATAAGCAGACAAAAGCGAGATAGTGTATAAAATTGCTGGTGCTCATAAGAGAGACAATTATGGAAAAGAAAATTTCTGTCTAAATCCTTTAAGAATAGATTTTTCTAATACAAGATTTTTCTAATACCTTTAATTAATTTAAATTTCATATTATTTGTATTTTCACAGGCATATTAATCCAGATGTTGAATTTGAAGTTCACAATATGAATATAACAACAGTTGCTAATTTTGATATTTTTTGTCAAAGAATAAGGTTTTTTGAATTATCTAAAAAATAAATATTTAATTTTGTAGGGAAGGTGGATTGACTAAAAAATCTGTAGATATTTTACTTTGTTGTGTTGATAATTTTGAAGCTAGAATTGCTGTTAATACGGTCTGAATATTTAATTATAATTTCTAATTTTTTAAAGGCATGTAATGAAATTGGTCAAATTTGGATAGAATCTGGAGTTAGTGAAAATGCAGTATCTGGACATATACAATTTATGGAACCTGGGAAATCTGCATGTTTTGTGGTAATTTTTAATTTATAAATTTTCAAAAGGGAAAATCCTTTTAAAGTAATCTTTTGAAACATTTTTATTGAAGGTTAAAAATTGGCAATGTTTTACCTGAATTTTAGACCCTTAGTGCTCGAAATATTATACATAAAAAGCGAGCATATCAATAATTAGGGTATCGTTTGGGGCTTCCCCAACTCCAAAGTTAACATTTTTTTAGCCAACCAAAGTTAACATTTTTTTTTTTTTTTTTTTAGCCAACCAAAGTTAACATTTTTTTTTTTTTTTTTTAGCCAACCAAAGTTAACATTTTTTTCCTATCTGTGTTCATCTTGGGCCTGGGGTTTTCCTGGACTACAGTCCCAAGATCCGGCCCAGGCTTTTCAAAAATCCTCGATCTCTAGCGTATTTATTGGGTGTATGTAATAGAGAAGTTCAACTGTAGATTCTTTCAAAATTATTCCCGAATTTATATTTCGAAAATTAAAATTATTTTCCCTTTTTAATGATTTTTTTTCAATTCTCTCTTTACATTAAATTAATTTCATTATTTCTTAAAGTGTCTTCCTCCATTAATTGTGGCTTCAAATATTGATGAAAAAACTCTTAAAAAGGATGGTGTATGTGCTGCAAGTATATAAATTTATAGAAATTTTTTTAGTTAAAAAATTTTTTCTTTTAAAGGTTTACCAACAACAATGGCTGTTATTGCTGGTTTATTAGTACAAAATGCACTCAAGTTTGTATTTTTTAAATAATTTTCTTAAAAATTTTTTTAAAGATTTTTATTAAATTTTGGTCAAGTTACTAATTTTCTTGGCTATAATGCGTTTGTTTCTTTGTTAAAAAAATTTTTTTAATTAAATTTTTAGACTTGTTGATTTTTTCCCTCAAGAAAAAATTCGTCCCAATCCTCTTTGTGAAGATAAAAATTGTAGACGTTTACAAAAAATTTATTTGGTTAATTTTTTGGAACATTTAAAAAATAATTTTAAAATTTTTAGGAAGAACAAGAAAAATTAAAAGCATTAAAATCTGATGTAAAAATAATTGAGGAAAAGACAAACATTGTTCATGAACTGAATGAATTTGGTTAGTAATTTTTAAAAAATTAAAATTATTTTAAATTTAATTTGTTTCCCATTATTTTGGAGAATAATATTTATAGAAATATTTTTAGAAAAAATTTGGGAACTAATTAAAAATTGGGCATTCCAAAAAGTGTGGTAATAATTTAAAATGGCCTTTATGTGGGTTTACTTGGTGTAAATTTATTTAATGTTAGATTTGAAAAATCTTCCGAGAATTTTTTTATTTTTTAAAATATTTTTTTGACACTACGGAAAAATTAAATAATATTATTGGATAACCCCATAGAAAATATCTTTTAAATAATTTAAAAAATAAAACTTAATTTCAATATACAAATTTAAATTAAATTTATTTTGAAGGAATTGAATTAGTATCAGAATCTACCTTTGACCAAACACCTTCAATGTTTGTTCCTTCTTCGTCTGGAATTAAATTAGCTTATGAACCTGGATCTTTAGACGATAATAATGAAAAAGAGGATGAAAATAATTCAAAAACAACAACTAAAGAACTTGGGGATTTAATGGCACAATTAAAGTCACTTTAAAGTTAAAAAACAGATTTTTAAAATTTGTCTGAAAATAAGTGATTGTTTAGCAAATTATTGTTGTGGTTATTGCATAATTAAATGCTTTTTTGTATAATTTTATTTTTTTAGAGTGATGTGATGGATTAAAGTCCTCAAGAGACAATTCGTCCCAATCCTCATTGTGAAGAGAATTTTAAATATTTCTTTAAAATTTTCTTTATTTGGTATGACCAGCCTATTTCAGTTATTTTTCAAAATGTTTAGAAAGCTAAATTATTTAAAAACGTCACACTCATGTTGCAAATTTCCCTCAAAATTAACCTACTATTAAAATCTAAGCTGTTTCTATAAAAGCAATTTAAATGTTGACATCATTTTACAACTCTACAAAACTTTTACATTATGTTGTCTGCTCTATATTGTTTAGCTCTTCTATTATTTCAACCAATCGTCATTTTCTCTTTCAACAATAGCAGCAGTACAGAATTACTGGTAACCAAAACGTAAGATAAAATCTTTTATTTTTTAAAAGAAAATTCCAAAAAAAATTTTCAGAACTGTCCCACCAAATGAAAATCAAAGGATGTTCTATGCTATAATTTCTGGAGGAAATCCTTGGGAAATTCAAAAACACGATAGTAAAGAATTCAACAAAAAGGTGGAAGAGGTATACAAACAGAACTTGACGGACAAAGCAACGACAGGTAATAAATAGTGAAACAGGTGAAACATCGAGATTATTGTATTTTCGGTGTCGCCACCGAAGAGAATCGAAATTGGACTAATCATCAGATTGACGGTGAATTATCTTCGGGAACTTCCTCTAAAAGTACAACAACCCTACTTTAAATCAAAAGAAAATAAAAATATTTCAGAAGAAGAAATCGACAGCACTGTTGTCACCACTGTCGCAAAGCGAGGAAAGCATTACGATACTTCGTGGCGATGGGGACTTGTATCTGGATGTGCTTTGTAAGAATAAACTTTTAAATTATAATTTTTATCTTTTACCAGTTTTTTGGCTGCTATAGTAATTGTGCTTGGTTGGGAACATTGCGGGGATGAGGACCAAGCTGATTAAAAAAATACAAAGAATAAATTATTGTAATGTGATAATTTTTTTGTGTAAATTGTGCCGTTTATTATTTTTAGACTTAGAGAAAAATTAAAACTATTAAAAGCCTGACATGTATGTTTAATTAATTGGAGGAAATTTTTTCAATTTTTCGAAAATGGGGACGCACTCTAAATCTGCACTGAATTGACCGAAGAAAAATAGGGGTGAGGTTAGTTGAGAGCGGACTGGTTGAGGGCCAGCAAAATCGATCGCTAGCTATCTATCCTTGATCATATCCAAATTAATCATATATTATTATCAAGGTTGAGAGTATATTTAACCTTGGGGTATTTAAAAATGAGGCAAACAGCAAGACGGAACAAAATACCGAAAGTGCCAAGCTAATCTAATTTGCGCTGAACTAGCGGTAGAAATTCAAATAATATATTTCCTTTTTTCGCAACGAAAACTTTTAAAAAATGTCTATTTAAGCTTTTCTTGTTTTAAATGATTTTTGTTAGTATTCTTTCGTGGGTCATCTTATTTTTGTTCGGGTTTATATTTCTTTAAATTTTAGAAATGTTTTTCTTAATCTGTCTCCTAATTTTTTCAAATTCTCTTCTCGCAAACTCTTTTTCTAAACCTTGCAATGACACACAACAAAACCTCCATGCTAATGGATTATGCGACAAATTTGTGACATTTTGTGATGTAATTTTTGTTAAACCAAATTTCTAATTAAAGTTTTTTATTTAGGGTGGACTTCCTTTTCAATTTGAATGCCCTGATTTTTTCTTTTTTAATCCTGTTTCAAAATTTTGTGAGAGGATCTATGACTTCGTTGGCCTCAAACCTCAAAAATATCGAAAAAGCCCTTCTTCCCCGCCTTCTCTAGAAGGATGTAAAGATGAGGAAAAATGCGTTACACAAACCGAAGTTTTACCCTTTCTCTTTTACTTTTAATTTAAATTTTAAGTTACCAACTATACAACCAAAACTTCCACCTTTGATTGTTCCATCACTACAACTCCCGCCTTTGATTGTTTCTACAACAGAACCTCCACCTTTGATTGTTCCAGTGCCACAACCTCCTTTGCCTGTTTTTGGACATGTTTATGTGCCTCCACCTAGACTTGTTTATGTGCCTCCACCTCAACTGGAGGAGCGTTTTATTTCCGAAAAATCTAGCGCCTTTGCCCCAATGAACAGTCTTACGGATGTTGGTCACGATGCTTTTCTACCTTCTCCGCCTCTTTCTTTCATTCAAAGTGGGTTTGCTCCAATAAATTCTCATGTGGATTTTGGTCATGATATTTTCAACACTCGAATCAAACGTTCGGCAAATGATATTGACAAGTGTTTGGAGTTGTTGGGCAATTATTCAAAAGTTTGTTTAAATTTACTAAACATCTACTTTTTAATTATTTTTAGCCTTCAAATGAAACGCCATGTACTCATGACGAAATACCTGGTGGATGTCGACAATTTTATTTTGCATGCGTGAATGGGACTAGAGTTGAGCGTTATTGTCCTTTGGGTCTTTTCTTCAATCCTTTGCGTGAGGTGTGCCAACGTCGTGAACAAATTCAAACATGCCTGCCGACTTTTCCTAAGCCTTCGCGTCCTTTTAAAGTTTCTCCCCGGAAACAGATGGTGGCAACTTCTTCTGCAAGGTTTTAAGGATTCAATAGAAATTTTAGTTTAACTTTCTTAGACCTGTACTTCCTTCTTATTCTCAATATTATCCTGAGAAGTTTTGTTCGGAGTTGCCTGATGGATTTTACAAACATCCTCGTAATCATTCTCGTGTTCTTCAGGTTCTTAGAATTTTATGGAAATTAAATAATTTTATCTATTAGTGCTTTTCTCATCAACTTTTTGAGTATCCGTCTTGCTTACATGGTCTGGTTTTTGACGAGGTTCGTGGAGTTTGTGGTTATCCTCCTGACTTTGCTACAAAAAATGTTTCGGGTATAAATTTAACCTTTTTTAAGTTTAATATCATTTTTCAGTGACTTTCTGTGCTGGCGGTCATCATCATGGTGACCACGTTGCCCACCCGGAAAAGTGTACATCGTTTTATCGTTGTGTTTGGGGTCGTTTGTTTCCAATGAGTTGTCCACTTGGGACTGTATTTAATTCTCGCCTCAGTGTTTGTGACTATCCGAAGAATGTGCCAAATTGCAATTGACTTTAAAAATGTTTACAGACAGATAATTTTATTTGTTTTTTACTTAATTGACTCGTTTATATTGTTATGTAATAGAGACCGGATTGGGAGGGTCGAACAAAAATCAACGAGATTTCTCTAAGTATATCAATCTCGATAGCCAAGATTTTTGTTCGAATCTCTTTTCGGTCCGTTATCTTCTTATTTTGTTATTTAAAAAATTTTCTGATATATTTAAGTTTTATTATTTAAATAAATGGACAAATTCGAATAAATTAATTTACATTCAATGTTTTTTTGATCATTCAAGTTGATTTTCTAGAATTTATTTTTAATTGAAAAATTGTCTTTGTTTTTAATGATTTTTATTAAAAAGATTTTTGTTTCTGAAGCGTAATGTTTTTCTCTTATCAAATATTAATTCGGAAGAATGGGAACTTTGCTATTATTTGGTTAGTTTAAAAACAATTTTTCTTGATAACTTAACAATTTTAGGCGATACATGCATGAACGTAATCCTGCTAAAGTATCAAAGAAGGAATTACTTTCAATTGATATTAGTCAAGCTTGGTATTTTATCTTTTAAGTAAAAATTATTTCTTTTAATTTTTAGCACGGACCTGCGAAATTACGTTCCTACAGGAAGACTTGATAGCAGAGAGATTCAAAATAAAATGTCTCTTTATTTGCTGGCTCAACTTTCTTATGGAGTTGCTTTGGTACTTAAGGTTCAGGCCGATTATTTGATTGGTATGATTTAAAATTTTTATAAATTTATGGGTTCAATCTAGAGACCGGTGCGGGACGGGATCCCGCGCGGGATTTTGCGAGATCCCGTCCCGCAATCCCGCACTTTTTTCAATTTGCGGGATTTATCCCGCGGGATCCCGTCCCGCAAAGATTTTAAAAAAATCCCGCATGCGGGATCCCGCAAACTTGATTTTACCGGTCTCTGGTTCAATCCTCCTCACGGTTCTGTGACGGGTTGGGCTCAAAATTTTATTGTTTTTTACAGGTGATCTTCAATCATTGCTTAATACAATGGTTTACGTGCCTGTTGAAAAACCGCCACAGCCACAAAGGAAGCGTAGAGCGACTGAAGCTGCTGTTGCAGGCATGGAGCAGGAAGACTTTGATGATGTTCCGATGGAGACTCCTAAAACTCGCAAAAAACGGCGTACAACTCACGGGACTAGGCCATCTTTACTTGATCTTAGCGATCCTGTTTGTTATTTTAAACTGAAAATTATTTTTGAGTTAACTATTTTAGCGCTCTTATGTTGACCAACAAGTACATCCTCGTCGAGAGGCAAACGAATTACAAGAATTGGACGAAGCTTTTATGGATACTGCTGCTGGAGAAGCATTACCACCTCTTGATTTTGCTGTAACTGATGAACAAACTGAAGGGCATGCTCAACGAAAAGTTTCAGTTGCGTCATTATTACAGGACAGAGAAGACAGTTTCCGGGAGATGGAAAGGGCTTTGGGCATTGAACCAATTGAGAGAGCGGAAGAGGAAATTAACGTTACTAATGGGCATGTGGAGCAACGACGTTCTGAAGGAGGACTTCCATCACGAGAAACTTTAGAGGTTTATTATAAATGGATTTTAAATTTATTTCTCAATTTTTAAAGGATTTGGGGCCAGAAATGCCTTTGGACGAAACTCGTGAGCCAATTTATCGTCAAAGCTTTGATCAGGCTGAAGATGCTTCATTCTTACAGAATTTTGATGTTTGTTTATTTTTAATAAAATGTTAAATTAAAAACATTTTTAGGAACTGCGACTTGAATTACCTAACTTGGATTTGGATATGCCACCTCCTCGAGGTGTGCCTCACCGTAGACGTCGCCAAGTTGGTTTATTGGTTGATGAGCAGACCCAGTTGACTGATGTATTTTTTATTTTTAAAATAATATTTGCTTGTTTTTAAGGAAGAAATTCAAGACCAAATTCTGAATATTAGAGGTGTTGTAAGAAACAATCGAGATTTTGAGAACGAATTTAATCGTGATTTGCGATCACCACTTGCTCAACTTATGGAACCTTTTCAAAGTTTTCTGGAATTAAATTTATTTTTTAGAAATTTATTTTAAGGTGATTTTCTTCCAAATGAGGAGTTTCGTCCTTTGTTTGCACGTATTGAACATTACTCAAAAAGATATTTTGAAAGGCCATTAACTTTCGAGGAAGCACAGCTTCTTACTTATGAGGTGTTTAATTAATATTTTTAAATTAATAGTTTATTTTTAGCAACTTCAACAACGTCGTTTTGAGGTGGATGTGGATTCATTTCGAGTTAGTGAGCCTACACCTGAAGGCTCTGTTATACAACAGAATGGACATCCTCCTGTGAAAGTTTCGGTTGCTTCTCTTGTGCTTCCTCCTGAAGTATTTTTATTTTTAAACATTTTTTCCGGAAAAATTGTTAAATTGAATTTAAAATGTTTCTTTTTAAGGAATTACTTGAAGAATTAGATGATCAGGAAAGACGATTTTCTACGCCATCTGCTATAGAGATTGGACGTCGAGCGGCTCGAGAGACAATTAATGGTATTTGGTTTATTTTTAGATAAATTAATTTTTTAAATGAGACGTGAATTTTTTTCATTTTTAAATTAACACAATATTTTTATAAAGATCTTGCACCTCTCAACGATTCTATACAAGAACCGCAGCATTCATTGGATGCAAGTAGTGATCGGCCATTAGATGATGATATTCCTTTGCGTCGTGAATCTATATTTACTAATACTAAAACATCGCCGGATGTGCCTGAAGAGGATTGGCTTGATGCGGAAATGAATCAACTTTATGAGTTTGTTTTTTTCATTAGTAATGGATAAAAAGGGAATGGATAAAAGGGTAACTCGAAAAAAGAAAAAATGTTTTTCTTTTGCTTAAAGTGAAAATTGGTTTGTTGATTTAAAAAAATTTGATACTGCCCCCAACCGTATTATAAGTTTCTGCGCGTAAAAAAAGAATTGAGACAAATTGTGAGAAACTATAGTATAATTTATTTCATGTTTTTAGAGTCATTGTGGAGAAAGTAGAGAGTCAAAACGTTGTTTGTTTTCCTCAAGCGGCAAAAGTAAATGAACTTGGGAAAGGAGAAATTGGTCGAAAACGTGCAGCTCGTAAATTCTTTACTTTATTGAGTAAGTTTTTTGTAATTAAATTTAAAAATGTAAAAATAAATTTAAAGAATTGTTAAAACATCGAAAAGTCAAGGTTCGTCAGCGTGAGCCTTATGGCTTAATCTTAATTCGTTTGGTTAGACAGCAGCCGGGAGATTTGGATGTTTCGATGGCGTCAATGTAAATTAAAATAGTTTTTTTTATTTTTCTTTTGATTTGGATTAAAAAAATTTTTTTGGAATTTTCACTTTAAAAAATATTTAAAATATAATTATGTCGCAATTTATTGTTTCCTTCTTCTACTTCTTTCCACGATTTTTGCTTAATGTTTGCTGGACTATTCACAGAATGCCATATATACATTTTGAGTCTGTTCATTCATTTTCATTTTTTTCGATTCTGTGAATTTTCCATTGCCCCTAAATTATTTTAAAATTACTTGTTTTAAATTAAAATATAATTGTTTTGCTCTTTCCTCTCTTCACTAAAACCAGACTAGGACACGGATACTGATTTTGGTATCCGTATCCGGATATTTACGTCGGATACAGACAGATATCCGCAGGCATTTTTAATATCTGTATCCATGTCCTAGTCTGTCTAAAACTACATATCTCTCTTTAAATAATTTATTTTTGCTTGCCAGAATTTTAAAATAAAAATATTTTGTTTTATTTTCTTTTTAATATTAAAGTGTGAACAATAATTGGCTTTACCATTTTTTAATTTTAGAATTTTTCACTTGTCAGATACTTTTGATTTAACAATAATTAAAATTATAGATTTAAAAATTTATTTATTCAATGGTGGGTGCTGGAGCCTTTCGTACAAGTGTTTGGGATCCAACTTTAATAGCTGGACAAATTATTTGCCTTCAAAGTGCTTTTTACAGTGCAGAAAGTACTTTAATGTTTTTGTGGAGTTTTAGTGGATATATACCTTCTTTGGCTGAGATATTTGCTGTCGAGGTTTTTTAATTTACTTTTAGTACTAGATTACTTATTTTTGGCTTTTTATTTTTTCGGACATGAGGGTTAGTTGTTTTCGGGAAGAGGTTTAAATATTTACGGTTAAATATTTACGTTTATTTGCAAATAAATATTTACAAAATTCAAAGAGAGTTTACAGAAAAATATTTAGAAAATCAGGCGCGGCGTGCTGCTGACGTACATTTATTGATTCTCTAAAAGAGCTTTTGGGTTGTAAAAAGGGTTTTTGAATTTTTTTTGAAGTATAATAAAATATTTAGTAATCTGAAATACTTTATTTTTATAAATAGTTTGGCGATTTTTAAAAATCAATTTTTAGCCAACAAAACCAATGGTTTTTATTCAATTGATTTCTTCTCTATTTTGTGCTTTTATGTTACTTGTAATCGTTGGAAGAGCACGTCAATGTCTGGACTTTTCAATAACTCTACATTTTCTTCATTTCTTGGCTGTTTGTTTTTATAATAGAACAATACCTTCAAATTTGAGTTGGTTAGTTTTTAAATATTCTCTTTGGGAGGATTTAGTATCAAGATTGCGTGACTTTTTTACTGGTAAATTGAATGATTATTTAAATTTTATAAAGTAGATTTGTATTATGATAGATGCCAAGGGCGTAGCCCTTTCTGATTATTTCCCTCCTAAAATTTTTTCACTTTCCCAATTTGGGGGGGGGGGCTATAGCCCCAGAAGCTGGCTACGCTATTGATAGATACTTGATTTTTTGGTTACAAGATATCCGAAACAGGGATTGATTAGGTAAAACATAAATTCTTAATTTTCGGGAATTGCTTATTTCGCATTGTTGTGCTTAGAAAGAACTAACTTACAAATAATTTTTTAAAACTTTTATTTAAAGGTGGTTACTTCAAATAATTAGTTGTACAATTTATACAACTCTTGGAGAATGGCTTTGTGTAAGAAGAGAATGTTTGGAAATTCCTCTTTCTCAATCAAAATTAAATAATCAAAGAAATTCATTTAGTGATTTGGCTACATTAATTGAAACTTGACAAGTTTGGGGTTAATTTTTGACTTTTGAGACGATACGAAAATTTTTAGAAATGCAATTTTTGTGTATATTTTTTTATTATAATTTATAATTCTAGAAAATTCTTAAAATTAAAATTTATTAAAATAATATTCGACGAATATATTTTTGAATATTTAACAGTTAAAAACTCCCCCATTTTATTTTATTTCAAGCTTTTTTCGAACATAAAGTTATCCGATATCTTCTTGAAACATTGATTTTTTCCTTCATAAGTTATGGAATATTTTTTCATTTCTGGAGAATTATCTCAAAATTAAAATTTGTGTAGAAATAACTGTTAAATATTTTTTTTACTTATTTTTTAAATTAAATGGAAACGGGTTGTGTTTAAAAAAATTATATATTTTTTGGCATAAATATTTTTGATACTTACAATTAAAAATTTTAAAGAATTATTAAATTTTAATTTAATTATTTTTTTAAATTTAATTATTTTTTAATTTAATAATTAATTTAATAAAATTTGGACATGACAAGAAAACGTGAAAATATAAATAAATTAAAGGAAGACAAAATTGATAATGAAAAGAAGGAAGAAATTAAAACTTCAACTAATTTAAATATTGATTATTATGATTCGAGTGATGAGGAGGTTTTTTTTCATGTTTTAAAAAATATTCTTATTGGGTAAAAAGGAGGTTGAATTTTAAATTTATAGGAAATTTTATATTTTTCCGAGGTTCGTGGGTTCTTGCCGAGACCCGTGAACAAACTTTCACTTCCAAGAATATTACAATTTTTATTTAAAAATTCGTAGTTATAATTAAAAGTTTTGTATTTTTTAGTCTTTAAAAAACTAAAAATTCATTCCTCAACGCTAAATTGTCTCGAAATTCTATTTTTATAAAAAAATTTCAGGATATTCGTAATACAATTGGAAATATCCCTATTCAATGGTATGATGAATATGGACATGTTGGGTATAATTTAGATGGTGAAAAAATTAATAAAGCTGCTGGTAAAGAACAACCAAAAGGTCAAATTGATGCATTTTTGGAAAGAGAAGAGGATCCGGATTATTGGTTTTTTTTAATTTTATTTTTAAAATTAAATATTTTTAGGAGAAGAGTTTTCGATAAACAAACGGGACAGGATATTATATTGAGTGATGAACAAGTTGAAAAACTGCAGGCTATAGCAAGCAGTAGATATCCTGAAATTGGTTTGGATCTTTTTAAATTTTTATTGAAATTAATTTTTTTTGACGCTAAAAATTTTTTTACCGTTTATATCGTTTGTGTGTTTTATTTTATGAAACAAAATTTGAGTGCATACATCTATTATATGTACCAGGTCTGTGCTAATTTCACATTTCGTGTTTCGCATATTTAGCATTTTTTTAGCGCAAAAAGTTTCGCTTTTTATTATTAGATTTCGCCCAGCCCTGATATGTACCATAATTTACTTTAGAAAATTTCGGTTTTCCTGGCTCAATTTCTTCCAATTTTTTCTAAAAGTTCAAGAAAAGGGCAATTTTCTTGTAATTTATATTAAAAAATTTAATTTTAAGGTTATAATCCCTACCAACCTTTCTTTGAAATTTTTTCTTCAAAACGAGAAATTCATCCAATATCAAATCAACCACCTTCTAAAAGGTAAAAGATTTCCAAAAATTTAATTTTTAATATTTAAAAAATTTTTAAGTTCATTTGTCCCAAGCGCCGATGAAAGACGAATTGTTGGTAGAATGGTACATGCAATCAAAAATGGATGGATGAAAAAACGAGAAGAAATTGAAAAAGAAGATGAGGAAAGGGAACTTGAAGAAGAATTTCCGAAGGTTTTTTTGAAAATTTTTTTTTTGTTAAAAAATAATTTTTTCTTAAAGGTTTACGATATTTGGTCAGATGAAGGAAATTTGGAGGCAAAAACTAAATCTGAACTTGCTCGGCTTAGAATGAATTGGACAGCACCAAAAGTACAACTACCTGGACATTCTGAATCTTATAGGTTTTTATTCTTAATTTTTCTTTTAAATTTTCTTTGTTTTTTCATTAGACCTCCACCAGAATATTTATTTTCTAAACAAGAATTGAAAAAATGGGAAGAAACTGAAAGAGAAAGGAGAAGACCTAACTTCATTCCAAGAACTCATGATGCTTTTAGAAAAGTAAGGAGAAATGTTTTTCTATTTGGGTTTATTTTAGTAAAAGGATAGCAAAAAAGTTTACTCACAGAAAAGAATCGAATCTGCGAACTCGTTTACACCTTCTACCAACTGGGCTACCGGAACGATTTTTGCTTCACGCCCACCTACCAATAAGCGTTTTAAATCCTACCAGATGTTTGTTTCCTTTTTTTCTTTCAGAATTCCCCTCCATTTTTCTTTGTTATTTCATTAATTTTTAAACAAAAGAGCTTTCCAAAAATATTGGGAAAATTTGTAAAAATAATAAAAAGAAGCAACAAACGCCTTTTAATTTTGCATTATTTTTAAGGTTCCTTTCTATGAGCGTTTTTACGATGAACGTTTGGAACGATGCATGAATTTGTACTTGGCGCCTAGACAACGGAAATTACGAGTTAGTTTTTATCAATTTTAAAGAAAAAATAGGGAACATAAAAATGTTATTTGCCTCGGCTAGACTTAAATTTTTAAATTAAACATTATTTCAGCTCAACGTCAATGCCGATCAACTTTTGCCTGTACTTCCTAATCCAAAAGATCTTCAACCATTTCCAACTACATTGGCATTTGTAATTTTACCCCATTTTATTTAATTTCTATTAAAAACAATACCTTTACTATTTTTTAAGTATATGCGTGGACATAAAGGCCAAGTTCGTTCAATTTCTGTTGAACCTGACATTGGCGAGATTTTAGTTTCTGGCGGTGCAGATTCAACTGTTCGTGTTTGGGCACTTCCTAATGGAAATTTTCTTCATAAATATGAAATGTCTGCTCCCGTTACTTGTGTCCAATTCTGTCCGGATCCGAAAAAATTGCTTGTTTTGGTAATTAAAGGGATCCGACATTATTTTATTTAAAATTATAGGTTTCTTGTGAATGTGAAATTGTTACAATTTTAAATATTTCAACTGGTGATCGCCTCTTAATTTCTCAAACAAAACAATTTCTTGCTTCACTTCCAATTGAAGAAGCACCTGAAAATACACCGGGAATTAAATGGGTACGTTGTGAAAAAGAAAAACAAATAAATAATAAAAATTCAAAAATGGAAGGAATTCAACTTGAAATGAAAGATGTAAGGATTTTTTATATAAATTAAATTAAAAATATTATTTTTACTTTAATTTTTTATAAATTATTTTAAATTTTACGATGAGTTATTCAAAAAATTTTTTGCTTAAGATATTCCTTTTTGTACAAAACTATTTTTATTTGCCCACATTAATATGGCTTCGTGGTGTAGTTGGTTATCACGTCAGTCTAACACACTGAAGGTCGCCAGTTCGAGTCTGGCCGAAGTCAAATAATTTTTTCTTTTGTAAATTAATTATTTTTTTTTATTTTTTTGTTTAAAATTAGTTTTAAATATCAAAAAAATTTTTTTCAGAAAATTCGAAGCGTAGTTTGGCATAGAAAAGGAGATTATTTTGCTACACTTGGTTTTCAATATTCTTCTAGTACTGTTTTAATTCACCAATTAAGTAAATGTAATTCACAGGTTTCAATTTTTTAAATTATTTTTTATTTTTATTTATTTTTTAATAATTTAGAAACCTTTTACAAAATGTAAAGGTTTTGTTGAATCTATTTTATTTCATCCTTCAAAACCGTTATTTTTTGTTGGAACGAGGTTTGGTTTTGTTTAAATTAAATTTTTTCTGTATTTTTTTCTAGGCAACATATTTTAATTTACGATTTGGCTAGAAACGAATTAAAAAGAAAACTTTTTCCTGGGACAAGATGGCTATCATGTATGGTGTTACATCCAGAAGGAAATAATCTTTTTATTGGTGGATTGGATAGAACATTTTCCTGGTTTTTTTTTTAATTAGAAATTTTTTTTCGCAATGAATTTTTAAATAAACGAGTAAATTTAAATTTTCAATTAATTTTTGCTGGAAAACATCATTTATTAATAGAATTTTTGTTGAAAATTAATTAAAAATTTTTAAGAAAAATTTTGTTTTATTAAAAATACCCTTTAAAGGATGGACTTAGAATTGGGCACAAAACCTTGGAAAAAGCTTCGAACACACCAATCAGGAATTCGATCAATTACATATCATAAACGTTATCCTCTACTTGCTACTGTGTATGATTAAAAATTTTGAGAAATTAATTTTAAAAAATTTTATTTTTCAAGATCAGATGATGCAACAGCAATAGTTTATCATGCTAAAACAAGTCAAGATTTGGAAAAAGAAAATGAATTAGTGCCAGGTTTAATAATTGAAAATTAAATTTTAATTATTTTTTAAATTAGTTAAACGTCTTTTTGGACACAAAATTTTGGCAAAAAGGGAATTAACTAAATTAAAAGAACAAAAAATAAATGAAGAAAATATACAAGAAGAAGAGGACAAAAATGAAGAGAAGAAGAAGATAAATAATAAAACTCAGGAAGAGGTTAGTTTTTATTTTGAATTTATTGAGTAAAAAATTTGTTGTAGAAAATTATAGAAAATGGTTTAGTAAATTATTTTTGTTTTAAAAATTGTTTAGAAAAAATAATTTATCCCTTTTTCAGTAAAATATTCCCAAAATATTTTTCAAATAAAATTAATTTTTAAAGAATTCTGACAATGAAGAATCCCCTCCAACAAAACTTGACAATACTCGGTTGTCCATACTTTGTGCTACTTTTCATCCAATTCAGGTTGTTATATTTTAAATTTTTAAATTTATTTTTTCTTTTTTTCAGCCTTGGCTAATAACTTCGGGTGCTGACGGAAATATAGCATTATTTACTTATTAAAAAATATATAAAAATTGTTATTTTTTTGTTGTTGTTTTTAAATAAATTTATATTTTTATTCGTAGATTTGTTAATTTTTTCACAAGCTTTGATAAAAATTGCTCCCTAAATTACACACAAAAAGTGAAAGGAGACTAGGAAAATTTAATGTGACATTTGTAAATAATTTGTCCTTCTGACCATTTTGTAATTACCACTAGTTTAGGTAATTCGTTATTTTACTCCAAGTGGGCATTTTTCCCTCGCATTAAAGAGCACAAAGAGAGCACACACAATTAGAGAAACAATAAAGGAAGAGAGTGTTTTTACGGTTGTCTTTGTCTCTGATTCTTTATTCCAATATTTTGTTTATTTTATATCACGTCTGAAATTTATCATTTCTTTTTGCTTGTATAATGTGCTTTTGCTGTATTTCTTGGTTTAAATACCCAAGTTTGAGGTAGATAAAAACTCCAGCCCCTTGTATGAGTGGCTGCTTGGGATAAATTTTGGAATTGTTTTGCTTTTGCGAGGCTTAAATTTTTTTGGATTGTAAGTGTGAGGAAAAAATGAAGTCACTAAAATTAGAAAATTTTTGCTAAAATTATTTTTTAAAGAACATCCTTTTGAAAGCTAGACTACGGAAATTTTTTTTGTTAGGAAAAACTGTTACTAATTAAGATAACGGGTACGACGGAAGTTTTTTTTAAGTTTGGAAAAAACAATTAGCAGTAGAAAAATTATTTTTAGACATTCAAATATACAATAAAAATGAACAAAAAAAAACAATTTTATATACATAAATTTATGACAATACACATTTAGAAAAATTCAAGTATACAAACACAAATAACAACATTATGTATAACATTCATCGAAAATCACATCATTCTCCACACTTTTTGTTCAAGAATCATCTGGTTGTGACCCCCTTCTCGGTGGGGTTTTCTTCAAGTCTGCTGTTGTATCAGTTGGAATATCTTTGACATCGCCTTTTGATGGCCGTTGAATTGTGACTCTGGCACTGCTAACTGAAAAAAAAAGATTTAGACATTATTTAATTAGCCGAACTGTTAGAGATGTGAGACTCTAAAGAACAAAATTTGAATTGACCTAATCGACATTATGACATATTCCCTTCCCGCTCATTTATGTGTATTTAAGCATTTCCCTTTTCCCTCTTTTTGTTCGTTGTCTTTTCTCAGTCTCATTCCCATATTTATTAAGTGACTCGGTCACAATCAAATTGTTTATTTTATTTATTTAAAATAAACTTTATTATTATTCTTAAATTGTGTTATTGGGGAGAAACACAACAAAACTGGCGCGGTCGACTAAACTTTTTAGCGATTGAAAAGAATTTTGATTTGACAACAAATTCTTTTATTTTGATTATTATTTATTCTGATTGGACAACTTCTTTATTCTGTTGACTACAAGTCCAATTTGATTCGACATTAATTTTGTTTGGAGTTTCGACTTTCTGCATTTGGTCGAAAAAGGGAATTGATTTTTGTTTGGACTTCGAAAATTTTTTTTGTGTGCGTTCGTCAGATTCGAACGCTGAGATTCTGCAGGTTTATTTAAGTTTTAAAAGGAATTTATAAGTTGCCCTCTGCCTGTTTGGCTTTCATTCAAAAAATCGATAACTTGGCGTCGCTTCTGACACGCCAACACTGCCGCAAATCAATCAACAAGCTAGGCGCTTGTTATTCTTCTGATTTGATTTAAAGGACTCACAAGCTAGGCGCTAGTGATAAAACAGCTAGGCGCTGGTCCTGATTATTTCTACAAAAAGCCCTATCACAGCTAGGCGCTGTTTGATTGTTTGCTAGGCGCAAATCGGTTTATTCGACAATGGCAACATTTACAGCAGAACAATTCCAGCAATTAATGCAAGTGCTAGGTGCAAATGCAAATAATTCAGCTGCCGCTTCTCTCGCTTCTGCATTGGATTCTAGAATTGGAAAATTCTATTATGAGCCAGAAGCTGGACAGACTTTTGAAGTATGGTATAAGAGGTATTCAAATTTCTTTTTGGAAGAAGGAAAAAGTCTAGACGACTCAGCAAAAGTACGACTTCTTGTCGGAAAAATAGGCGAAAGTGAATATGCTACATTTAGCAATGCCGTTCTTCCTTCCACACCAGACCAGCTGAAATTCAAAGATGCGGTTTGTAAGCTTAAAGATTTGTTTGGAGATAAGCGATCGTTGTTTGTACGACGCTATGAATGCTTCAAGATTCAGCAACAGCAAGGACAAGATATTTCATCTTATGTTGCTTCGGTGAATGCGTCATGCGAGAATGCAGACCTCACCTTGACCAAAGAAGCTTTGAAATGTTTAATTATGGTTGTAGGTCTCCGAGACGAATACCACGACCTACGACAAAAATGCTTACAACTGCTTGAAGATGCTCGACGAAGAAATGAAAACTTCACGCTAGAGAAATTAGGTGAAGAATGTAGAGCATATATGTTGATTAGAGAAAGTGCTCATTCACTTTCGAATGCTAATCCAAGTCAGCAATCCATAAATGCGATTCAATCGAAGCCAAATATTTGGAAAGAGAAGACAAAGAAGAAAAGTCCTCGTAAAATAGGAGGCACACAAAGCAAAGAGACACATCCAAATTCGACTTGCTACTGCTGTGGAAAGCAAGGTCATTGGCGTAAGGATTGCAGATTTAAAGATGCCACTTGTAAAAGATGTTACAAGAAAGGTCATCTAGTCGACAACTGCCGTAGTAGAGCTAGAGCGGATGACAGAAATACCCGCCGAATAAATACAGTCTCAACGTATTGTTTAGCCATGGAAGCTAAAAATCCTGACTGGTTTATAGTTAAAGTGGAGATAAATGGAGTTGATGTTGAAATGAAGCTAGACACCGCTTCTCAGATAACGCTTGTCACAACTAGGACATGGAAGAAGTTAGGGTGTCCGGAACTCCAAATGGCCGATCTCCAAGTGAAAAACTGCAATGACATAGCCTTCGATATCCAAGGAAAGTTTGAATGTTCTGTGCGATTCAATGGAGCACAAAGGAAAACATTAACTGCTTATACTTGCAACTCGGTTGCTCATGATTTATTAGGCATTCCATGGATATGCGAGCTACAAATTCTTGCACAAGAAATGTTGGAAACTTTTCAAAAGTCTACTGCTAAAATCTCAGTAGTGAAGGAAAACAAGATAGCTATGACGGATGCAAATGAGTTGAAAGAAAGTTTGCAATCCATGTTTCCAAGTGTTTTTGATTCAGCATTAGGATTATGCACGAAGCTTAAGGCACAGCTACATTTGAAAGCTGATGCTAGGCCTGTATTCTGCAAAGCTCGACCTGTTCCCTTCGGAGCTTTGGAAGCTATTAATGAGGAATTGGATAGATTATTGGCTATCGGTGCGATAAAACCAGTTGAATTTAGCCAATGGGCTGCTCCAATTTTAGCAGTCAAGAAGAAAAGCGGAAAAACGCGTGTGTGTATTGACTTTTCTACTGGACTCAATAACGCACTTGAATTGAACCGCCATCCACTTCCAAGGCCTGACGATATTTACGCTTCATTAAATGGTGCAAAACATTTTAGTCAGCTAGATTTACGGGATGCTTACCTTCAAATCGAGTTAGATGAAAAGTCTAAAGGACTTTGCGGAATTAACACGCATCGAGGCTTAATGCAATGTCAACGTCTTCCGTTTGGTGTTAAATCCGCTCCCTCAATATTTCAACATGTGATGGATCAAATGCTATCTGGAATTCCCGGAGCATATTGTTATTTGGATGATTTGATCATCGCTAGTCCATCAATTGAAAAGCATGCCCAAACAATTCAAAAATTGTTTGCAAAAATTCAAGAATATGGATTTAAGATACAAGCTGAAAAATGTCATTTTCTGCAAAGTGAAATAAAATTCCTAGGACATTTGATTTCTGCAGAAGGAATTAAGCCAGATCCAGCTAGATCTGAGGCAATTAGAAAAATGCCAGCACCTCATGACGTATCGTCGCTCCGTTCATTTTTGGGTGCATTGAATTATTATGGAAGGTTTATAAGATCAATGTGTGATTTAAGAGCTCCACTGGACGAACTCTTAAGAAAAGATGTCATTTGGGAATGGACAGAAAAGCAGCAAAGTGCTTTCGAAAAAGCAAAAGAAATTCTAGTGTCGCCACTTTTGCTTACACATTATGATCCTTCGCTTCCAATTATAGTTGCTGCAGATGCTTCTAAAGACGGAATTGGCATAGTTCTAAGCCATAAGTTTCCTGATGGCACAGAAAAGGCTGTAGAACATGGAGCCGTCACGTTTACTCCTGCTCAGAGAAATTATAGTCAGATTGAAAAAGAAGCTCTGGCACTAGTTTTTGCGGTGCAAAAATTTCATAGAATGATTTACGGTCGTCATTTCACACTGCTAACGGACCATAAACCATTACTGGCAATATTTGGATCTAAGACAGGCATTCCAATTTATTCAGCCAGTCGACTTCAAAGATGGGCAATAATTCTGTCTAATTACGATTTTGACATAAAGTATGTCAAAACAACTGCTTTCGGAAAAGCTGATGTTCTTTCACGGTTAATTGCAAATTACCCACGTCCAGAAGAAGATATTTTGATTGCAAATATCAGCGCGGACACCGAATGTTTCGTGAACAATGTTTTTGGAACTGTCACGAATGATCTGCCAATTTCCGCGAATGAAATAGCCCAAGAGACAGAAAATGATGTGATTCTTCAGAAATTGTTACTGCAAATTAGAGGAAACTGGGAAGTGTGTAAAGATACAGATCTGCTCCCATATTTTCCAAAAAGAAGAGAAATTTCTGAAATTAAAGGATGTTTAATCTATGGTCAAAGAACGATTATTCCAGAAAAACTGCGCTTGAAAATGCTCAAGGCACTACATTTTGCTCATCCTGGAATAGTAAAAATGAAACTGCTAGCTAAAGAGCATGTTTACTGGCCAAAAATGAATTCTGACATTGAAAGATTGGTTAAAGAATGTCAAAATTGCCAAGAAACAGCAAAAGTTCCAATTAAAGCAAAATTAGCACCTTGGAAAATTACTGAAGAAGTATTTCAGCGTGTGCACATGGATTTTGCAGGACCATGCATTGATGGATACACATATTTACTGCTAGTAGATTCGTATTCAAAGTGGCCAGAAGTTTTTCGAATGGCAAATATTTCGGCGAAAGCTACAGTCGATACGCTTCGCACCGTCATTCATCGTCTAGGGATTCCAAAAGAATTAGTTTCGGATAATGGAACTCAATTCCGATCGGCCGAACTAGCAAAATTCTGCAAGGAATACGGAATAAAACATACGTTTACACCACCGTTCCATCCGCAATCGAATGGACAAGTAGAACGTTTTGTGGATACATTCAAGAGAGGCATGAAGAAAGCTAAAGAAGATAAATTTTGGTGCGAGAAGATGCTACTTGCATATCGTTCTACACCACATACAGCTTTAAATGGATGCTCTCCTGATCAGCTATTTCTAGGTCGACGCTTGAGAACGAAAATTTCACTAGTTCATCCAGAAGGATTGAAATTGAAAAAGACGAAATTTTCTGCTTCTGAGAGAAAAGAATATACTCAGAAGATGGCAAAGCAATTCGACAAGAAACATGGGTCTAAGAACATTGAATTCAGCAATGGAGAAGCTATCTATGCGCTTAATTACAGATTTGGAAAAACGCATTGGCTTCCAGGAGAAATTATTTCAAAAGTTAAGAATTCTCCAACTTACCGAGTCTCGATTCCCTCGATAGGAAGAAACGTTCATCGCCACTGCAATCAGCTTAGAAAAAGATTACAAGTGATTGAAACAGAAGTTATGGCGCATGAAGATCAAGAAGTGCAACGCCAAGCTAGGACTCCCATTCAGAAAAGTCCGGCTAAAGAAAAGAATAATTCCGAGACTAGGCGTCACCAAATCGAGCGAGACCAGAATGTTCAAAAGACTCCCAAACGTTATCCCAATCGAGACCGAAGACAAGTCCACCACTTTGACATGGACCCAAAGAAGAAGAGATATGAAAAGGGAGATTAAAAATCTTAAGAAGGGAGATGTTAGAGATGTGAGACTCTAAAGAACAAAATTTGAATTGACCTAATCGACATTATGACATATTCCCTTCCCGCTCATTTATGTGTATTTAAGCATTTCCCTTTTCCCTCTTTTTGTTCGTTGTCTTTTCTCAGTCTCATTCCCATATTTATTAAGTGACTCGGTCACAATCAAATTGTTTATTTTATTTATTTAAAATAAACTTTATTATTATTCTTAAATTGTGTTATTGGGGAGAAACACAACACGAACTAAACTGACCTTCTGGACTTGAACGACGAGAAGATCTTTGGGATGATCCACCACGTCCTGTTATGCGACCGATAAATGATGTTGGAGCATCGCGTTCAGCTGACGTGATGACAGCAGAATATTTGTGGTTGTGTCGGTGGAAATTCATGTTTTTCTGGATGATCCTTGTCACATCGGCTGGAAGACTATCAGAGCTGACCTTCGGAATCGGGCGCGCTACTCTGATGGTTAGGTTGTTGTTGTTTATTCCTTCAAGTATTGCCGATTTTACGCTCTTAGTGTCTTCCACCTTTTTGCCATTCACACGCGTTATTACGTCCCCATAATGAAAGTTACCATCGGCAATTGATCCAGCCTCAGTGCCGCAGATTGTGACGTTATCCTGAAATTAACAAGATACATTTTGATTTTAGCGCTAAAGCGCTCACCTGAACTTCTCTCATGTTCACCCCAAGAGGCATACCGCCTCGCCGCCATTTAATCTCAAAGTCGAACAGCTCCCATTCATCTTTGCCTTGATATTCTCCCTCTAGCTTCCTGATTGTGATCCTGTAGAAAGTGTCACGACGAACCTGGATTCTTAATTTCTCAGGTTCCCTGATGCTTACTCCCACGATCCGGTAAAAGTCCTCGACTGTTGTTATTTCCTTAAAAAGAAAAAGACATTAAAAAAGGGGTCCAACTTTTGCTTTGCCAATACCTCATCATTCAATCGGATAATCTCATCGCCAACGTAGATACGCCCATACAAATAGGAGTCGAAGCTCATTTTACGCACCCTGGGTGGCCTGCTTCCCTCAACGAACTCGACTCTGGGCTCTGTGGACCGGCGAGTGACTTGGACGCTTACTTCGGTGATCGACCCTGAGAATAAAAGAAAAGATAGGCGTTAAGATAAATTTATAATGGCAAAAGCTAACCACGTATTGACATGGCAAATCGGCACCAAACAGAAGATTTGTTAAAAAGCAGCACACAGAAGAAAGCAGCGGCAGAAACAGCAGTTAACTTAAGATTAGTAAACAGAAGTCCACTGCTTTTATAATACATCTATTTCGGAGAAAAAATGCGAATATCAAAAACTATAAAAACAGGTTATTTTTCCAACGTAACAACCTCCGCCCAGATCAACCAACAATTGCAACGCCGCTGCTGCTCAACAAGTCTACTGCCGCTACTTTCGTCTACGTCGCTGCTGTTCAACAAGTCTCCTGCCGCTACTGTCGTCTACGTCGCTGCTGCACAACACCACCAGTCGCAATGTCAGTCCGAAGTAAGTTGGAACTTTTTTCGATTTTGCTTAATCTCTAAGTCAATTGGCGTTTACTTTTCAGGCTCGGTCAGCGAGATAAACGTCGACGTCAAGCGCAAGCAATATGACCCCAGGATCGAGTTCGTTGAGAGGAGCAGGCCGCCGAAAGTTAAGAAAGTGGGCTACAACTCCTACCTGAATGGCATTCTCTACGTTGGTGATGAGGTCATCGGGCTGAATGACGAGGTATCTGCGAGAGGAAGGCAAGGCTTTTAATGCTTATCAAAATTTTTACAGGAGATCCGGACAGCAGATGACTTCAACAGGATCGCTTGTGCTCGCAGTACTGAACCAGTCAGGCTCCGAATCCGAGTGCGCCGGGACTGCTACTACAAGATCACCATCAAGAGGGTGGAAGGCGAACAAGGCAATGGGGAGGTGCTGGACTTGGAGATCAAATGGCGACGGGGCGGTATGCCTCTAGGAGTGAGCATGGAAGAAAGTCGGGTGAGTCGATCGGGTTTGGTTTAATGGGTTTGAGGGTTTTTTAAAATTACAGGGCCGAATCACAATTGGCGAAATACAGGCCGGATCAATTGCTGATGGCAACTTCCACTATGGGGACGTAATGACGCACGTTAATGGCAAAAGGGTGACGGACATCAAGAGCGCAAGACCTGCAATTCTGGAAGCGATAAACAACAACAAAAGCCTAACCATCCGTGTGGAGCGCCCGGAACAATTGGGGGAAGTTTCTCATCTTCCGGCAGACGTGGCCAAAATCATCAAGCGACAAATCAACTTCCATCGCCATGCACATAAATACTCCGCGTGCATCACCTCAGCTGAACGGGAAGCGACAACATCTTCTATCCTGAGTAGAATTACCGCAGGACTCACCGGGAACACATCAAGCAGATCTTCTCGTCGCTCCAGTCCAGAAGGTCAGTTTGCATTCGCAAATAAATATTTCTAATTTTAATTGAAAACTTTTTTTTCAGTTGGCACTGCCAGAGTCACGATTCAGCGAGCATCCTCATCAGACGTTAGGCCAATTCCGGCAGACAGTACAGCTGACTTGAAGCGAACGCCACCACGCCCTGGTTCACAATAAGCAGATTGGCCTGGAACCCAAAGTGAGGAGAAAACAAGCAGTGTTCGATGAAAGAAGGAAGTGTGATAAATAATGTTGATATACCTGTATTTTTTAATGTTTTGTATCTCATGATTGTATATTTAATTATGTTCGATTTTTGTTGTTGTAAATTTGTATGTTTTGGTTGGTAAAATAATAAATGTTTATTTTCGAGTTGTTTTCTGGAATTTCTTTAGGCTTTGAATAATTTCCTCAACCATTAAACCCTTCTAGCTCTTAGAAACCTTTTGAGGTTTAGGGAACTTTTTTGATTAAGGAAATCAATATCCAAACATGTTTTGCTTTTCCATGCCCAAATCTCTTGAAATTTTTGAGTTTCTGCTACCTACTTAGTAAACAACAAATCTTGTTAACTAATAAAAACTTCCAACTATCATGTACAAAAAAATTTAAGCCTCACAAGAGCAAGGCAATTCCAAAATTTATCCCAAGCAGCCACCCATACAAGGGGCTGGAGTTTTTATCTACCTCAAACTTGGGTATTTAAACCGACGACTGCAGCAAAAGCAAATTATACAAGCAAAAAGAATTTATAAATTTCAGACGTGATATAAAATAAACAAAATATTGGAATAAAGATTCAGAGACAAAGACAACCGCAAATACACTCTCTTCCTTTATTGTTTCTCTAATTGTGTGTGCGCTCTTTAGTGCTCTTTAATGCGAGGGAAAAATGCCCACTTGGAGTAAAATAACGAATAACCTAAACTAGTGTAATTACAAAATGGTCAGAAGGACAAATTATTTAAAAATGTCACATTGAGTCTTCATTGTACTCTCTCTTATTGAGGGTTATCTTTCTTACAAAACTACTTTAAAATCTTTTCAATTTTTAAAAATTTATTCAAAATAATGATTAAAAATATTTTATATTTAAATTATTGGAGATTTGACCACTTTTAGCGGAAGAATAAATAAAAAATAATTTTTTGTTTAGCTATTTTGAGGGTATTTTCACTCAATTTTAATAAAATATTTAATTGCTTGTCGCACAAAATAATAAATATTTTTATTGTTATTCAATGAAAATCCTCTCTTTTTTTTAAAAAAGTGGCAAAGGTCATAATCATCAACAGAGAATTATTATTTTCCCCTCCATTATTTACTCTTTTTTTGAGTAAAATTATTGTTGTGTGCCGATTTGGTCAGCGGTCACAAAAATATTTATAAAAAAATTTTTATTTTTAAATGTGATTTCTATCAAACGAAAAATATAAAATTATTTGTATTTTATTCTAACAAAAATTTTCCGGAAATCTTTAATTCAAAATGCCTTTAAAGAAATTAATTTAATTTTAAAGGAAATAAAAACTCTCTTTATTAAAAACGCTTGATATACAGTCGTGGAAAAAAGTATGGAAGCGCTGGAAAATTTTCTCTTAATTTTTAATTTTTCATTCAAAAAATACGTTCTATATACCAATCGAAAGCTCTATTCGTATCTCAGTTGACATGTTTCTGCATTTTTCATGAAAATGAAAATTGGCCGAGATAATCCGGATCTACCGGATATACCAAATCCCACTTTTTCGGAAAAATTTTTCGGAACAAATTTAACAAACCCAAATGATAAAGCATATTTTTGTGAGCATTTTCCACAAAACCGCTTAGAAATATCTTTTTTCAGAGCAGAGATATGATTTTTTGAAAATCGCATTTTTCCCTTAAAAATTGAAAATTTTGCAAAAATTGACGAAAAATGCGATTTTTAAAAAATCATATCTCTGTTCCGGAAAAAGATATTTCTAAGCCGTTTTGTGGAAAATGCTCACAAAAATATGCTTTATCATTTGGGTTTGTTAAATTTGTTCCGAAAAATTTTTCCGAAAAAGTGGGATTTGGTATATCCGGTAGATCCGGATTATCTCGGCCAATTTTCATTTTCATGAAAAATGCAGAAACATGTCAACTGAGATACGAATAGAGCTTTCGATTGGTATATAGAACGTATTTTTTGAATAAAAAATTAAAAATTAAGAGAAAATTTTCCAGCGCTTCCATACTTTTTTCCACGACTGTATGTAGGAGACTTTTATTAAATTTTAGGGGTTGTCAACCAAAAAGATTTTTCGCTTCGATTTCGGATATCTGAAGAATTATTTAGAATTTAGATATCTATAACTTAACCCAATCTTTATTAAATCTTTTTAATTTAAAAGTTTTGTGAAAAAATGTTCTTGTTAAATAACCACAACTTTAAATATTTAATTAAATTTATTTTTATTGTTTTTGTAAATCAAATAAATTATTTGGATGGGCGTTTGTTGGATACTTCCGTTGCTTGTGATCAAGTACTACTTAAATAGTCCAAAAAAATTTTTTTCAATAAATTTTACAATTTTTTTAAAGATTTTTTAAAAATTTTACCAAAAAATTTCACAAAAAAATCTTTTTCAAATTAACCTAAGAAATTCCAAAATTCCCCCCTTTTCACAGCACAATTTTCTTCTTTCACTCAATTTCGATGTCCCTTTCCGCGGTTTAGTTTATAGCGAAGAGGGCTTGCCTAATTGTATTTATGTTAATGGAACAATGCTTTCTCAATTAAATTATCATTTAAAAGTTCCTTTAAATGGGTGTGAAACAAAAATAAATTTGGATGGAAATTTTGAGAATGGAGTTATTATACAAGAAAATATTGGGTTTTTACAAGCTAGTGATAAGTAAAATTTATTTTTTTAAAGTTTAATTTTGGGGAAAAAATTTAAAAAATAAATTTATTTGTTAAATTAAACCGAGAAAAAATAAAAAGACCATCAAGGGTATCGAACCTAGTTCAAAGTCGGAAAAAACCACGAACACTAACCAATACGCCACACGACCTATCGAATACTAAATTATATTTTCTCTTTTAAATCTTTGTATTTATAACGGGAAAATATATTTTCTGAATAGAATCATTAGATTAAAGAAAAAATCATAAAAGTATTAAATAAAAAATTAATTTTAAAGGAAATATTTGCTTACATGTATTCCTTCAAGTCCTCTAATAAATCCTCAAACAAATACAAGTACAACAACAATTACCCCCTTACCTCCCCCTTTATTAACTACAAAAAGTTCAATTACTACAACAACTACTTTAGCTTTTGGAGAAGAAAATGAAGCTTTTAATGTTGATTTAAATGAATTGAGGTTCTTATTGTTTAAAAATTTGGGTGTAGAAAGGGAGAGAAATAATTGGAAATTATTGAAAATTTAATGGAAGACTTTTTAGGGAATTTCTGAGATAAAAAACTGTGGGGAAGTGAAAGTCTTCGAGACATCAATCTTGAAGCCCCGCCAACTCCCAAGTCTTAATCCCCAAAAATTCTGAAAAAAAAAATTCTGAATTAACACTTTCTTTTCTCTAAATAAATATTTAAAGTTTTATTTAAAAATTCCTCTTTAATTTTCAGTTCAAAACCAAAAGAATATATTACTTCTCCCTCCTCCTCCTCTTCTTTAAATCCCCCACAACAACAACAAATCCCTTCATTGGATGAACCAATAATTAATAAAAATTCTGAATTAAAATATTCTGTAGAAATAAAATCTGGACACAATTTTGAAGAGTTTTCTTTGGATTCAAATAATTTAATGCCTGTTGGGGCTTCTTTAAATATTGGAGATCCCATTGTAAATAAAATTTTTAAAGAAATTTTTTTGAAAAATTTTCAAAAAAAATTTTTCTAAATTCCAAAAAAATAATTTAAAAAAAATTTCAAAAAAATAAATTTCACTTTCAAGTCATATCTTGTACGTATCCAAAAACCAGTTAGCGATTCACAAATCGGTCGGTGTTGGGCTACTGACTCAAATTCTTCTTTGGAATTAAGTGACGAAAGGGGGTGTTCTTTACAACCTAAAGGTTTTTAAAAATAAATATTCCAAAATTTCCTTATTTTTTAAAGGAAATATTTGGGGAGCTTTTGAAAGAGTAGAAACTCAGGAAGAAGTTGTATTTATTAATAGAATAAAAGCTTGGGCTTTTCCGACGAGGTAATTAAATTGTTTAATGGAAAAATACACCCATAAAGGATTATTCAAAAGTTATATCCTCCAGTATGAGAAGGGTTATCTCCTTTATGGCTTTCTATATGGGTTATTTTGTGAATTTTCCTATTTAAACTAGTATAAAATATAAAAGCACATCAGCTACAAGTTAATAAGTATTCCTATCAAAGTTGTTGGTTCTGGGAAAGGCTTCGGATATCCTAAAACAAATTGAAGAATTAAACAGAAAAATCCTCGGTTCTTCATTCGGTTCGACTCCGAATCGACAACTGTAGTTAAACAGGCGTATAAGTCGCCCGTCAAAACTATCACGTGTCAATTAATCAAAAGGTGTGAAGGAATTCTCCCCCTTCCTCTAACCATCAAAAACATATAGCCAAAAGATTTTGAAGCTTTTCTTTTCTTCCCTTCCCTCTCGAGCCGACCCCTAGTAACTTATGTTTATGCTACTTCAAACCGACATCCCCACCTATAGTTGTACTCGAATATGTCAACATTAAAAAAAATTTTTTTTAAGTAATGAAGTAAATATTTTCTGTAATTTACGTATTTGTATGTCCAAACATTGTTCTTTTATTACAAATTGTTCAGGTTTTTTTTGAATTAGGAAAAATTTTAAATTTAAAAAAAAAGAATTAACTAGACAACGAAGAAATGATGAAAATAATAATGGAATATTGGAGGAAATAGAAATATTAAAAACTTTAATTAAATTAAATAGAAATAAAAGAAATATTCCTTCTTTAATTTTTGAAAATAATTGTAATAAACAAAAAGAAATTTTAAATAAAGAAGAAAATAATTGGTTATGGTGTATTTCTTTAACTGAAATATTTATTGTTTGTATTTGTTGTGGGTAAGTTTACGAAGGAGAATTATTTTTACAAATTAGAAAATGAGAGATTTTTTGGTGATATTTCCTAAATTGAGACAGGAAGCATTTTAGACCCCTTTGAACGCGGAAAATTCTTATGAAATTTCTTTATAAATTTTTTGTGTTAATTAGCAAGACAAATTATTTCCCAATACTCCAATTATTTATTATTTTTTAACTCGTTCTTAACCTTTACAACAAGAGCACAATGAAATAAAAATTTAGGTGACTTTCTAACTAGGGTTGTCCCCGACGGGGTGGGGCACGGGGAAAGTTTTTCGGGGAGGCAGCGTTACGGTGAGGGGGGGGGGGGGCAATCCTAATTCTGACAAACAAGAGTAACTAACATGGGAAGGTTGCGAGGTGTCCGAGCTAAAAACGGTCGAGACCGGGCTCATTCGATAGAGAATGTTTTAAATAATTAGAGAATAAAGAGACTTGTGGTGTTTTTAAATAAAATTTATTTTTTTCAGACTAATTTCCATATTAATTGCAGCAATTACAAGTTATATAATTTTTATTTGGATTAAAAAAATTAATTTAAAAGAAGAAACAAAAACAGAAAATAATAATATTTGGTGGTCATTTTTAGATGGAATTAATAATAAAAAAGAAAAAAGACAAAATTTAACTCTTTCACGATATTTTGTTTAAATTTTAAAATTATTTTTTAATTTTTTCTTGTCTTAGAGAGGGAGGGAATGAAAGTAAGGGGACTTTCATAAAATTTAAAAATAATAAAATTAGACGTGAGCCTTCGTCTCAAATTTAATTTTTTTATTTAATCGGCAAGCAAATTAATAAATTAAAAATAATTAATTCAAAAATGTCAGAGATTTTATTTAAATAGAGATCAAAATAAATTAAACAAATCGAAATGAGATTATGTAATAATCAAAAAATAAGAGAAAATTTCTCAATAAATAATTAAAGGCATACACAAGAGGAAAAATGCTTCCCCAATTTAAATAGATTAAAAGAAAGTTTTTTTGGGAGAATAATCAAAAAAATTAAAATAAATTTCCCGTAAAAAGGAAAAAAATTATAGGGGAGCCCCAAACTAAAAAAGAAAACAAAAAACCCAAAAAGTCCAAACTCTCTAATGTACGCTTATATGTATGTAAAATTAAATTAAATATAAATTTAAATAACCTTCTTACTTTCATTAATTCTTCTTCCATTTTCCCATTGTTCTTTCAAAATTTTAGCAAAAACTTCCCTTTTTAACAATTTATAAGTGACTTCCAAAACACTTTTAGTCATTGCATCAAAACACTCATAATTTGAAATAAACAGATTATGTCCAAATTCAAGTCCCATTCCAAAATCCATTTCGTCGTTTGCAATCTTTTTTCGAAAAAATAAAAATTTTTTTAATAAAAAATTCAAAAAAACCGTAACATAAGTATAAATTTGTAATAATTGTTGTTTTAATTTTGCTTTGTGTGTCTCATCTTTTGTTGTTGCAAAATCAATTAAATCATTTCGTAATTTTTCTTAAATTATTTTTAAATTAAATTTTTGAAAAAAAATTTATTTTCTTAAAAAATGTTAAGTATTTTTAATTAAATTAGGTGCAGAAATATTAATTAAAAATTAGAAAATAATTTGGTAATATTAAAGTTTACAGGCCCCCTTTTTCCTCCCCATGTTTTTTACTTAAAATGTAGTACATTGGTCAGACTTCCTCAATTTCATTTTTAAAATCAATCGCAGCAAAAAACTTGTCAAGGAGAACTCACGAACTGTTAGTCAAAACTTTGTATTTTTTTGGTACCAATCGATAGACTTTAAAACCCCTTAACTTTTTAGTTTCATATTCCTATCCAAAAAAGCCGGAAATCTGCAAGAGTAAATCGATGATGCTTTATCGATTGGTACCAAAAGGAGTACAAAGTTTTGACTGACAGTTTTGCGTGAGTTCCCCTTGTGAGAAGGAAAAGTATGTAAACTTGAATATTAATAATAATTTAATTATTTTTTGGAGGCTTCTTTGACCTAATTTTAATTTAAATAAACTTTTGGACCGATTCGAGACATTTTAGAAGTTTCAATAAAATACTAAATTTTGTTCAAAAAATCATAAAACAAAAAACAAACTTGTATTTTCTGTCACAGGCCTGTATCCACAATCCCCAACAATTTCCACCTTAATTCCCAATCCATGTAGAGGTTCTCCAACCTTTAAAAATTTAAAATTAATAATTCACAAAAAAACTTCCAAACCGTAATTTCTTTCCTATTTTTCCTCAATTCTTCCAAAAATTTCTTTTGTTGATAAATCTTCCATTTTGACATAATTTCTGATTGATTTTCAATTTTTTTAAAAATATTTTCAAATTTTTGTTTTTTCAGACGAGCCAAAAAAGTCAAAGCAGAGAGAGGATCTCCATTCCCAGCAATTGCAAAGGTTGGAAAATTTGGTGAATTATTTGAAATATTAATAATTAAATTAGGTTCTTCATTAGGCAAATCACGCCAAAAACAAAAACGGCCTCCTTTATAAATTGCAAAAGTTTGCATTTCTGGCAAGTCGGTAGTGAAACGGTCAACAAGTAAATAATTATTGTTTTTGTTTTCTTTTGATTTTGAATAAAAGTCATTTAAATAACGAAATGGGCCAACAAGTTTGAGAGAATTAAGTGAATTAAATGCTTCTAAAAAGAACAAAAATTAATTTAAAAAATAATAGAATAAATGAACAGTGCTGGGGCATGTGGCTCAGAAAGGGCTGGTGGAGCCTCGATAGCAGGCTCCGACCAGAGCCGTAGCCAAAATTTGAAAACGACGGAGCCGGATCCAAAAAATGCCCAATACCCAGCACTGGAATTACATCAAATACTTTTAAAATACCAGTTGGCGATTTTGAGTCAATTAAAATACAAATATTCCAAAAATCCATAATAACACAAGAATGCTTAACCAGATAAATATTGTCTAATTGTGTAATTAAATTAACGTCATCATTTTTCTGAAAATAAAAAAATTTATTTGGGGTCAAATTGTTATCTAATTTTTTAAAAATTAAAACAAACTTTGCTCGTTTTTGGCTTTTTAGCTGCAGAAGATTCGTGTGGAATGTTTTCTTTTTGTCGTTTAGTCTTCATTAATAATATTATAAAAATGCAAATTGTTTTAAAATATATTCAAAAAAATTCTGAAAAAATACTTGAAAATGTGAGCAGAAAATACAAAAAAATATAAAAAAGAAAAAAAACTTTTTAATAAGAAAAAAATTAAAATATAATAAATATTTATTAAAAATAAACAATTAATTAAATAAAAAAATTTATCTAACAAGGGAACACCCCGAACTATCACCAAAAATTTTCTCTAAAAGAGAAAAATTTCTCTTTGATAAGAACAGTGAGGAAGACTCGGCCGCTCCAAATGTCGAAAACTTTGAAGCCCTAGAACTTTTCAAAATGGGAGTCAAGGCAAAAAAAGCCAAAAATTGGCAATAGTAAATCGACACGCCCTACTACGCCCTACATAACAAAATTTTTGGTGAAAGTTCGCAGTGTTCTCTTGTAAGATAAATTTATAAAATAACTAGATTTCCATTTTAACCTTTCTTTTATCAAGAGGAGCAAAAGGATTCTCTCTATCATAAAATTTTTTCAATAAAGAAATTGATTTTTCTGCACACACTTCTGGTACCAACTAAGAAAATTTTTTAATAAAAACTAAAAAAACAATTCAGAAAAACCTCAATTTTGTGTTCATGTCCATAATCTTGATTACTAGCAACACTTTCAATTCCACCAAAACGAAGATTCTTTGCTCCAAATAAAAGCCTTTTAATTTTTAATTGATAAAGGGCACTCGAACACATGATACAAGGCTCTAAACTAACGTAAACAGTTGTTTGTTCCATAACCTGAAGAGAAAAATTAAGAAATTTTTTAAACAAAAAGGCGACTCTACTCAAATTTCTGCATCCCAAAAATTATTTATATGTTGAAGAAAGGACATAGAAATTATTATCGGTAGTATTCAACCTGACAGATCCCATTTTGTCCTCCACAAAATTTTTCCTATATATCTACAGAATGGTTAGACTTCCTCATCTCACTTCAATTGCCTTTCTATATTTTGCCTAGAAGCAATCAAAAGGAATTAATTTTTATTACCCCTTGGATGGAAGAAAAGAAAATTGGGATGGAAAAAAGGAAGAAGTCTGAGTATTCTATAAATATATAGGAAAACACTTAGGGAGGAAAAAATGGTGAGGAAAAAATTTTGATTTTAGAACAAAAAATCCTACTAGACATGCTGAATAGAAATTATTGTTGCAAAGCAAGACTTTTGGGACGCCTAACACTAAACATAGAAAGTCCAAAAATTAACCTCTTTAAAATCCTTTCCATTTTCACAACACCAATCACTTGCTTGATCTATAGCAACAAATTCAGCATGTCTAGTAGGATTTTTTGTTCTAAAATTTAAATTAAAATAAAATTTCAAATATATTTACTTGTTCACTTCATTATGTCCTCTTCCAATAATTAAACCATCAAAAACAAAAACACACCCAACAGGAACTTCTTGTAAATCATAAGCTTTTTGTGCAAGACGAAACGATTCATTGATAAATAATAAATCAGAAGCCTCCATTGTCAAATAAAAAAAATTGTGGAAAAAATTTTTAAATTTTTATCTAGTTTGGCCGATCAGGGATGAATGGGTTGGGAAAAATATCTGGTCGGATTTCAGTTAACCAATAACAGGAGGTCAAACAAAAACTGAAAAGCGGTCAAAACCGATCATAGTGGTGATACTATTAATAACCGGTATGTGTTTAAAATATTTAAAAATAAATTGGCAGGCTACAACCTGTTAAGAAATGAAAAAAAAAAATAAAACAAAAAATAATTTAATCGAAAATCAATGAAAAACAATTTTTAAGTAAATAGCTATTGTTGTCCATTAAATCAACCTCTCAAATTTTATACTTTCATTTTTCTGATTTCAAACGAACTATATGCCGATTTAATAAAATTTCTTTCTTCAAATGAAAATCTCACTCTTGAATTGTAAATATTGGAAATTTCATGACCTGTATATTTTAGACCCTCTTCTTCTTTAATTTCAACTTTTTCTGCTCTTTCACTTAATTTATGACTTGTGTAATTAGGAATGCGTAAAGTAATAGCAGGCGCCATTTTTGAACAATCTCTCGCTGTTGCTATATACTAAAGATTAAATTTATTAAATTAATTTTATTAAAAAATTAAATTTATTTTTTTATAAAAAGAAAATTTACTTCTATAATAAGATCATAAAGCCTTGCAAAATTAGAATTATTTAACCAAATTTGTGGGAATTTATTTCCTTCATTTATTATTTTATTAAATAAAATATTTGTATGTTGTTCTGTAATAACGTCATCATCGGTGGTACTGAGGTTAAGGTGAGTGTTTGATAAATGATTAAAAGAAAAGTTCAAAATATTTTCAAAGTTTTTGTTTCTAACAGAAACATTTGTCAATTCAATGTTAAATTGAAGAGGAATTGATTTGTCGTTATCAAACAAAATATTGATCATTTGTGGATTAAATATACACTTAAAAATTGACCACTTAAAAGCACATTTAAATAGATGTTCTAACCAACAACGAGCAATAATCATTTCTTTAATATTTTTTGGAATATTTGGCAATATTAGAAGATAAGGTGTTTTTTCGTCCTGTGAACCGATAAATGTTTTTTGAATAAGAATAAAGTTTCTGTTAGGTCCAGAATTATATAAAAATAATGGAATTGATTTGTCTACAGCTGCTTGCCACTGAAAAAATAAATATAATTTAACTTTAAATTAAGCTAACCTTATCCTTAAGTTGATCATTTAAAGTAATTTCAAAAATTCCAGATTCAAGTTCAACAAATTTATATAACTTTGGAAAATGAGTTTCTTCAATCTGACAAAATTGAAAGAAAGTTAGGTTAATTAATATTTAAAAGTAAAGCAGGGTAAAATTTCAATTAAAAAACATTTAGGTTTTGACTAAATTGAGAAAATCAGGGTCACAAATAAAGAGATCATATTCTGTATAGTATAAAAGACTAGTGTTAGGCAAATGCTTTATTCGGAACCGTTAACGGGAGTACAGAAAAGTATCGGTCCCGATAAGTATCAAAGAAAAATGTTCGGTAGTACCGCGGTATTTCAATACTCACTAAAATATGACACTAAAATATCATTGTTTAAACGTTTTTCACTAAATTAAATTAATAATAAACTAGTCAGGGGATTTGAAGGTCAAAGGACTTTTTCAAATCTTAACTCCAGTTCCAAGCCGATCCATGTTGGCTCGTGCTCCGGGTGGAAAAAACGAATAATATTTCACGTGGAATTGTGTTATTATCAAATCTGGGTTCCAGATTTGAAGCTGAAGCATAATATTAGTATATATTTTTTGATATATTAGTATATCAAAAAAGGGTACTTTTCGGTTCTGCCACACCCCTCCCATATATTCGCAGGATATATTTTATATTTTTCCGTCATAATACGTACACAATGGTCAGACTTCCTCCTTTCTAGGGAAAATGATTGAAGGGAAAACTGAGTAAAAAATAATCTTTTCTTTATTAATGCCTCTCATTGAAAATAACCCAGGGAAAATTGATTGAATCGAATAAAGGAGAAATCTACATATGAAGGAAAGATATAAAATATAACCTGCGCAGGCCCGTAGCCAGGAGGGGGGGGGGGTGAGGGGGGAATTCCCCCCCCCCCCCGAAATGGGAAAAAGAAAAAATTTGGGGAAGGGCTGGGGCAAAAAAAGTGAATTTTTTCGGCCTACGGCCTCTGAAATTTAAAAAATTTTCGCCTGCGGCGCTAAAAAAGGAAGAAATCTGGCTTCTTAAGGTCCAAAATCCAAAAAATTTTTGCCTGCGGCGCTGAAAATCAAAATTTTGGCGTCTGCGGCGCCGAAAGAGTGAATTTTTTTGGCCTACGACCTTCTAAAATTCAAAAAATTTTCGCCTGCGGCGCTGAAAATAAAAATTTTTGGCGCCTTCGGCGCCAAAAATTTGGCGCAAAAAATTCCCCCCCCCCCCCCCCCCCCCGAAAAAAAATCCTGGCTACGGGCCTGAACCTGCGAATATATGGGAGGGGTGTGGCAGAACCGAAAAGTACCAAAAAAGTGGCAATGTAAAAAAGGGGATAAGAGGGGTGAAAAAACTAAAAAAGAGAAAATGCCCAAAAAAGAGATAAAAGGGTCACCTTGAGGAAAAATCCTTCGAATGTCATTCTTGCCAAGCCTCCTTCATATTTATTAATTAAATTGCGAAAGTAAAAATTGGTTAGTCTAACAGAGAATAATTGGTTGAAATTAAGACATTTTAATACATCAAATTGAACTTCATCTGGTAGAGAAAACATTTTAATTTTAATTATCTAAAAAAGAAAATCTAAATTTTTTAAAATTTATTATTTAAAATCGAAGAATTCACATGAGGATTGAAAATGAAAAGACATCTCCTCATTTTCTCTGTCCTACCTTGCGTCATTTACCTTTGATAAGCTACCAGAGGGCATCTCGGCGGCACTGATCGAAGGATTCATCGATCTCGCAGGAATCTTATAGCGTTTTCGCTAGTATAATATGGAATAAGTTCAAAAATATCCATTTTGACTAAAATGCGATATTTCTCAGTGGTTGACATTTTTAAGTTAGATATTTCGTATTAATTCCCCTTGATGAAAAATCAAAATGTCAAAATGATCCGGTGGCACAGTGCTTCAAACCCGTTGACAGACACACAGCAGTATCAGCCCGTTGACGCACGCGTGAAAACTAGTTAACTCTTTTCCTTAAACATAACGCCAAAATTTAAATAAATGTCTATTTACTCTCCTCTTTTTATTGCATCTCTCGTGCGTCTGACTTAATTGGAAATAAGAGAAATGGTCAGAAGGACATTTTCTCTCATTTACTAGAGGGATTAATTAAATTTTATATCTTTTGATCCTCCCGACCGAATTTTTTCAAATTTTGCATTTTTATAGGCCTTTAATAGTTAAACAATCCTACAAAGTTTGAAAAGCTAAAATGCATTTTTAACGAAGTTATGAGCTCTTCAAGATACGATTTTTTCGATTTTTAGGAGTCTGTATCTCGGCTCATGAGTTCGATTGAGCCGTCATTTTGGTGTCATTCGACATATCCCGACGAGCTCTTTCGAATGACATATAATTTGAAAAATCGAATTTTTCGAGCTCGGTCCCCCCTTCTCTCCCCCGATTTTCAAAAGTCTGTATCTCAGCCCATAATAATGATCGGTACTTGATTTTGCTATCATCGAATCAGCTCACCGAGGTCTTTCGAATGACACATAATTTATCAAGATTCGGGAATGGCTCCGCTAGTTTTGTATTAGCTCACTGAATTTTGCATTAAAATTTCTGAAATTTTTTTCAGAGAAACTTAAAACAATTATCTATAAAATGTATAGACAGATTTTAAAACGTATAAGCGGTTTTCGAGATATGGGATTTTAAAGTTTTATTAAAATTTGTTTTCGCAGTCGCAAAAAAAGAGTGCATAAAAGAAAGAGAGACAGTTAGAGAACGAAAGAAAAGAGAAATAGAAAACTAAGTAGTTTTCACGCGTGCGTCAACGGGCTGATACTGCTGTGCAGACAGCGCATAGCAAACAGAGAAAAAGACAAAATGGCCATTAACGGGGAAAATTATAAAATGGTCAGTCGCTGCAAAAGAAAAGAGGAAAGTCAAAATGGTCAAAGAGAGAAATTCTCTCATTTATGAGGGGAATACGTTAAATCCTATATCTTTTGGCCCTCCGGTCCGAATTTTTTCAAATTTTGTAATTTTGTAGTCTTAAAATAGTTAAACAATCCTGTAAATTTTGAGAAGCCAATATGCATTTTTGGCAAAGTTATGAATTTTTAAAAATCGGTGAAATTCGTCCTATTTTTGGCCATAACTCGTTCCAAAGTTGTCCTTCTTTCCTAATTTTTGTTTTATACGAATCAGCGATGAAAAACGAACAAAAACTATGTAAATTTTCATAGGTTATATTGGCTTACTATTTAGGTTGACACACCACTTAACCTACCGCCTATAACTAATGAACCCCTTGTTAAAATTTCTTCAAAATTTGCTAAATTGTAGTCTAGAACTTCTTAAGTACTCGATCAAAGTTGGCAACCTAAAATCTGCATAAAATAGAAACGAGAGTAGTGCTAAATAGAAACGAGAGTAGTGCTATTATGGAAAAACATCAAAAAAATTGTCAAAAGTTCAAGAAAATAAAAAATTTTTCGCATGGATAATAATTAAGACCTTTTCTACAAAATCCGAGATTTTTTTTTAAAACTTAAGTTTTTAACCCGAGATATTGGATTTCAAAGTCGGCTACCTAAAATAGAAACGAGAGTAATGCTAAAAATGAGAGAGTAAGAAAATGAAAGAGAGGAAAAACGAGAGACTACACAAATTTTGCTATGCGCGCTTTTGAAGCACTGTGCGGTGGGCGATAGTAGAGATCGGAACGGGTCCGGGACCCGTTTCCCGGTTTTCGGGTCCCTTTTCCCGGTTTTTTTGAAGCAACCGGGATGAAACCGGGAACGGGAATTCCCGGTTTTCCCGGTCCGGGTCCCTCCTGGTCAACCTTCAGAACCCGTTTCCCGGACCCGGCTTTTTCAAAATTTCGATCTCTAGGCGATAGGGGATCATTGAGTCCCGCCGGTTGAGTTGCTCAACTGGGACGTTCCCTAAAATTCAGCTATTAACAATGTAAAAAAATTTGCTGGAACAGTATTATATTAAATGAAATTAGCTGCAACAATAATTCGACTTAAAATTGGAGATGAAATTGATGTCCGGGCAAAAAGTCCTTCAAATGACAACAACAACGAATTGCCTGATCCATCGAATATTTACACTTATATGTTGGGTAGATTTGCTAGAATAACTGGACTTGAACATGATAATTTGTGTAAATATTTTGAATTTAGCAGGTGTTTAACAAGTAATTTTTTTTAATTTATGAAAAAATATTCTTTGCCCTGGGAATTCCCGATCTCGATAACCGACATTTTCGTTCGAGATCTCGTCTTGGTCCGGTCTCTGATTGATACTTTTAAGTTTGGTTAGTTTTATCAACACTGAAAATCCTGATAAATCTTCATTTAACTAAGTCACCCATCTAATTTCTATTTTTTAGTACCCAATGGATATGCACTTCTGTCTGAACATTATTCTGACCCTTATTTTCGAGATGATGGATTTTTGAATAACAAGTATTTTTTGGTGTAATTTTTAGCATTTTCTTTTTATTTTTCAGATTAGGCAATCAAAATTTACAATCAGTTTTTTCTGTGGCAATTCAAGTCTGTTCAGCTTTGGAATTTTGTCATAAAAATTGTTTTGCAATAGGATCCTTAAGTTTAGATAAATTATATGTTGTGCCCAAAAAGGAGAATGAGGTTAATTTTGAATTGATTTATGATTTATAATTTTCTGTAATTCTCAGAAAATTCATGTAAAACTCTCTCAATTTTGCCTTTGTTTCATTTCTGGCATTTATTATCACAAACTTCTATCTTCCAATGAATTTCCCTTGTATTTGTCGCCTGAATTTTTGTTAAACTTACTTCCACAAGGATTGGATCAATCAAACTATTTTTGTGTGGATATTTGGTCCTTTGGAATTTTATTGATTGAATTATTTACTGGATGGAGATTTTCTGAAGTTTTTTGTAAATTTTTTTTAATTTTAGAATTTCTTCTAAAAACAATTTTTAGCTCGACGTCAAATTTCCGACGTTTTAGCAACTTTACTTGTTAAAGGTTTTTTATTTTCTAATTGATTTATTAATAAAAATTATTAGAAAATGAGGGTTCTATTCTTCCCCATCTTTTGAACAAAATAAAAAATGTTTGCCCAGCATTTGCCAAAAGACAAAATTCTTTAAATCCAGTTTATCAAATTATTCTAAATTGTTTAAATATTCAACCTTCTAAAAGGCCAAATTCTACAAATTTATTAAAAATGCTTAAAAAGGCCGCGATTGACGCTAATATTGGTGAAATTGATGGGAATGACAAGAAAAGTAATTTTGTTGATTTGGATGAGGAAATTGACCAAATTAAAGGTTTTTAAATTTAAAATGTTTTTTATTCGAAAAAAAAATTTTCAGAACGTATAAAAAACGAAAATCAATTTGAAAGATTCGGCTTTAACCAAAATGTGTTAAATGAACTTTTCTTTTTATGGAAATTGTGTGGAAGCAGTTTTGAAACAATATTATTACGGAAAGGATTAATTAAAACACAACCACCTATTTTGACTTTACCAAGGTTTTTTTGAGGAATATTCCGGTCTTTTATTTATTTTAGTCTTATTATTGAAAACTTTTACATGTTTGGTATAAATGAGACTGATAGGAGTATTTTGCCTGTTTGTATATTTGAATTGCCCATGAAAAATTTAATTCAGGTTTTTTTAATTTTTAAGATTAATGAATAAAATTTAATTTTATTTAGCGTTTAAATGACATAAATTACTCAAAACGTTTTAGTACATTGGAATTTAAAAGAGAACAAGAAGAAATTAGCAATGGAGGAAATACAACAATTGACTCTAAAAGTTTTAGAGAAGAGGAAGAAACTTGTGGAATTCAATCATTACTTGTTAAAGAAAGGGATATTGAATATCAGGTTATTTTTTATTTTTATTGGATAGTTTTTCAATTTTTTTGTTTGGTTATTTTAGTGATCGGGCTCTGGGTAGGGGCTACAGGAGCAGGCCAACGTACCGCGAGCCCATTGTATCGAGAACTATAACTCTGTAACTCTGTTCAAAATGGTTGAATCCGGGACGCCCTGATATGTTTCGGTTCACCTCGACGTTTGAATCGAACCATACCAAAGCGTTTCGGATTTGACCATTTTGAACGAGTTATAGCACTGCGGTATGTTGGCCTCGATGTACGTTGGGGTGTACCCGTAGGGCTGCAGTTTATTTTGGTTTTTAATTCTGTCCACTAGAAATTCGATTTTCTATTTTATCCTATTTATTTTTAGTATCAAAGAATGCGTTTATTTCGCCATCTACTTGCTGCCTGGCCTAGCAAATCAGAATTATTGCGTGCTGAGAGTTGTCACGACATCCCTCCCGTTTATCGTGGCGCTGTTTGGGCTGCAATTCTGGGTGTTTTGCCTTTTAATAAAAATGGAGAGAATTCTGATGATCATTTATGGCAGAGTTTTTATTCTTTGGACACTTTTTCTGAACATATATCTGACAGGCAACTTCAAGTTGATATTCCTCGATGTCATCAATATGACGAATTGGTTTGGTTTTAATTGAAAAAAAATTATTTTTTAATTTTTTTAAAATTTTTTTTAGATGTCTTCTCCACTAGCCCATCATCAATTAAAAATACTCCTTAAAGCTTTACTTGTTAGTAGGAAAGATGAATTTGTTTATTGGCAAGGATTGGACTCGTTAAGCGCTCCTTTTTTAATTTTACATTTTAATGATTTATGTAGGGTTTTCTTTCGATTTTTAAAAAATTTCTTTTTTAAATTTAGCAACAGCTTTTTGTTGTCTAAATGCTTTTATTGACCGTTATTTACGTGGATTCTTCCTCAAAGACAATACAATTGTAATTCGAAGTTATTTGGCTGAATTTATGCGGGTTATTGAATTTTGTGATTCTGAATTATTTGCACATTTGGTTTCTTTGGATTTTCAACCTGAACTTTTTGCTATTCCGTTAATTTTTATTTGAAAAATTATTTTAATTTAGATTTTTATTTTTTAGTTGGTTTCTAACTTGTTTTGCACATGTTCTTCCTCTACATAAATTATTTCATCTTTGGGATGCTCTTCTTCTTTCTGATTCTGAATTTCCACTGTATTTTTAATTTTTTTCTATTTAATAATTTGTTAATTTTTTCAAGTTTTATTGGTGTTGCTATTCTTTTACAACTTCGTTCAAAATTAATTAAAGCAAATTTTAATGAGGCTATTCTTTTATTTTCTGATTTGCCAGGTTTTTTTAAATTTATTTTGTTAAAAAAATTTTTTTTAAATTAGATTTGCCTATTGATCAAGTTGTTAGCACTGCCAAATTTTATCATTCAAGATGGCGTTAATTTATGAGGAGAGTTTATTTTTTAATTTTGTATAAAGATGGTGACTACGAAGGAAATTTCCCCATTTATTTTTATTGTTTTTTGAAGTTTTATGATTTTACAAAATTTTATTTATTTTTAAATTCAATAAAATTTCAATATTAATTTTCAAAATATTTTTTGATGGTGTCCTTTCCATTAAATTAATTTTATCCTTACATTTTGCAATTTTCTATAATTTTTTAAAACTTTCTAGAAATGTCAATTAGTGATTATTTTAAAAACAATTCTGTTACTGCAAGTCCTCGGATTGGAGGAGGAAAGAAGAGCAGCAACAACAATACTCCTGCAAAATTGACACTAGAAAACGAAGGAGAAAAATCAACAATTCCTTGGGTTGAAAAATAGTTAAGAAAATATTTTTTAAATTAAAAAAATAAATATTTTTAAATTTTTTAGTCGTCCAAAGAAAGTGGATCAAGTTTTATGTCAAGAAGAGGTTGTAGCTGTTTTGAATAAATGTTTGAATGGGGCGGATGTAAATTCAAAAGGAATTTTTATTTAAAAATTATTTTTCTTAAGTTGCCAAATATTTTGTTTTATGGCCCTCCTGGCACTGGAAAGACTTCTTGTGCGATAGCTCTTTGTCGTCAACTTTTTCCTTCATCACAGCTTTATAAAGACAGAGTTTTGGAATTAAATGCTTCTGATGAGAGAGGAATTAATGTTGTTAGAAATAGGGTTAGTTGATTTTTTATAAATTATATTTTGAGATCCGAATTTCACAATTTTTATTTACCGTAAATATTCCAATAGAAGCCCTGTGCGTCTGTTTTCCAATGGGTCCCTTTGGGTGGGCTTCTAATGGAGCATGGGCTTCTATAAGGGCATGGGCGTTTATTCTTCAATATTCCCACATTGAGTGGGCTTCTATTGGAGTCGGGCTTGTATTAGAACATTTACGGTATATTAATTTTTTGTAAATTTTTGATATTTTTAAATTAAAAATGGTGGGATCAATTGTCTTTTCATATAAAATTATTAAAAATTTATTTCTTATAATTTTCTTTAAGATTAAAGAATTTGCTAGAATCGCTGTATCTTCTTCCTCTTCTGCATCAAAAACTTCAATTCCTCCATTAAAAATTGTTATATTAGACGAAGCTGATGCAATGACAGGTTTATTTATTTAAAAATAAAAGACAAAATTTTTATTTTTTTAGGGCCAGCCCAATCTGCTTTACGTCGTACAATGGAAAATGAAACACAAACAACTCGTTTCTTTTTAATTTGTAATTATGTTACTCGAATTATTGAACCGTTAACTTCGAGATGTGCAAAGTTTCGATTTAAGCCGCTCTCTGAAGAAGCACAAAAAGAACGGTAAATAAAAATATTTTTTCTATTTAAACCAGAAAACAGAAATTTATTTTAAAATTAATAAATATTGCATATTAAGAAAGGAAAAACCAAAAATTAAAAAAATATAGAAAGAAAAGTTTGTCTTAAAATATTTAAGATTTATTTAAATTTCCCCCAACATTTTTTTATTTATTCCATTCAGTTTGTTTTTGTATTTTTAACCACTAGGTCCGCTAACTTTTGGGGCTTCTCCTTTTTTTAGTTTTGGGCACACAATTGGTCCCGACATAAATAAAATAGAAATTAATATTAATGGAATATAAAATATAATTAAATTTTTAATTGATTTGAAGAGCATTTTTGGATTTTTAAAATTATTTTAAAAGAATCTTTGGATTATGAGAATATTTTAGTTTTGAGGCTTTTTAAATAAGGCAATATTTTATAGCTTGTGCTTGAATTTTTATTTAATTTTTAATTTATAGTTTGTATTTTTTTTAATATTTTCGGCTCTTGTGTGTATTAGAGAACCGTTTACTTTAAAAGTCAGAGAAAGAGAATTTTATAAATTTTTTTAATTTTTAAATGAATTTTTGGCAAAAATTTCTTTTGGCCCTTTCACACGTTTTCCACGTGTTTAATAATCAATGAACTTAAGAATATAATTTAGAGAATAAAATTTATTTTAAGAATTTTTAAAATAAAATTTAAATATTAATAAGCAATTGTTTGTTCATTTGTTGAGGCATAAAATAAATAAAATTTTAAATTAAAAATTGATTTTTTTTAAATTTTGCAGAAAATTAATTTAAAAAAATTTAAAAAGATTAATTTTTTGCAAAATTTATATTTTAAAGATAAATTTAGTAAATTTAGAATTTAATATCTTTAATTTTTTGGCCGGGAAAACAATTAAATTTTAAATGGTCTAAAGTTACGCTTTCATAAAATCGCACCCCAAATTGCAATAATGGGAAAAGAGTAGAGAACACTCGTGCGCGATTTTTTCTTTTCTTTTTGATTTTTTTTCTGTCGCAAGACGCAAAACGATTTCTAAGTAAGCATAAGAGGAGAGGATTCATTAAAAAATAAATTTAATTTTTATTTTTCAAGTTTACTCAACATTTCCATCGCTGAAAAAATTAATTTCGATGAGAATGCAATAGAACAATTAGTTTCAATTTCAAATGGAGATTTACGTAAATCAATTACTTTAATGCAATCAATGGCTTGTTCTGCTGTTAATAATTCGATAAGTGTTGAAGATGTTAAAGAAATGTCTGGGGAAATACCTGGGAAATTGATGGAAGAATTTATTGATGTTGTTAAATGTTTGGATCAGGAAAAGGTTTGAAAATTATTTTTTGAAAATTATGAGGGAAGAGAAGGAAAATGGTTTGTTGAGGAAAATACTAACACTAAAGAATGAATTTTTTAATTTTGTCTCTTTAAGAAATTAAATAATTGCGGAGTTCGTTAGGCAAGAGCAAGGACGTTGAGGGTTTTCTCTCCATTTACCCAGAAATCAAAATTTATAAATTTTTCTCAAATATTTTCCTTAACGTTAATTACTTTTTAAATAAATTTCCAAATTTTTGGTTTATTATAAAATTATGGGAGAAAATTTTTTAAACATTTTCATTCGAAATTGTTAAATTTCTTCATATATTTTTCATCATCTAGAGGAAATTGGATTTCACTTCTCTCTATAAATTATTGGGGATTGACATTAATTTTCTTGGATAAAATTTTGTTGATTTCTTCCCTCCTTAAAAATATTTAAAAATTTATTTTTTCAGGTAAATTGTTATGCAAAGAAAATTGTTAAAAATGGGTATAGTGTTACTCAATATTTAACCCAATTATTGGATATTATTTTGGGATATCAAAATTTAAAAGAAGTTAAGAAAGCAAAAATATTTATTAAAATAGCGGTAAAAATTGAAAAATATTTTTAATTGAAAAAATTTTTAGGAAACAGAAAAATGTTTGATAGACGGGGCTGATGAGTATATACAACTTTTGAATTTATTGTTGACTTGTCAGGGATGTTTTGCTGATATGGATTGATTAAAAAAAATTTTTTTTAAATTTTTTTTTGATATTTACAGTGGTAGACAAAAAGATAGGGACAAACGCAAGTGGAATTTTTTAGTATATAAAAAACTAATAATCCGTCAAATCTTGTAAATTATTAAATAGAGCATTAAGGGACGTATTTAATTAAATAAAAAAATTTTTTTTCTGAAATCGAATTTTAGCTGAGAAAATGGATGATTTTAATTTCACTTGCGTTTGTCCCTATCTTTTTGTCTACTAATGTATCTAATTTATTTTTGAAACAAAATCTCTCGGCTTTTATTTTAATTTATTTTTAATTTATTTGTTAAGAAATGTATTTAATTAATTTTTTTTGTTTTTTATTTTTGGTTTAGAATACCATTAATTCTGATTTTTAATTTTTTAATTATTTTTTCCTCTTTTATTAATTTTAGTTCCAAAAATGTCTTTATTTGCAAAATTATTTCGTTACTCAAAATTTGTTGAGCTTGGCTCTGTTAATGGACAAAAAATTGTTGGACGTGTAGTGCATAGAGTTAATGATGATTTATATATTGATTTTGGGTGTAAATTTAATGCTGTTTGTAAAAGGCCTAAAAAGGATTCTGAGTAAGTTTTTAAAAGTTTAATTTTGAATTTTTTTAAATTAATTTTTTAGAAAATATGTTATTGGCTCTAATGTTTTAATTAGAATTTTTGATACAGGTAACTTTAAAAATTAATAGTTTGGGTTAAATAATTGGGGTGGTGGTGGCTAACTCGAGAAATTCCAACTTACGGAAGACAGGTCGCGGAACGACGAAATCACGGAACCACGATCTCACGGAATGATCAAAACACGAAATATTTTAAAAAACAGAATTAGAAATCAGAATTTTTCAGATTTTTTTAATTCTGTTTTTTAAAATAGGTATTCTAATTTGTTAAAAAAGTCTTATTTTTTAAAAATATTCAGATTTTTCAGAAAATTCCGATTTTTAAATTATTCCGTGTTTTGGTCTTTTGGGTCATTAACGGCTAACGTGTTTAGAGGTTAATACTAAAGGGGGAAACTGAAAACCCCTGAAAAAAATCAAATAACACTGAAAAATCCCTGTGATTTCGATTCTGGAACCAATTCCTGATTAAATACAAATGAAAATCTGCAATTTGAATTTAAGTTATTGGCCCGGTTAATATTCACAAATATTATTTTTTAAATTTTTATTAACAAACTTCTAAAAAAAAATTTTTTTAAAGAATTGAGCGAACGCTTTCTTGGATCCAAAAATGATTTAACACTTCTTGAGGCAGACGCAATAATTATCGGACTTTATTCGCCAAAAAATATAGCTGGGAAAACATATAGGGGAACAAATACTTATTCAGAAAAAGGAGTTTTTAAACAAAAGACAGTAGCAGAGAATTTATAGAAAAAATTTATTTTTTGTTTTTCCTCATTTAGTAAAAATTTTAATAAAAATATTTTGTTATTTTATAAATATTTTTGGGTAAGTAGACCTTCCCCTTCGAATTAATCTTTTCCTTTTTTGAAGGTTCTCTTCTACAAATTTTAAATAAAAAATTTGTTTTTGTGACAGCTAGTAAGGGAGAGAATGGCATGCTTTATCGATTGCGCTTTGTAAGCATGTACTAAAGGAAAGTCGTTTCAGCCTCTTTTATTTTTATGTAGACTTTTAAAAAACATCCTAAAATAGTATTTAGTAATCTTACTTAAGTTCTCTATTATAATCTGACCTTGATTTTACCCATGAAGCTAAAAATTGTATTGAAATCGAGAATTTTATAAAGCATATAGCTATTTAATTCCTAAGGCACTAGACGGTGTGGTGTAATCATCATTTTGGAGATATCGCTTAGGTATTTCCAAAATGGTATTTTCTTAGGTATTTCCCCTACACTAAATTTAAAAATGCAGGGGAGTTTTTTTTAAATTGTGAAGCCTGTCTAGTATAGGGTTATTTTAAAAGATTTCCTTACATCTAATTAATATTCACAGAAAACAGAAAATTTAAAGAGATGGGGGATAATAATTATTTGCAAGACTACAATACAACAGGCAATGTTTCTGAACATTTTGTTCAACAATTTACTCATCAACCCCATCCAAATCCCTCTTCTCATCAATTCGGTCAAACTTTTACCCCTATTAGTGGAGGAATTCCTCAACAACCTTTTGCGCCTTCCCTCCCTTCTCTACGTCCCGATTCTCCGTTAGGTGGAACTGATCGTTTGGTTGTTGGGGGACAAACTATTCAAACACAAATAGCTTCTCCACTTGATCTCTTCATTGATTTTACTCGGCCAGATGGTCAAAGGACACGGCCACTGCTAGTTGAAGGGAAACGACTTTATGTTGATGAACATTATGTTTCGGTGATTTTTTAAGAAAATTTTTAGTACCACCGTGGCTGAAAAAAACATAGTACCTTATTTTGAGTTAAGAGGAAGTGGACTAAATTAGAGAAAAACTATACCCTAAATTAATGTGGAAGGAAAGTACAAATATGATCAGTATTTTTATTTCAAAGGTTTGGTCACCAGTTCTACGCTCTTGGTGCGTTGAATGCCCCGATAGAGAATTAATTTTAGCTAACGTTCAATATGATCACGTACTTGAAGTCCTTTCTGCAATACACCCGACCTACAAAGAAGTGGACGATCAAACAGTCCATTTGCTTCTGCCAATTGCTTTTGATTACCAAGTACTTTTCTTAAAAGTCTTTTTAAAATTTTTTAAAAAAGATGGACGGCCTTTTGCACCGTTGTGAATGTTTTTTGATAGCCAACAAAATGCCGTTCCTCGAAAAACTTTGGCTTGCTGACCGTTACCAACTCAGTCGACTTTTGGCACTTCTCCTTAAAGAGCTTCGTCCAAATACCCACAAACTTGATTTAAGCGGGCCTAGATATTCTAGCCTTTCGGACCGTGTAAAGGTTTTGCTTCTTGAGAGAATGCATGGATCACCAGCACCAGAAGTAGAAAAAAATAAAATTTTTACCAATAAAATTATTTAAGGAACTCCCCGAACCTCCTATTGATATGGAGCACATGTTAAGTCCAAGTGATTTGAATTTTGCTTCTGTCCGTGCAAAGACTGGAAGGGCTTATCACGTTAATCCATGTAAATACTTTTTGATATTTCCATTAATTATATTTTTATTTTTAAGATTATGTTGCAGCTTGGTCTACACTTTTCCAAGAGAGATTTTGTAATGGAATAGGTGTTGGTGGGGATGATGATTTAATATATTGCCCATGTTCGAATGAAGAACTTAAATATTTTTTAATGGCTATATATCCTCCACAATTAAGAATAACTGGTAAAGTATTTTTTGATTATAGGTTGACCTCTATATAAGATACAATCAATATTGTGATAACCTCTATTTAGTATACGTTTATAAAATTTGGTTGTCCATTGGATAAGGAAGGAGCCGCCCAAGAGGTACCCCCTATTTAAGGTACCTCCAATATAAGATGCAATTTTTTCAGCCTCAAAGGTGTCTCTTATAATGAGATCCGACTAAATATAATCTTTTTTTCCATGAGTACTTTTATTAAACTTAACTAAAATTTGCCAGAATCAAACATTGCCCCAATATTGATGGCTGCCTGTAAATTAGAATCTCATGGATTACTGCGGAAATGTGCAACAATTTTGCTTAGTTCACAAACACAGTTAAGCGTTTTTGTGAGACTTTCTCTGCTCGATCGCTGTCGATTACAAGAATTGCTTGAACAGTGTATGCAAATGGTCCAAAGAGCCGAGGATATTATGGAAATGACTCAACAACAGACGTGTAAGTCTAGATACAATAAACCTCTCTATAAGACACCCCCCAATACTAAATACACTCTATTTAAGATACCCTCATTATAAGGTATGATATTAAGCCCTAAGGGCAATCTTATATTTTATTTCGAAGAATATTTTTAACCTTTCTATAAGACACCCCCAATATTAAATACTCTCTATTTTACGATACTTTCATTATAAGGGACGATTTTTAGCCCTAAAGGCATATTTTATATTTTATTTAATAAGCGAAGGGTACATATTTTTAATTTAGACGAATGTCTTTCAACACGTGCAAAAAGTGCAATGATGGATCGTTTTGCACAGCTTGTAAATATTCAGGGCATTCAACAATTTCCCTTACAATCAACAATACACATTTGCACAAAGTAAAATCTACCTTTCCCCTTTTCTAAAATAAATAATCATAATTTTCAGATGCAAATCTCAGTTCAGTTGTTCGGAAATAGCTTGGCAATGTAGCCAATGCAAAACCTTCATTTCCTCAACTTTACTCGCAGAATTAAGCGGGGCTGGAAGACAGAATCGTCAAGGTTCCCAGTCAGGAATGAATCCTTCCCCCCAACCACTAAATACATCTCCATCTCACACACAACAGTATGGACGTAATATCGTTTCATCAAGACGATAGAAATCTGATTTTTATAAAATTATGAATAAATATATAGTGGAATTCTTGCTTAAATAAATTTGTGTTTAAAGTTCACGTTCTAATAATTAAACTACTGTTGGTCTCTAGAATTTACTTTTAGAGTTGATTTCTTAGGTCTATTTCTCCTGATCTTTTAACTCTTTTTGGCCGAATCGGTCTTTTACCCTCTTTTGGTCGAAACGGCCTTTTAACCCGTCGGTCTTTTGTAGTTGGGCTAATCACTTTTGTAGATTTAAAAAATTGGCATTTTGTAATGTTACAAAATGAATTTTCGAAATGTCAAACTTTTTTTTGCGGGAAATTAAAAATTAATTTTCGACTTTTTTATTTCCTAAATTTTAACTTTTTTATTGATTTTTTTGCTTTATACTTTGATTAATTTTTTTTAGTTTTTCCATATTTCTCAAAGATTATTTAAAAATATTTTAAAAACTTTTTATTTTCCATGTACAAGAAAAAGAAGAAACTCCGTGTTGAAGAAGAAAAAGTCAAATTAGATTTAGATCCAGATTTGGTATTAAAAACGCCCGTTGCTACTCCTTTTCGTGTTCCTATTCCTGGACATTCTGGAGGTTTTCTTTTTTAATTTTTGTTTTAATCTTCTAAAAAATTTTAGGAACCCCAATTAATAACCAAAATACTCCCTTAAGTCGAAATGCCAAACAAACATGTTTTCAACAAATGAAACGTTTAATTGATTCTGAAGGGGAGAATGAGTCAGAAGATGGGGAAAAATTGAGAAGAAGTTCAAATGGAATTGTAGCTATCTCTGGAAATAATGTAGTTAATACTGGTGGTATTGAATGTCTTTCTTCTCTTTCACACGAGGATATAATCAAGAAATTGCTTTCAAGTGCATTCAGAGTACCTATTCGTGGATATACAGGTTTTTTGAATTTTTAAATAAAATGTAAAAGATTTATTAAACGATTAAATGAAGACTTCAGCCTTTAAGTTGTTAAACACGCTTGGGACCGTCCCCCATTTTGGCGGTTCTTTATAATTTTATGAACCCATGATTCGTCCCAGATCAATATTAGACACAGAGTTTAGTCTCTTGATTTTTTAACTTTTTCCCATTTATAGGTATGCCATCAAATCGTTTCCTTGGAATGAGAATGTCTGCAGTAAGGTGTTCTTTACATGATCCATATGCTGAAGGGGCATTAGTGCTTTTTACACCACCAGAATTATCAGCACACGAACAAATGAAAGTATTTTGAAATTTTAAAATTATTTTTTCAAATTTTTCTTTTAAGATTGGAGATACTGAACGTCAAGTCCATGTAGTTGTCGACCCCCTTCTTTGCACTGTTCTCAGACCCCATCAACGAGAGGGTGTAAAATTTATGTATGAATGCGTTACTGGAACTCGAATAGAAAATTTTAACGGATGTATAATGGCTGATGAAATGGGACTGGGAAAGACGTTGCAATGTATTGCTTTGATGTGGACACTTTTGGTTAATTAGAAAATTTTTTCAAAATTCTGAATTATTTGGAGTGTTAACGATCATTTACCTTCCTTGTAAGGTCCTCTCCCTCATCTGAAGGTCCTTTCCCTCAATTTCTTCTCTTTAAATAAAAACCTTTTTTGAACACCTCCATTTTTTAGCGTCAAGGCCCAGAAGCAAAACCAACAATTAATCGTTGTATAATTGTCTGTCCGAGCAGTTTAGTCAAAAATTGGGACAAAGAAATATCAAAATGGTTACATGGACGTGTTAATTCCCTTCCAATCGATTCTGGAAAAAGAGAGGAAATTATTAATTCTTTAAAACAATTTATGTCACAAATTGGTACAAGAATAGGCACTCCAGTAATTATTATCTCTTATGAGACTTTTCGTTTATATGCTGATATTCTTCATGAAAGGGAAATTGGATTGGTTATTTGTGATGAGGTTTGTGTATTTTTTATTGAATTTGAAAAAAAGTTCACAAAAAAATGTCCGCAACTTTTTTGCGGACATTTATATTTTTCTGCTCGATTTCTCTGTATTTTAAAAATTTTTGAATATAATAATTTTCAGGGCCATCGTCTTAAAAACAGTGACAACCAAACTTACCGTGCACTTACTGGACTTAAATGCTCTAGAAGAGTTTTGATTTCTGGAACACCAATTCAAAATGATTTGCTTGAATATTACTCACTCATCAATTTTGTAAACCCTGGACTTTTGGGTCCCGTTGCTGAATTTCGGCGACATTTTGAGAGTTCTATTCTTCGATCAAGAGATGCAAATGCTACAGAGGATCAGCAAAAACTGGGTGAAGAAAAGTTGCAAGAACTTTTGGGTCTTGTTAATAGATGTATTATAAGGAGGACGAGTGCTTTACTTACAAAATATTTACCTGTAAGTTTACGGGGACCTCTACGTAAAATAAAAATCCTGCAAAAATCAAAGATTTCCTGCATGTCCCTTGTGTCAGATATGCCAATTACTTTGAATAACAGATGAGACTAATTGAAAGTCAAATTTAGTTTTAACCTCGTAAAATTTTTTTTAATTTAATGGCTTCCTAAAAGATTTTTAACGCTTTTTTATTTCCATTTTTAAAATTTTAGGTCAAATACGAATTGGTATGTATCTGTTCACTCACAGAACTTCAAACAACATTGTATGCCCAAATGATAAAATATATGGATAAAGAATTGAGGAAAGCTAGAGGTGCTTTAAATACCTATACAACACTTGCATTTATAACAAACTTGAAGAAATTATGCAATCATCCACAATTAATATTTTCAAAATGTCAAGCAAAAGATGCTGGGTTTGAAGGTTTGTTTTTAACTAAAATTTGCCTTATTTATAATTGTGGAGAGGATAGTTGGGAATTTTCTGTTGAGTCATTCGGATTCTCAGGAGAAACGGAGTAGTTTTTTTCTTATTTTCTCTTTATTTTGCGAGAAATTTCAGTTCGGGTTTCCTTCTGTTTAATAATAACTCCATTACTTCCTACCTTATCAAACCTTTTTGTTTTTTGTTAAATTACACAATTTTTTAAATAAAATTCTATTTTTTAGATTGCCTCGAATTATTCCCTCCAAACTTTTCTATTTCTACTAATGGCAGAACCAATGACAATAATCGTGTTATTTTCGATCCAGCATGGTCTGGAAAAATGCGAGTGCTAGATTATTTGTTAGCCTATTCTAGACGTACTTGTGATGATCGTTTTGTACTTGTTTCTAATTATACACAAACAATGGATGCTTTTGAACAGGTTTTATTTGGATTTAATTACTGTTTATTTTCCCGACTTTAATAAATTTAACAAAAATTGTGAGCAAACGTTTTTCCGATATATGCAATAATAATTTAAGGAACTTGGGTTTAAGATTTGTTAAGAGAGTGTACAAGTCATCATCCCGGAGCCTAAAGCACCTGAGGTTAACTGCCTTGAATCAAATTCGATTCTTGCCCAATGGCTAGACTTTTGCTCAACTAATAATTTTACTTTTGGGATCATAATTTTTAAAATTAAAAATTTATAAGGAAAACTTTAACTAAAAAATATTTTTTATAGCTTTGTACTCTTCGAAATTACCCTTTTGTTCGTTTGGATGGCACAATGTCAATTAAACAACGTTCTAAAATTGTTGAAAAATTTAATGATCCAAAGGTTTTTTTATTTTTTTTTAAATTATTTTTAACTTTTAGTCTGATTGTTTTGCTTTTTTACTCTCTTCAAAAGCTGGTGGCTGTGGACTTAATTTAATTGGAGCAAATCGTTTGGTTATGTTCGATCCAGATTGGAATCCTGCAAATGATGGTCAAGCAATGGCTAGAGTTTGGAGAGATGGACAGAAAAAGACTTGTTTTGTCTATAGACTTCTTTCGGTTTTTCTTTTAATTACAAAAAATATTTATAAAAAAAAATTTTTATAGAGGGGTACAATTGAAGAAAAAATTTTTCAAAGACAAACTCATAAAAAGGCGCTTTCTTCTTGTGTTGTGGATGAAGTAGAAAATGTTGCGAGGCATTTTAGCGCTGATGAATTAAAAACTTTATTTCAATTGGAGACACAAACAAGTAGCGATACACACGATAAGTATGTAGACGAGAATTTAAAATTCAAAAAAAAATTTTTTTATTAAAGGCTTAAATGTCAACGTTGTATGAACGGAAAAGAAATGAAAGATCCGCCAGAAACGGCTGATACAAATTCTGATTTGGCTCTATGGCATCATTCTGAACGCGATCATCGAAAAGTTCCTGATCAAATTATACGTTCTCTTAGAGAGTGTGTTAAGGTTTGGAATTTTTATTTCTTATGTGCTCAAAATTTAAATGTTTTGTCTGTCTGGGAACTTTTGATAAAATTCTTAGAGTTATCAGTTTTATGAGTTTATTCCAGACCTGGTCACGGATACGGATTTTGGTATCCGTATCCGCATATTTAAGGTGGATACGGACGGATATCCGCAGGCATTTTGATATTATCTGTATCCGTATCCACGACCAGGTTTGGTTTATTCTATGAGGGATTTTTAGTCATTTCTTTTTAAGAAACGATGTTCATCCTTTTTTAGCTTTAATTCCACTCATATTATAGATTTTTTCGACTACCCTTCGAGACTGATTTTTTCAAAAAAATTTTTTTTCAAATTTATTTTCAATATTTTTTAAGGATATTACATTTGTTTTTCACCAAAAATCACATGATGGAGTTAATAATCGTGAATTATCTCCTCCACAACAATCACAAGAAGAAAATAAAAATGAAGTTGAAGAAGATGAAAATAAATTAGAAGAAGAAAAAATTTTAGAAAAAGAGGAAGAAAATGAAAGAGATGAAGAAGGAAAAGATAAGGAAATATTTGAAAAACAAAAAACCCCATCAAAAAAATTAACAGCAAAAAAAGTTTTGAATAAATCTGGAAGAAAAAGAAGTCAGGAAGAAAATAATGTAAGTGAATATAAAAATGTAAATGAGGAAATTATTATTTTGTAAATGAAGAGAAAATTATTTTTTTGATTATTTTTGTATTTTTCGGTGATTTTTTTTTTGAAAAAATATTTTTTGAAATAACTTTTTGGTAGAATTAGTGAATTTTTTTAATTTTAAAATCTGAAAATTAAATTCACAAAATATTTTTACCAACAAATTTAATTAAATCTCAATTTTTTTCTAAAATTTAAAGATAAATGAATTACATCTATTCTCAGGTTTAGTCTGAATTTAGATTTTTTAATAGACCCGACTCCAGAAATGCGGGCTTTCTACTATGACCCGATCCAAAGAGAATTTTAAAACCAAACAATCAGGGTTATTTATGAAACAGTTTGGTGTATATTTGAGAAAAGTAAAATACGATAACACAAAACAATTGAAAATTTTTTCAATCTCAAAGGGAAAGAGGCACAAGGAAATGTTGGACAAAAGCTTAGACCTAATCTTTGTTCTTACCTCTAAAAATTCAAATAAAACAATACAAAAACACATTTTTTAAATTTTTTATTTTCTCCCAACCATACACAAATATATACAACATACAAATATATACAGAATATATTCCAAGATTGGAATATTTGGGAAAACACAAGAAACAAATCTTATATGCCTACAAATATATATTTAGGGAAGGGATTATATATAAGGGGGAATATAGACACACACAAACAAATATATAGCGAGTATTATATACAAATGAACGCAACATCGCAAAGAATGGAAAAAATCCAGGGAGAGATACAACAAATATATAGAAAGAGGGAAGAAGAGAAATGGTTTTATATTTAGTGATCAAGATTTTGTGATTTTCAAAAAGAGACCATTTTCTTCTTTTCTTCCTTTTCTCTCTTCAACATCCGGTGTGTGTTGTTTTAGGTCATTCCTCAGCGCCTTCATCTCCTCCTCCTTCTTCCTCCTTTTCCTCTCCTCCTTCTGCTGCTGCTCCCTCTTCTTTCTTCTCCTCATCGCCGCCTCCTTCCTTCTTCTCTTCATCGCCTTCTTTCTTCTCTTCATCACCGCCGCCTTCCTTTTTCTCTTCCTTCTCGCCTTCAGCGCCTTCTTCGGCCTTCTCTCCTGCAGGCTCGTCACCAACTGCTGTCTTTGCTGCTCCTTCTTTGGGCTCGCCTTCTTCCTCAGATGATTCCTTGGATTCTGGCGGTGCAGCGGTCTTAGCGGCTCCACTGAAAATATTTTTGAAAGATTAGATTTGTTGATAAGTATATTTAATGATAAAACTTTTTACCTTTCCGATCCAGGCAAAGCCGTTTTCACTCCTTCCGGACCACCAGCAGCAGGAGCAGCAGACCCTTCTCCGGACTTTTTACTTGCAGCAGCGGCAGATTTTTTGCCTTCCCCTCCAGCCTGTGATGCAGTAGCCTCGATTGCAGTGCCTTCAGAGGTGGTGCCTTCTTTCACCATTGTTGAAGTGGGTGTAGCACCAGGAGCCAACGCGGTCTTCGTCTCGGGCGTCTCTTTTCTGAAAAAAATAAGCAGAAATTATTTAATAATTTTAAAATCTAGTTTTCTTACCCTTCCTCGCCCTCTTCCCCTTCTTCCTTCTCTTCGCCTTCCTCTCCTTCCTCGCCTTCTTCTGGTTTTTCTCCTTCCTCCTTGACTGAACCGGCGTCTGCTCCTTCTTGCTTCTCCAAATCCTTTTCCTCTTCGGCTCCCTTTTTCTTCTTCATCACGCAACAGACCACAACTCCCACGATGACGAGCACAACAACAATGACGATGAAGATGATCAAACCGCTACCACCTTTCTTTTCCGTAGGCGCGACTGTCGTTGTTGTCGACGGCTTCACGGTTGTTGGTGAAGCAGATGAAGTAGATGATGATGAAGATGTTCCCGATGGCGAAGATCCATCTGATGTTGACTCTGAATCTCCAGTTCCCCCATCGGTCGAAGTTCCAGATCCCTCAGTGGATTCACTCGTTTCAGGGTCAACACTACTTGTCTCAGTGCTGCTGGTTTTTCCGGTGGTTGTGGCATTATTATCCGGATTTGTTGTGTTTGTAGTCGATAGAGTCGTATTTCCTTGAGGCGCAGTCGTGTTTCCTTGAAGTTCAGGTGGCGAAGAAGTTTCATCCGTTGGTTTGGTCGATTCTTCTGGCGGAGGTGGTGGAGGCGGAGGTGGTGGAGGTGGCTCAACCGGTGATTTTACATGACTGAAAAAAACGTGTTAAAGGAGTCACCGTCGAAGCATCTTATAAGAATATTACCTTCCACCCTCCTGGTTTGTGCCATTCCCGCCTTCCTTCTGTTCAGTGCCTCCATCGACTGCATTCTGTCCATTGTCTCCTTCGCCTGCCTTATTTCCATTGTCTCCTTCGCCTCCCTGCCCTTCTTTGTTCTCCGGCGGCTTTTCTTCATCCTGATGAACTTCCTTTCCATCGTCCTTGTTCTGATCCACGTGCATCTTGCTGTCAAGGCTCCGTTGATCCAATCCATCGACGTCGCTCGTTTGATTTACTCCTTTGCCGCTCTTCTGAACTTGTCCCGTACTGTTTCTAAAAATAAACAAACATTAACTCTTGAAGAGAAATAGGGAATTAAAAGAAATTCACCTTGCATCACAGAACTGGCAGAGCAAAAGCAGCAGACCCAACACACAGAAGGAAGAGAACATCCTGCGCCTGAACATTGTTGTAGAACACGCGAGCATGAAGAGTGGAGTTGAGCGATTTTGAAGCTGACAAGAAGCGTGAGCCCTCGTTGCTGAAGATTGCTTGTTGCGAAGGTGATTTGTTGATGTAGTTGATGTTTTTGGTGTGTAAATATGAGCTGTTTTTATAGTATTTTAATGTTGTTGTGATTAGGTTTGCTATATAAACAGGCATGGATTAATGGTAGTATAAAGGCCATTATTAAAGCGATTCGTTTTATCGACACCTTCGTAGTGTTCAATCTAATTTTTAGCTTCTTCGAACGGTTCTTCTACAATTTGAGAGCTTTCATGCAATCAGTTTTCTATCCTCATCAGAAATTGCAGATCATTCAGGTGTGAAGTCTTGAAGGATAATGGTCTTGAAGGACATTTTCTGATAAATGTTTACTCCAAGTTATTAGCTCGGATTGGAGTTGGCGGTTTGAGTTTCGGAACCGATGAAAGAGGATATCAATCAGGGAATTTCGGTTCGGATATCGGTTTCGATATATAGTACTAGTTTCTCTCGTAGAGAAAAACTGAAAGACAAAAGAGTAAGAAATTCAAGTAAAGTATCTTTGAAAGTTTCAAATTTCTTCACACAAGCTAACTCATTAAAAAATTCAATTAATTCAAAGTTCAATAAGATATTGGAAGGGTTGAGAAAAATTCGGATCACAACAATCTCTGATATTTTTCGTACATTTTTTTAAACGTTTAAAAATCCCAATAACCATCAAGAGACAATTTCTCTCTCAACCTTCGACCAGTCCCTCTTTTATGTACTTTCCCATTTAAACTAAGTTAGGGGCCGAAAATGCAAACATTGGCCATTAGCCTAGAGAGTAGGTACATTTATTTTAATAAATATTGTCTTTTCTCTCCTTTTTTCTCTCCCTTTTTTCTCTTTTTTATTTAAAATAAATATATATTTTTATTTTATTTTCTCGATTTTAGTCTTCTTTTTCTTCTTGTCTTTATGGCCTTTACTTTAAAAAAAAATTTTTTTCCTTCCCTCGTCTACAAAATTTTTAGTAAAAATCGTTTGCGCTAGTAAAAAGGTAGGTAGGAATGACTCATTCATTCATTTATTTATTTCTTCTCTCTCAAAAATGCTTTTCCCTCCTTTACTGCTTCCAAACAATTTGAACATTAAAAATCAGTCAAAAATTCCTCTTTAACTTTTTTTATTAGTCAAAACTTTTATTAATCAAAAATAAATTTGATTGCCAAGAATTGAATTTTAAAATTTGTTATTTTTTTTTAATTTGCTGGGTATTTTTGTGTTTAAAAATAAATTAGGTAAATTACACCTGTGTTGAACTTTTAATTTTAAATATTTTTTAAATTAGAGACCGGACTGGGGGTGTCTTACGAGAATCGGGATCCCGAAAAATTCACGATCTCGATAACCGAGATTTTCGATCGAGATCTCGTCTCGATCCGGTCTCCTATTTTTAATAATTAATTACTTGATTCCTGAATACTTCAGGGTGTCAACTACATAAATATTACTTCCAACTTCGATTCTCATTCAAATCTAATATTCTATACATATTTTCCACTTTAAAAAATTTCCTTTACTTTTCTTATATTTTTTTCTTATCAATTTTTACGCTAATTTTAACTTAACATTTTTTATTTTTTATCTAAAATTCTTCCCTTCTTAAAATAAAAAAAATATTGCTTTATTTTTGACTAAAAATAAAATTTTTTAAATTTATATATTTAAATTTTTATTAAAAAATTTTTTTAAATATTAATTAGTAATTAATGATTATTTTTACATGAATTTAAATAACTCGTAAAATAATTCTTTTATTTTCTATTTTACCTCAATCCTTTACTTTTCTTATAATTTGCGATAGAAAAGACAATCAAATAAATATTTGTCTTTAAAAATTCCTTACTCTAGCTTAAATATTTTTACATTTTAACTAATCAAATGCTTTGGTATTTTTATTTAATTTTATTATAACTACTTAAATTAATTATTTAACTAATTCAACTAAATTTTTGTTTTTGTACATTCAAGACTGAAAAATCTTAAATTGGGGGAAATCTCAAACAGTTTCACCACACATTTTGGCCAACCAAATTTAGGATAGATACAGTATAACCTGTATTAATTGCCCTCTCTCAAATAATTATCCCGCTTCCATTAATTACCCCATCCAGCGATAGAATGAAAGAATAATTATCCCAAAATAAATGCCATAAAACACGTTCAAATTTCAATTTCGTATTTACTCTCACTCAATTCCTCCCTCCAGCGGAAGGTCGAAACAATAATTACCCAGGGTGGTTATTAAAGGATATATGGTATCTAATTTTACAAGCATTTAAGTGGGGTTTGATTGTAGTTAAATAATTTTTTCAAATTTGATTTTATAATAAAAAATTCTTAAATTACGTCTAATAATTTCTTTTTTCTTAAAATTATTTTTTAATTTAGATTTTAAAAAAATATTTTTATTTATTTTTCTTTCCCCAATCAGTCAATGATTCCATCAATATTCCAACATTTATTTCAACAATTTTATTCATTTTTATTTTTTATTTTCCCATTTTTCCATTTATTTTTTCCCTTTTCTTCTTCGCAAGGATTGAATGATCCAAGTTCTCATTATGTTGAAGGAAGATTAGGGGGAAGGAGAATTTGGTGGTGCCCCTCTGGTTATGGCTATTTGGCTTATTGTCCCCAACCTACAGATTGGGATAATTATAATTGGTGTTGTACTTTCCCTTATATGGGCTCTTGGCAAGTTTTCTTTGCTTTTAAATTTATTTTTCTTGAATTTTGGAGTCATTAAAATTTTGGAATCGTCAGAAGCCTCTGGGGTAGAGATTGGATCGAAACGAGATTTCGAGCAAAATCTCAGTTATCGAGGTTCGAGATTTTTCGGGATATCTCGTATGGTTCTCATACGACACTCCCAGTTAAACCTCTACTCTGGACCGTCCTAGTCTAGAGATTTTCCCATTGTTAAATCAACAGCCATTGCTCCTTTATGTTAAGGACACTCACATTTTCTTGTTCAATTTCTTGGATCCTTTTGTTGTCCTTTCCATTGGGTCAGAAATATTCGGGAAATTTTCGCTCTTTTATTGCTTGGATTCGTCTACGGGAATATAAAAACTGAATATAACTATTTTTGATTTTTTTTAACAAAATCTTTTGCTGCCTCTCTTCTGTCTAGTCTAAAAATAATTTTTGAAGGAAACCCTCTTGCTGTCCTTTTGCAATACCTACAGGTGCTGTTATTACTTTAATTATTGCCTCTATTGTTCTGGTTGCAGGTAGAAAATTATTTTGAAAAATTGTTAACTAGTCAGGACCTCTATTTTACACACAGTTTTAAATTATCCGTTATTTAGAGGTTTACCCTATCCACCCAAAACCCCCTTCCTTTCATTATAAAGAAAAGTCTCCAGTATTGAGTGTACGTAATATAGAGGTTTTTAACTAAATTTTAAAGTTCTTGTTGGCTTTTCCTGTTGGTGTTGTTATTTTTGTCCTTTATATAAACAATTATATGAAAATGAAGATGATGAAATTGGACAAGAACAACCAATATATTCTACACAACAAAGACAACAACAACAATTTGAAGAATAAATTTGTTTATATAATTAATTTTAAAAATATTATATTTTTTTCGTAAAAAATGTGCAAAGACTCAGGAAGGAATTTTTGCCATTTTAAAATTAATTAGTTTTGATTTTTGAAAAAAATTTTGGTTGGAAATGGATGGGAGGGATTTAATTAAATACAGTAGTCGACAAAAAGATAGGGACAAACGCATGTAAAATGAAAATCACCTATTTTCTCAGCTAAAAATCGATTTCAGGAAAAACTTTTTGTTTGATTAAATACGCCATTTAATGCTCTATTTAATAAGTATAAGATCTGGCAGATTACTATTTTTTGATATACTGAAATAATTTAAATAAAAAAGTATTGCAAATTTTAGCCCGACAAAAAGATAGGGACAAGTCTTGTAACTAAGTAGTCACCAAACCAATAAATTTACAAAAATTCGTACAAACATAATGATCGTTACTAAGATAAAATAAAAAGGAACTAGGCCCGTATCTCATTTCAATGTCGAGATCTCGATACCCCAAAAATCAACGTAAAACAGAGGTAAGCAACTTCAAAAAATATTTTCGACCCCTTATGGATTTTTTAAAATTTTTATTTTGAGCCTATTCGATAGCTCTTGAAATTTGCTATAAACTAGCCAAATTTCATTTTTCAGAAAAAAATACTTCGTTAGTTGCAGAGGCGAATGTTACAAAAAGCATCAAACACCCCATAAATTCCCACAAAAATGGCGTTTTGAAGAATCGTCGTCCTTTATCTCGGGAGTGAAATTTTTTTTGAAATGAAAATTGTCACGTTTATAGCACAATTAAAGATCTATCGAATAAGCCTAAAATGAAAATTTAAAACCTTCAATAAGGGGTCCGAAAAAAATTTTGAAGTCGAAAAACCCTATTTTACGTTGATTTTTGGGGTATCTAGATTTCGACAACGAAATGAGATATGGACCTAGTTTCTATTTTATTTCTTCTTATTATCGATCATTATGCTTACAATAAATTTTGTAGATTTTTCGCTTCTATGAGAACTTAGTTACAAGACTTGTCCCTATCTTTTTGTCGCGCTTAAAATAGCATACCTTTAGTTTTTCAATGAGGGTTGAATTTTATAAAAAATTAAACAGGCAAATTTTCTACTCATTAAATAGAGCATTAAATCTAGTATTTAATAAATCAAAAAATTTTTTCTAAAATCGATTTTTAGCTGAGAAAATACGTGATTTTCATTTTGCTTGCGTTTGTCCCTATCTTTTTGTCGACTACTGTAAGTAATCTAAATATGATCATTTTTTCTCTCAGAGGGGTATCCCTTAGTTTCTGCCTCTCAGAGGGGTAAAATTGTGAGGAGTTGATTTGGGGATTAATCGAAATTTTAAAGTTATTATTGGCTTTTACAGCTGGTTTCAGTTCAATTTCCAAAAGACATACATAACATCATCCTTCACCTTCCCAAATTTTCTATTAATACATTTCCCAAGTCATCACTATTTTTAGTGCTAATCTTTAGGGTGGGAGGTGTTCTCTAAATTTATTTTTCTATGGCTGGACTCAAATTTTCTAAAAAAAATATTTTAAAAAACTGCCTTTTTAAATTTAACTCCAAATACTCTAATTTGGCAATTTTAAAATTGTTTTCACTTCCTCAATTTTCTTTTTTTTTCTTTTACACTTTAAAAATTAATTTAATTTTTTTTTGTATTTTTAATAATATTTTTTTGATTTTTAAATAAATTTGAAAAAATTTTATTTTATTTAAAAATAAATCTTAATGAGCAAAAATAAAATAACACTAATTTAAAAATTATTTTAAAACAAATCTCCAACTTTTAACTTTTAAAAAGGAGAGGAGGAATGCGGTGAGACGTGATCTGGAAATCCTCTCTCACTTCCCTTTCCACAAAATTTGTGGGCACCCAAATTAACTAACACCTACCCAATCAAAATAAAAGTAAAATTTAAAAGAAGAGGATAAAGTCAGAGATTCAAAAAATTTTTTTAAATAAATTTTAATTAAAAAATATTCTCCTTCCCTTTTTAAATTCTTTTCTCAACAATAAATCGATTAATTAAATGTTTAGCAACAACCCCACTTTGAACAACAATTAATGTTAAAAGAGTTCCAAAAACACCCCCAAGTGTCCATTTATGTAAACAAAGTTGTTGTTGTTGTTCTGAATTTGTTGTGGTTAATTCTAAATTATTTTTCCTTCCACCAGCAGCCTTTGAAAAATAAATTTAATTAGGAGAAAAGTTATTAAAGAAGAGAAAATGTAGGAAGAATTTTTTAATTAAAAAATTTTAAACTAAAAGATATGCTAATTTAACAAAAACACCAAAATTCAAAAACAGATTAAGAGAGACTAAAGTTTAGCCCCGAGCAGGCATCGATCCTTCGACCTCCTGGCATATTGTTAAGGGCTTTAGGTCACCACTAGACCGGCAAAATCGTATTTGCGGGATTACGCATTGGGAGTAACTCCCGCGGGAATAATCCCGCAAATCTAAAAAAGTGAGGGATTGCGGGAGAGGTATCCCGCAAAATCCCGCGTGGGATCGCATCCCGCTTCGGTCTCTACTCACCACGTAAAGGTACTAGTTATTAAAAAATCTGTTTTGAAAAAAATAATAAAACCAAAAATTGGAGAGCTTTGTTAATTTTTGAGAAAATAAAAAATTAAAAAATGTTCTTCATTAACCAACCTCAGTAAAAGCTTCAAAAAGAGAAGAGGATTTTTTAACTGTTTTTGTTATATTTTTATTATTTTCTTTTTTATTATTTTCAAATATTTGTTTGGATATTGAGGAATGTGAAATAAATGGTTGTTGTTGTTGTTCTGTTTTTACAACAGAATTTTGTTGTTGTAAAGGGTCTACAATAACTAAAGAAGTTGTTGCTTGGGCAAAACGGGGAACAACAAAACGGCGAGTTTCGACTTGAAAAATTATTTTTTTAAATTAATCAAAACCTCTATGTAACGTACACCTTGGAAAATACCTCTCTATATAATAGACAATTTTTGGGACTTTGAAAATCTAAATGGGGAATACCCTCCATCTAATAGACAATCAACTCCCATTAGTAGCGACAATAGAGGGAAAAGAGAAAAGTCGCTTATAACGAGAGGTCGATATTAAAGAGAAATTGGTAATAACGAGAGTTGGCTGCATAATTCTTTTAAAAAACCTCTATACGACGTACAGTCGCTTTTAATGGAGTACGTAGAATAGAGGTTTTTTAAAAAAAATTTTTTTTTTAAATTAAAAAAATCCTCACATTCTTTAACTTCATTTTTCCTATTAATATTATTGTCAATAGCAAAACGGCGTTTTCTGCCCCACGATTCTTTAATTCCATCATTAAATTTACAATTAACCTTTTTTTTTAAAAAAGAATTATTTAAATTCAAAAATTATTTCTTTTTTTACCGATTTACAATTTTCTTTACATAATTCTAAATGACAAGTTATTCTAATAGCTGGAGAACTGTCAAATCTGAATGCTTGTAAATAAGTTAATTTAACTGCAGAATTAATTGCTTTTATTGGATTTGGAATTAATTTTTGTGCTACTGCTGGTGTTGGACAACTATGTAGAAAAATAAATTATTTTAGAATAAGTATATCACATAGTTAATTTATTTGAGGGGGAAGAAGGATAGTTGGAAACTTTTTTAAATTTTTTAAAAACTTAATTTTCATTTCAGAACTTTCATAAAATTACATTAATTAATTTCTCAATCCCCCAATCCATAAACTAATATTTTAAGTCATGGTTGGGGAACCGAAAGCCAAAAAATCTGAGGTTCTTCGTCTCGATTCTAAACCGACAACTCTATTTGGGAACGTGAACATTCAATACAAGTATTTTATAAAGAAAAAAATCTAAAAAAATCCCGTCGTTATTATTCCAGTCCTTCCAGTTATTTTAACTACAAATTTAGTAATAAATATTTGTTGCCCTTTTATTTTTCGTTTGTCTTAAAAATTTCTACTCCTTTTAAGACACTCTAAAATTAGTTTTAAAAAAAATTTTAATAAACTACCCATTCTCAATTAAAGGAAGCCTTTCCCCTTGATTTCCAGAAGTTCCTGGCTCTGCAAAACAATCACGAACTAAAAAGTCCAATTCTTCGTCCATCGCCATAATTTCCCATTTTAATTCAAGAATATCCCCCAATTTAGCCTTTAAATTTAATTTAAAATTTAA